TCCCCACCCAGCTACGCATCTGTGATGTTTTCTATAATACTTTTCTTTATTATTTACCATGTCACCACCCAATAGGTGACATATTTTGATCATCACAGATTTGAAATGGCGTTTTTATCTGCCTGTCGGTCTGACCAGGTTTTGGTATACCTCAGTTACCATGGCAACGGTACTCACATCTTTGAAAAATGGTAACAAAAAAATAGGACAAGAAAAGACTTATTGTTAACTTTAATCTTGTGTAACAAATTATATTTATAAAATGTCCAAATGGGAGGATTTTCGTATTAGGGTAGCAGATTGTTACTTTCTGATAGATTTACATGTAAAAAGGAACATTTTGGGTGGGTAAAAGAAAATTTTATATTGAAATAACCAGATGGTCAATTCTCTTCATATTGCACTTGGATGATGATAATATTATAGTGATACATTGTACAAAATATGAGCAAAATCTAATGTCTCAAACTTGAGTTACGCTGACCCGGTACTGCATCCTTAAAGACTTTATTTCGATGGGAGAACATTATTAACTGTACAATGAGTATTAAGAAACTTTGATTGATTGTTGTTCCAAAGGAATTCAGTTAAGGCTCTATTAAACATACACTTCATGAAAATCTAATTGAAGTGACGGTTATGTCCGCCATTTGTGACAACGGTATCTGATTTTACCGTTGTCAGGCTATTCCGGTGTGACATTGTCATCGTCCTGGTTATTGACTCTGAACACTTATCGTAGATAAGAGTGACACAAATCAATGTCGTGAATAAATACTTAAGTTAACACCTATATTTAAACTTGTTTAAAAATCATATACATTGTGTCCCCCTATTGCATCTACTCGTTATGATATCAGTATGTGATTCACAATTAAACCTCTTTCTTAAATTAAATCGCCACATTTAGATACTATTCTAGTACATCTGAGAAGATATGCTGTATCTACAGAGTCTAGTAGGTAGCGGGATTGTGTAGCCTCTTTGTTTGAGATGTATAAAGATTATCCTGTATGACGTTTAGGATATTGGGATTATCCCGAGGCAAATATAATATATCTGCCCGAGGTCCCGAGGGTAGACATATCATATTTGCCAAGGGATAATCCCAATATCCTTAACCGACTATAGGATGATCTGTTTATCCCTTCACGTCTAACCTTCAGCGTCAAAAAATAGCGGAGTACAGTTTTTTGTACGGTGACGCAAATCGACTGCTTTGAAGCAAAAACTATGACAAGGAACAAGTGAAAAAGATTGTTTTTATGTCCCCACCACATAGTGTGGGGCCATATTGTCGGCCTAGGCGCGTCCGTCTGTTTGTCTGTCCGTCTGTCTGTCCGTCCGTACGTCCGGCAGTTTTCTTCAAAACCGCTACAGATATCACCTTCAAATTTTCAGGGATAACTTATGAGTGCATACAGATGTGGATGAATTTTTTAACTCGATACCTACTTCCCGTCGGCCATTTTGAAGTAAAATGCTAATATCCTTGTCCGCAAACTTTAAGGAAAACGGCTTCACAGTTGCTTTTCAAACTTTACAATCTTGTTCAGCTCACTTCATTCTACATCTGATTAGGTTTTGGACCTGTTAGCTCAGTCATGGCAGCCATTTTTAATATCTTAAGAAAAGTTAGCGTGCGATAATACTTTGTATCATATTGAATGGTGTTTTTGAGTTTTCATACTTTAACTATTTTGTAGCTTTATAAATACTTTCAGATATACTTTGTTGTAAAAGCCTATGTTATTGTTAATTGTAGTTATATGTGATAATTTTGTAAAAAGAAATCAGCAAAAACTCATTATCACTTTTTTATTGTCGGCCATTTTGCATTTTTTCGTCCTAAAATCTTGTTTGTAAAGTCTTGTCTACACGTTTTCAGGTGTACCATTTGGTAGATCAATTTTAAATTTTCAGGGATGATTCTTAGTACAAAAATCTAGATCTGATTAGTTTTTTGGCATTCTGGGTAAATGTCAAGGCGGCCATTTTGGATTTTCCGTCCTAAAATCTTGTCAGTAAAGTCTTGTCTACACGTTTTCAGGTGAACCGTTTGGTAGATCAATTCAAATTTTCAGGGATGATTTTTAGTATGAAAATCTAGATCTGATTAGTTTTTTGGCATTCTGGGTAAATGTCAAGGCAGCCATTTTGGATTTTCCGTCCTAAAATCTTGTCAGTAAAGCCTTGTCTACGCGTTTTCAGGTGAGCCGTTTGGTAGATCAATTTCAAATTTTCAGGGATGATTCTTAGTATTAAAATTTAGATCTGATTAGTTTTTTGGCATTTTTGGTAAATGTCAAGGCAGCCATTTTGGATTTTCCGTTCTAAAATCTTGTCAGTAAAGTCTTGTCTATGCGTTTTCAGGTGAACCGTTTGGTAGATCAATTTCAAATTTTCAGGGATGATTCTTAGTATGAAAATCTAGAACTGATTAGTTTTTTGACATTCTGGGTAAATTTCAAGGCAGCCATTTTGGATTTTCCATCCTTAAATCTTGTCTGTAAAGTCTTGTTTACCCGTTTTCTGGTTAACTGTTTGACGGATCAATTTCAAATTTTCTGGGGTGGTTCATAGTATGAAAATCTAGAACTGACTAATTTTATGGCATTCTGGTAAAGATTTAAGGTGGCCATTTGGATTTCCCGTCCTCAAATTGTGTCGGTAAAGTCTTGTCTACTCATTTTCAGGATAACCATTTGACAGGATCACCCATTGGTGGGGACATTTTGTACACATTTGTGTTCTTGTTTCACATTTCTTTTGGTTATTATTTTCCCTGTCGTCTGAGAGTATGGATCATTTTTATGAGAATATGTATTTATTAATTACACATTTTAGAATGGGCGAAGATTCAGCAAATAAGTAGTTTATTCCATGAAAACTAAAAATATCGAAATTAATACTTCCTGTCCGCCGTCTTAAATGCGAAGGTGACGGCCGTAACCTTCGCTTGATACTTACCAGTGATAATGTACATGTAGATCTGACACGTCTTTACCTCTTGTTCGAACAGTAAGCTTAGAGTTGAATGTGTTTCAGTATTTAATCCTTGTTATCAGAAATGAATGAAAACATAAGAATTGATATTTTTCAATGTTGAATGGGATACAACATTTGAATTCCACACAAAAACTTAAAAACTAATACGGAGCTCATATATTACACTTCATAAATTCTAAGGAATCGTCTCCGTACAGCAGATGCGTCACCGTACAGATTTGATCTTTTTCAAATATATACAGTGAATGATTATTTGCCAAATCGTCATTTGTTCTAAAATGTGTAGATAACAAATACATATTTTCATAAAAATAATCCATACTCTCAGTTGGCAGGGAAAATAATAACCAAACAAAAAATGAAAAAAAACAACATTTTTCTCTCGAGTCGATTATGTGGGCCGATCCAATCAGAAAAAATCCGAGCAGTGCTCAAAAACTTTTATCACAATTACAAAGTTAAAACCATTTCTAAGAGAATGCTGTTTTTATTACACCCGAAATCGTATTTATTTTCATGTAATTAATTTTTTTTAAAACCCTCATTATAGTTTTTGCTTCAACTTAGTTAATTTTCGTCACCGTACAGAAAACTGTACTACAGTACAAAATATAAGATTTTACAAACCTGCTTTATGTACGCGTAACACGTCAAGTATGGGATAAACAGAAATATCCCTCTTCGAAACAAATACATTGAAAATCAGTATCAATAGTTATATATCTCATGCTTATTGATATAAGATGGGTTTGGGGATGAAAAGTGCGTTTGACATATAGTATAGGTCTCGCCAGGGAGAGGGAAGATATAATTGATATCTCCAGTGGAGATATATAATATACCTTAAACCTCCTAATACATAGCCGCTATCATTCAACAGCACGTCAGGATTATTCAACAGCACGTCATTTATATTCAGGAGCACGTTATTTATATTCAACAGCACGTTATTCATATTCAAAAGCATATCATTTATATTCAACAGTACGTGATACATATTCAAGAGAACCTGATTCACGCTCAACAGCACATCATTTGCCAGCCTATGGTCATCATTCATTCTCAGTCACGGGCAAATATATCCATCACCTCCTAATCGAGTGAAAATTCCCTACTTCAGCAACCAGGACGTTATTTGATGAATTTCATAACGTCTTGGTTGCTTCATGTTGCTAAAGTGAGGAATTATTGGAGCCCTTGGATGTATATAAAATGGCGAAAATAATGGCGAAAATAAAAATCTCCTGCGACGGAAGTTCATCCATTTTGTTTAAAGACGTTACGTCTTTAGATGTGGACCAGTGATATATTTCGTCTAATTCCTTGCACATGCACTTTCACTTTACATCATTATCGATTTCGATCCCTTAAGTCATTGTATTCCTTTTCTCCAGGTTACCCAGTTGACCTTACTCGATAAAATGGTTGATTGGACACGTCAGTACAAATCAAGCTGGATTTTCAATACGGGACCATTTGCTCCACGTCTCCAGAACGTACATCCTGACACACTAAAATGTGTTATGGGAAAAGGTATATTTGAGATGTGCCCTGTGGAGCTTCTGTGGCATCGGTTAAAAATGTTTTGGTGGTGACATTTTGCATGTTAATGCCTTGTTAGATCCTCCGTTTCTATAAAGCGTCTGTTTGTAAACCACTGGGTGATTTCTTCTCCGCTACGTTGATCCATTGGCATAAAAGACTAGTGGTTCTGGGTTTGTGTCATTGTTTTACTTCTTGTTTTTCCAATGTATTATCTTACCTTCACCCAAAGAGATGCATCTGAGGGGACACACTCTTTGGATGACTTACTTTTGATAGAATCGTAGACTTTGATTTGGGTCCACTCTGTATCTTACTATTTAAAAAAATCAAGGCTCAACAATTTGTAAAAATAATAATAAATCTATTGAAACTGGTATATATTTTCACATTGATAAACTAATTTATATCACTGTACTGTAATAGATATTTTAAACATTTTGTTTTAGATCCAAAGGATTCCTTTAGTTATGGCTTCATAAGAGCATGGATAGGTATGTAATGTAGTCATTTTATTTACACATTCGAGGTGGTCCTCTAAAATAAAAAATGCTTTCATAGACAAAATATCACCCTTACATTTTACCCTCTCCCCTCCGGTTACGGGCCTGCAACCAGATGTGAATTGATAAGATAAAGCTAAACTCAATGAGAGGTTGATTGATACCCCTAACGAAACGAATCAAATGCACACATTTGGGCAGAATACATCTACTCATCTGTAACAATACGACAATTTTGTCAAGAGATTCATATGCTATTTTGTTTAACAGGTGACGGCCTACTACTTAGTAAAGGAAAGAAATGGTTCAGAAACAGGAGATTGTTAACCCCGGCCTTTCACTTTGATATTCTTAAACCCTACATGGAAGTATTTAGTAATTCCTCCCAGATCATGGTGGTAAGAGTTTGTATGGTAGAAACCTTGCTTACAATAGTTTCAGCTTGTACACACTTTTTTAAAATGTCTTTCTCTTCATTTCTTAATTAAGATAACAACAAATATTGTATAAAGCCCTCCGAGGATTCTTTTGAATATTGATGTCACTAAAGCAGAACAATTTGTAAACATATTACTCGAAGCAGAGTACTTTTGTTTTATTCGGACAATGATAAGGTAATGATCAACAAAAAATCTCCGGTTAAATGTATACAAGAACTATGGCTTTTCACCCTAGACCAATGATTTCAGAATAAATGGAAGGGTATGATTAAAAATGGCAACAACTCCCTGGACATGTTTGAGCACGTCAGTCTCCATACTCTGGACAGCATACTGAAGTGCGCCTTTGGATACGAGAGTAATTGTCAACTAGAAGGGTATGTATGTTTTGGACGATCCTTATCAGGGAGTAGAAACGCGTAGAGTATTTTCGTGGAGTACACAGAAAATACATTTCAAAAATCGCCATCCTTATTCAAAAATTAGGCAGTGTAGTTTTATTTTGTCGTGTGTGAACGTATTTTTTATTACTTTCTCACCTGTCATTTAAGGCTCGTCACATTCCCAAAACATCGTGGAAACATTAAATTGTCACAAATTGACATACTTGTAGCTCTAGTTTTTCAATAATGTGATATTAAGCACATACTTTTTATTCGAAGTCAAAATATTTCTTTTGCTAACCCCGCATTTTAGAAAAACTGGATGGATGGCTGTCAATACTATTAATAACAATGAAATATTTCCCCAAAGTACTTGTAACGTGATGAGCGCGTATTGGCAGGTGAGGAAACACTTCGAAACGTTCATAGACTACCAAATAAAACTACACATACATGTACCTGCTTTTCGAACTAGAATACTCTACGTGTACACACAAGCGTATGTATTTGAGTCAACATATGGATTATGGCTATTTACACTTTTTAGACTTATTCTTTAATTACTTGTTTTGTGGTAGTGTAAGATATACCTTGACTTGATTTTCAGAAATCGCAATCCATACATTCAATGTGTGTACACAATAACACAGTTGGTAACCAAGAGGTTCCGTTTCTTGCCTTATCACAATGACATCATCTATTACCTCAGTCCCCAAGGATTCCAGTCTAGAAAGGCTATTAACTTTGCCCATGATTTCACTAAAGGAGTTATAAAAAAGAGGAAACAAGTATTAGAAAATAAGGTAAAAGAAATAATATCTGGACTCAATATTTAATATGAATGTATCCTAACGACTAAGTTTGTATGTTAGTTCAATAGAGTTCCTCTTTGTATCGTTTGAGAACAATAATATGATATAATGTAATATAATATAATTTGATATGATATGATATGTTCTAATATGATACAATATAATATATCAGTTACTGGGTAAGGGTTAAATGCATACCTCAATGAATCGTAAATCAGTTTTTATGCTGCCATGTTTTATTTGTTCTACAAGGGAGCTGAAAATGGAGACGGGGGCAAAAGGAGGTACTTAGATTTCCTCGATATGCTTCTGCAAACAAAGGTAAGATTATTCCAAACATCTGGTCAATTAACCAAAGCGTAATTTTATGAACTTACTACAATTACAAGATTTGAGAGTTCTTCACATCGGATTGATATTTTTAGGATGAAGATGGCAATGGATTGACAGATCAGGAAATCCAGGATGAAGTTGACACGTTTATGTTTGAAGGACATGATACAACAGCCAGTGGTAAAAACATATTAGCAAAGAAAAACATTTTATAGTTTGCTCCTGATTATATCAATTTAAACGGATTATTTATTTTCAGTCTTAAGAGCACTTTGTATTTATCGTCCAAATGTATTACAACTCAAAGATAATTGTATTAAATATCTTTTCCATTCTTTATACTTCAATTCTGATTTTTTCTGGTAGGTATATCGTGGTTTCTCTACAACTTGGCACGACATCCAGAGATCCAAGAACGTTGCAGACAGGAGGTCATTGACCTAATAGGGGACCGTGAGCACTTTACATGGTAACGTAAACAAATTAGTATATAGGTATCAAAGATTATGTACTTGAAACATATGTGCATGACGTATGTTAGTTTTTGGTTCACAGTTTTCTGGCTTAAAGGAGACTCTGTTGTAAATCGAAAAATTAAATTATGACGGACGGAACGAAATTCGATGTACACTTTTCTAATGGTACTCAATTTGTACCTCCAGCTTTTTTCGAATGTATACCTTTATCTACATTATTAATTTATATTTTCAAGGGATGATATGTCCAAGTTACCATATCTTACAATGTGCCTGAAGGAAAGTATGAGACTTCATCCACCTGTTCCAAATACTTCGCGGCGAACAATTAACCCAATTGAGTTCCCCGATGGACGTATCGTCCCAGCAGGTATGTTAGCACCAGCAGTAATTATAAAAAGTTATTGTATACAAAATAAATTTAACGAGTATATCAAACCATGGCCAGTAGATAAGAACGGTGACATTTTACAGCATACGTAGAAAGGAATCTGATAATGAAACTAACGAGGCCGAATATGTAGCCAAACCAAATGGGGTAAAAATAAGTACACCAAAGAAAGGAAACACCGGGTGTACAATCAGTAATAAGGACAAAGAAAGACACTTAATACCCTATTTTTGTTTAACGAATGGAGAAATAAGGTTTACATATCCCTCCCCCATTAAGGAATGAATATGATCACGATAAAAACCACAATATCCATAATCTATAAATGTATGTTTCAGATACATGGGTTGGCATTGGTATATATGCAGTACATCACAATCCTGCTGTGTGGGAGGATCCGGAGACGTACGATCCTGAACGGTTTAACCTTGATACCGCTGAGAAGCGACCTCCACATGCATTCATTCCATTTTCTGCTGGTCCAAGGTAATGCTATCACGATAATTGTCAAGCTAGTTCTTGATTATTTGTAGATGTTCTTGAATATAAGCAGATGACGTGTAATACTTTATATCACGATATGTTTTTGTTTTTCTCTTACAGGAATTGCATCGGACAACACTTTGCGATGAGCGAGATGAAAATATGTGCTGGGAATGTTCTCCGGAACTTCAAACTTGAAGTCGACAACACAAAACCCGTGGTTCCGGTTCCAGAATTAATTCTGAGATCAAAAGGCGGTTTATGGCTGAACATAACACCTCTCTAGACCCTATATACTTTGAAGAAGTTAGCATACAGTAACACGACAGTTGTACTTCAGTCTGTGCAACAACGGCGGAATAAATACTGCTGAATCACGATGATAATTTTTTATCTAAACCAACTGGCAGTCACTATTTGTTTTGTTATACTCTATATGTATTCTGTAAACAAAGACTAACTCTGAAATCTTTTAATTTCAACATTTAATGCTTACAGGTTCTTATTGGCATTTAAAGGCATTTTGCCTATAAATCACAGCTAGTAGGGAAGATAAAATGTACTAATGACTGGTCGCGTGACCTAACTGGTGATTAGGATATTACATCTTCCCTGTTAGCAGGAATTTAGGACACTCCAGGGAATAAGTTCATCTATTTCATATCATGTGACCATGAATAAGCCAATGAGCATCTAGAATATAATAATGTAATACATTTTCCTCTAAGCCTAGGATATCATTTTCTATATGTTATATTCTTCATACCATTCTAAAGCTTGTCCCAAACTGGTCATACCTGACAGGTTAAAAATAAACAATGACACACTGACAGCAAATTCACGGTGACCAAGAGTTAACAGTGCAAATCGGCCCGGTCGTGTTTTTTTAATCTCTTTAGTCGTGTTTTTTTGAAAATTTGAGAGGTAGGTTGATAAATTTGGTCATGAAATTGCTGTCACTTGACTTTATGTAAAAGTAAGTAATTTATATTGCTTTCCATACTATATATCTTAACTTCAGGTATTCGTAAACGTGTTATTTGCACGAATCGTATGCTATAGTCTTGTTATATCGGGAAATAAGCAATTCTGTCAGTGTTATACATATTTTTGCCTGAAAATCACTTGCCTGACTTGTATTCAATGAATACATCGATTCATAAGGAAAGCATTCACAATATGTGCGAAAATCAAAAGTTAGAAGAGCTTAAATAAGTAGCAATTGACCGAATAATATTTTTTAGATTAAACTCTTTAGACGTGTTGAAAAGATTGCGGTTAATGACGTTGACCTGTTAGTGAAACGTTCTAGACGTGTAGAGACATTGAGGTTTAACGATTTGGAAGTGGGAAACAGCACAATTAACATTATGTATTTCCCCAAAAATGATCACAATGTGGAAGAAGTTGTTGTCTGAGTGACACTATCTTAATTATAAATGATTAACAATAATCAAATGTACGACATAATATGTCAAGATTGATCTATGGGATCACTACCGAATTTGATACTTAAATCAAAATGGTTAGAATCAGACACGCATGGTTAATGCAAGCGAGCTTTGCCTCGTCGCTCGTCATTTTGAAAATTTGACCAGTCATATTATTTTTTAATTGCCCTGTCGCTCATTAAATGGCTCGTTGCTATTTTTGAATTTGCCTCAAATACGTTTTAAAACGTCCCTATTGGCCTTAAACTCACTTTTCCCTGTCATGAACGTAAATAAATTTATTTAAAATGAGAGGAAATGTTTAGTTTGTGATGCACTACATGTAAATGCATATATATGATCACCTAATGTAAGGAATAACTCCACCGTTATTAAAATCGTATGCTCAATATCTATTAGGTTTGCCTCAGGATTTTTAACAATTTGATTCGATGTTATTCCCTAATTCGCCTCACACAATGCAATACAATTTCAATTTTAATTTTCAAATTGCAATAGGTAAAAAACGCTACATATGCTGCTATCGTTCTATGAGTGATCTATGAACTGTACTGTAACATAGTTTTCTAGCGAATTAAATTACAACATCTGTTGATCTTGTTAAATCATATATCTGTCTTTTTTATTTATTCTTATTTATTCATATCTTGACTACAAATTACAATAAACGGGTGACACATAATGTATATTCCCGTGTTTTATACTAATACATGAACAGATGGTGGGGATCTGCTTGTGTAATAATGCATACTATTTGATTCTGGTTAATAGTGTGTGTCGCACTAGGCCCGCAAATCATTATAAAACCAACATAAACTATAAATTATATTATTGATTGAGAAGATACTTTTTGAGTTTTAACTTCTAGCAGAAATACGAGATAGTAAGAATTTAGTTTTTCAATTTATTTTAGTACTAGTTTAAAAAGCAAACAATTGTGACAAGTGCGAGCCCTAGCTATAGGTTTAGGGTCCATAAAAATATGACAATCTTGAGTGACTGTTATAAGGAGGGGATATGCTTTTATCGACCCCAAACCTATTTTCCGTTCTCTGTTTCAGAACCATGTCGTTTGAGCCGATTGAAATTGGTGTATTCGATTGTAGTGGGATATAAGCGCAAACCAGTCATATGTTGATGAAAACGATGATTTCATAAGTATGAAATCATCGTTTTTATGCAGTTGCATAATGTTCTCATAATGTTCAAGGAAAGTGTTCTTATGAGCGCTTTTGAAAGAGCACGCGTGGCACTTATTCCGAGGAACTGAAATTACAAAATATGTGAATAGTCATGTAGTACAAACACGTCTTATCTTCAAGTTACTAATACGATTATTTTCAGAAGCACAGACAAATTATTAAGCAACAAAACATGGTCAATGTGAACAATATTACAAGACAATTCAAAGTCGTTAATTTTATCACGTCTAATACGTTATCTTTACAATTCCAAAACGTTAACTTGCTTATTATAAGACACGTCCATGACGTTATATTGTCCCTTCTCCATAGTTAACTCCACTTTCTACATTTACGGTCATTTATGGCAATTTTAAGATAAATACAGTTAAAATATTTACACGATCTTTAGAGTAGTGAAAATTATTCCACGTTGTTGAATGGATTGTCTGTTTAAACTTGATTAAATAACACTAAATGCAAATTTAGTACATATTTCTGGCACTTTTGGTATATAATTGCGATTAATATGAAGTATGATGGATTTATCCCCAAAATATATTCGTGGGTATGAAGAAGAACATCTTAGGTAGAAGTCAAGATATGTAAGTTTGTAAAATATAGAATATTCTTACCATTTTGCTCCATTCTATCGAATGTCGCATCCCATGTTCTCACAAAACACGACTAAAGAGTTTAAAAAAACACGACCGGGCCGATTTGCACTGTTAACTCTTGGTCACCGTGAAATTATGGAAGTGTCAAAACCCGCCTAAAACATGATTTTTAGACAATTTTACGCCTCAAATAGCAGTGAAATTAGGGTTAAAATGTAACCATTTTGTTCAATAAACACATTTATATATAACATCTGAATACATTTTGGTATGCATAAGCTAAGTATAGCATGTATAACATATTTATGAGTCATTGAGGATGATTTAGGGTTATAATTATCTTACAATTTCCAGTTTATTGAAATGTATGTCACCCCTACCCCTAATTTTGAACTGAGAAGAGACCTCTGAATCTGAAGGATATTACCTCAGATTTTATAACAAAATGGTTGTAATTAATCAGACTTTTATTATACAACTGATATTTTTCACAAAGTTTTATTGGATTTAAAACTTTTTAAAATAGTGTATTCCTCTAATATGGTAAAAAGTCACACGCACGATTTTGGGAGTTGTCCTATTCAATCCTTTCTAACTTTTTACTATATTTACGAAATTCTTTGAAATTTTCTCCATTTGGCCACAGTATACATACATTATACCTCTGAATGTTTGGTCTGATAATAACTAAAAAGACATGATTGATAAAATACATTGCACATTTTTTTCTTTACAGAGGGTATTTGAAATAATTTACATCGTTTAGATATAATTTAGAAGTCCATCAACTATATACTTGTACATTATCATTGACCGGTTCATGAGTTATGAGTCTCCATAAACATTCCATCCAACAGCAGCCTCGTAGTCCGGGTCGGTGTAACTGTTTGTTACCCGACATTGGTTTGTTGCTTTGTTGTAAGCCCAAACGGTACACAGTGTCTCAGTGAGGCACAGTAACCCACATTGTATACGGCTATTGACTGGGACGGTGTATGTAGATGTGGCTGATGTGAAGGAGGTATCGACATGGAGTCTTTGATAAAACATTTGGGTTGCTGGAAGTTATATTACAAACTTTTATGAAGGAATTATGAAACAACTGTTCTAATTTTAAATGCTTCGTGAACTTCGAATTTCGGAAATTCTATACACTTTTGAAAAGTTTTCTTGCGTTTCAAGTTATTGATATTTCATACCTTTGTGCCAATAGGTGCCAGGCTTCCTTGAGCAGAAAAATGGGTTCATCATGCCGCAGCTTTCCTCGCTGAAGCCAGTAACACTTCCAGCATGAACCTCTAAACATTCACCTACTGCTGGACTTCTTGGTCTGCCTAGACCCCATAACGATAACAAAGTTGGTTCACCGTGAATGTCATTTATAGTACTTCCATAATACTTGAGTCCCACCCATGCGCGCGCAGCACCTAGAAATAACTGTCATATCAAAACCTGAGTGGGCCAACCATTTGGGTTGGAATTTATGGCAAAGGTTTTCTGACTCCAATTTAGAATTCCAAACAACCATTCAATTTATAAGAGCTCAATTTTGCATACCAAATACATTCCAAAGTATTTAATTTAAATATTTCCTGTCTGATTTTGCACTTTTCTTTGAAACTTTTGAATTTTTCTTAAATTTTCAATTCTACATTAAATATTTCATATCTTGACATTCGAAGGTTTGAAGCAAAAAATTATATTATGCTTTACACATTTTAGATTCGAAATGAAAAAGTACAAAGGTTGGTATATATGGTATGTCACCAATTCTTTTCCATGACTATTTCATGACAAGTAAAAGAATACGATATAATTACCCCTTGCTGCTAGTATATCAAGGTATATAGCTACATCAGCATCAGATGATGGTAGACCAAGTGAACTTCTTATCGAGTTACAATACGTTTCGGCTTCAGCGAATGTGCTACTTGTAGAAATATATTGAATACAGTTGCCATTCACCAAGTCCTCATTCGCTCGACAGGTTCTCCCTAAAATAACAGTTGACATGGTTGATGGCGTTGATTGGAATTTAAAGGCAGAATCAGATCTATCGGGGTGACAAAATTACAAGCAACATGTAGAATTGACCTACCAATTACTAGTAACCAATTACTAATGAATCTATTCCTTACAATATCAAATACAATATCTCCCAAAAGATTCACGATATTTTATAAATTAATGGTGAAGTTATAATTTGGATTCAAATTGCAAAAATGGTTGAAAATGTTTAAATTCTCCCAAATAATACTTCTTATAGAAAAATAATACATTATTGTAATAATCTTAAATTTCTCCTGAAATAAAGTGTTCACTTTGAGGATTTTTAGAAAATAGACGTGAAAAAGGAATGGCATAAGCCATAATAAATATTCTAAAATTGAAACAATATTTTGTTAGTCTGCTCGCAAAATCTGATGAATTTTTAATTGTGAATGGACTTTGATCAAATTAAGGGTTTCATTATCTAAATCAATCCTTGCATTACTCATTGGTATTACCCACCCACTTTACACAATTTATCCGGTCCATGTTATTGGGGCGAGCTTAATCTCTGATAATTTTATAAAATCACACTGAAACTACATAAACATTTTATGACTTTCAATCGATGCATACATATTTTGCATAATGAAGTACACAACTATTTCCACAATTTTGTTTTATAAGGCCTATTGTATATATTAGGGAGTTTAGGCTTGTATATAAAATCAAAACGCCAACCTATACGTATGACAATCGCCCATTCAAATGCATCACTTAAATATTTTCCGTTCGCGTTTACACCCTTGGTATACGCAGCTAACGGAAATTGACCGGTACGGGTCAAAAGCTGGACCGATACGGGTTAACGGTTTTATTTGAATTTAAAACAGCCATAACTTGCTCAATATTGACTTCCTCGTGTCTAATTTGAAATATATGATGCCTCCCGATGCTTTTAAGTACCCCAATTTTTTACAGATTTTTAAACGGACCAAAACTCTCTAAATGCGCATTTATGCTCTTTTCTCTCGAGAACGACTGTCTCATTTTCACGATAACTTTTATTTAGTACTTCTAACATATAAGATCTATTTTTCCCCATCAAGGTATGATGTAAATGACATGCTATTTACATCTTGTGAGTTTCAATGACGCGCGTTTGATTTTATAAAAAATGCCAAACTTTGTGACAAAGAATTTCATCCTGCTATTGCCCCGAACCGGTCCGTCTTCTCGCTGCAAGCAGATTGCCCCGAACCGGTCCGTCTTCTCGCTGCAAGCAGGATGACAAAACCGTTAACCCGTACCGGTCCAGCTTTTGACCCGTACCGGTCAATTTTCATTAGCTGCGTATACCAAGGGTGGTTTAGGTTGTGAAAAACATTCCAAGCTTGAACTCCCTATTGACGTAATATGTCTGCATCTGACCAAGGACGTCCTTGACCTGACTAACAAAACGCATTCTCTCGTGAAACCTTGGAAATCGTCATGTCCGTTCCACGACATCGCTTCAGTATTTATTGCGTGAAATGCGTAAAACATGAAAGGAAATGTACAGGCCCGTAGTCAGGGGGTGGGGTCGATGGGTTCGAGCGAACCCCCCCTCCCTGGCCAAAAATCTTTCAAAATCATGCAGTTTTTCACCATTCTGAGCACTTTTTAAGTGATTTTGGCCATTTTTGGACCAAAATTGTCACAAGTGAACCCCCTGGAATTTTTCAAAAAGTGAACCCCCTTTGGCAAATCCTGGCTACGGGCCTGATGTAATTATGTATAAGGAGTCCATCGTACAATAAGGAAAGCATACCTAATGCATTAACTCCACTCTCATTGATTTTCATTTACCCTTTTCTATTTGGAAACATGTTTAATTATCTTGCGTCATTTCAATGATGTTCGTTCTGATTCTCAAATACGTAGGCCTACCACAATCGATAAGTGGGAGAAAAATAATTAAATTGATTTACAGTTCACGAAATATAATGGCAGTAGAACATTTAAACAAATATTCTTACTACTAATAAAGATAGAACCACGAGCCAACCGCATGGATGGCATGAGCATCACTACTGTTAAAGAGGTGGTAGTACGATATCATATCAATCATTTTAATGAATTAAACCGTATCCGGCAGGGGCGGATCTGGGAACCAACAAGGGGGGGGGGGGGCAAACTTGTGGTCTGAGAAAAAAACGTCCGCGGAAAAAGATTTTGGGCCCCAAAAACCTAAAAGTGGGCCCAAATTTTGAAATTTTGAGGCCCATTTTCTTCAAAATTTGGCCTAAAATTAAAAAACAAGGCCTTAGAAGGCCAATTTAAGACCTAAAAGGCCTACTTTTTGGGGCCTTAAAGCCATTTTTGGCTCAAAATTTTTGCCCCCCCCAGATCCGCCAGTGTCCGGAATGAACACTAAAACTCACCTGACTCTGGGTCGGCGTTACACTCATCTGTCGGGCAGCAATAAATACAGCTCTTCAAACCAAAGTTAAGGTTTTCATTGTTACAGCCGTGGGCTGGTGAGAAGTTACACTCTGACTGAGTTCCACACTTTTTATTCACATTTAATGTATTTCCATTCCAATCGAGACGGGTAAAGCAGAGCTGTAAATGATGATTAGAATGGTAAATTAAAAGAGTTCAATTTAAGACTCCAGATTGAAGCTGAATATGTAGCTAAGTAGGTAGTTGGGCAGATAGCTGAATAAGAAACTGAGTAAGCTGACTTAACCCATAACCTAAGATCAACATGGGGAAATCACCATTGTTTTTTCGGGATTTCAAAACGTCATAGTATCTTCACTTGAAATCTGACTTCTAATTCTGCTTTCCTACTTTCCGAACACCATATCTCAAAAAAGGTCAAAGTTGAAAAATGATCGTTATTTGCGTCAGATGCGTATCTCAAAAACGGGGAAATGTAATGCTGATATGACATGTTTCTTTTTGATTTGAAAGGGCACATATGGAGCTATCCCGTGGTATATGGGGTTATGTACCGAAAATCCTCGTTTTTTCATAATCAATCCAAAGATTTCAATATTTTCCCATTGGATTACATTAAAGCATTTATCTGTGGAATTGTCCCGTATTATACATATTAGATTGTTGCCTGAAATGAGAATGATATTTTCATCATTTGAAGAGGCATATTGTTCTATTAAATGTCATACATGGTTTACTATCTGAAATCTTGGATTGAGGAATACTGAGTTTCTGAGACTAACATTGGCTGGTTGTGTAGTAAATGAACTTATTAAGGGTTCAGTAAACACATTACTTACATCATTTGGGTCCGCGCATGTCTCAACTGTTGCTGATGGCAGACATTGTGCGTCAGTTCTCATTCCGCCGCATCCTACATTCTTACAAGTCAAGCCAAACACCCCCGATTCTAAAGTTCAATTAAACATAAATACGTTACTTTCTATTTAAGTTTGATAAAGATGAGTATCAATTTCTACTACTATTTGCGATGTAAAAAGTACACATTTGCAACACCTTTTCAGAAAGGAGGAGATTTTCTAAACTCAAGAGATGCCACAATGTTTCGAAGACCAATTTTATAAACTGGCCATGGAATCATTTGCCATTTATGAAAGTTCGTTGGTGTTAATTTTCTGATTACTCTCGTGAGGTTTAGATATAGAAACTTAGATTGTATTACCGTAGTTTAGATTTGATGGCCCAGTTTAAAGCTTGAAATTATTCTTTTATTATTCATTTATTATTTGTCATGATTTGATAAATTATTTTAGAGATTTCTTAGAAAAAAGATATATTAGAAAAAGTTCGTCAGCTTTTTGTTCAAATATTCAAATCATTTTTCAAATAAAAGTCGTCTTTTGAACTATCTGAGTATTTCGTTCGCCCTTACTCCAGTCATAGTGTAGAGTAACTCTTCAAACTAGTTAGAAACGGATCTGTTTTCGTAACAAAATGTCGCAGCCTCGAAGGTACGCTTTTTCTTTTTTCACGATTTCAAGGCAAAATCTGCACCTGCACAACATTTTGGGCACAAACATGTGTCAGCATCATATGTTTATGAAAATCTAATGATTTATAAATGAATAGTTAGCGAGGCGCAAAAATGATTAAAATGGATCCTAGCTACTACTGCGTTAACGGAATGTTTCCGTTTTCTGTCGTCTCGTGAATTTTTTGTCAATTTTCTGACTGACACAACATGCACAGCCACCAGATGTTGAACTGAACGAGGTACATGTATACTTCTAACTATATTATTCGTATATGAGAGAATACAACATTCTGGCTCCTTAACATATATAAATATATAAAATTGTAAACTACAAACCTATATGAAATAGTGTGTAAATGTAAATCGTACATGTACCATATATTTTCTCATAATATGTACACAACAGATAAGATAGATAAAATAAACATAACTAACTAACCATCAAAATATATATACAGGGTGTCTCAAAAAAATGTACCCAAAAGTATATCAAGAGCACAGGTAAACCAATCAATATTTTCAGACATTTTTTGCATGGTCATGTCGCCAAAACATGAAAGTTTTCTCCCCAATACACCATTTTTATTTCAGTCTTGTCTTTTTGATGCTTTAACCCTTTACCTTTTACACCACATAATCGATGTAAACTCATATTCCGATGACAGCCTGTATCCTTACTGCTACATTGTTCATCACATTTGATAATAATTCCTGTGGAATGTTTTGGATTTCTCTTTGGATGTTGCCCTTAAGTTGTTCTAGGTCTTTTTGCTTGGAATGAGCATTAAAACACTCCTTCAAATATCCACAGAGAAAGATGTTTGAGGATGAAGATGGCAGAACAAACACAGATAATCAGGTCAATTATCGGCAAATGATTCAGGAGTTACTTTCCAGAGTTAGGTAGGCTAGCCTGGACACCAAATGATATCCAAATGACAACACAGTGGTCTCAAATTGATACACACAACAAAAGCTACACTAGAATCCCAACCAATGCTGTTTCTTGAACCTCTGACCTCTCTGTATAAGGGGGGTATAAGACAATGTGAGGGCCTCCCTATTCACCATATTTGACGGCCCATACATTTTTCTCTGAGGCTATTTGAAGGACCATTTTTATGCTAAACCCAAGCTAAGAGACCCAGAACAACTTAAGACCAGCATCAAAACATAAATCAAAACATTTCACCAAAAATATCAAATGTGATGAACAATGTAGTAGTAAGGATGCAGACTCTCATCGAAATATGAGGTTACATTGAATATGTGGTGTAAAAGGTAACGGGTTAAAGTATCAAAACGGCAAAACTGAATTAAAAACTGTGTATAGGGGAAAAAACTTTCATCTTTTATCTACAAGTCCATGCAAAGAATGTCTGAAAATATTGATTGGTTTGTCTATGATGTTGATATACTTTTGGGTACATTTTTTTGAGACACCCTATATATACATGCAATAAAATATTAAAGAATCATACACTTGAAAAGTGTATACTGCATGTCATGATCAATTAGCACCTTTTTAATTCCTAAAAACTGTATAGTAGCGGGCTGAAATCGAAAACAAGCGGGAATCTTACCTGTCGCGGATACTATTTTCAAAGATTAATTATATAAGTTCGAGTTAAAATATACTTACCACGCAATCCAAACGAAAATACAATTAATCGATTTAATCAAGTTAAAATATTCTTACCAAGCAATCCAAACGAAAATACAATTAATCGATTTAATCAAGTTAAAATATTCTTACCAAGCAATCCAAATGAAAATACAATTAATCGATTTAATCAAGTTAAAATATTCTTACCAAGCAATCCAAATGAAAATACAATTAATCGATTTAATCAAGTTAAAATATTCTTACCAAGCAATCCAAATGAAAATACAATTAATCGATTTAATCAAGTTAAAATATTCTTACCAAGCAATCCAAATGAAAATACAATTAATCGATTTAATCAAGTTAAAATGTTCTTACCAAGCAATCCAAACGAAAATACAATGATCCACATGTTTCATACGATATGTGTAATTAGTTTTTGGTTGATCAATTAATTATAAATATGGACGATTCCGAAGTAGTAAATATATGTTAAATCCAATTCATAATTGTGTGTCGCCTTGCAAAAATAATTAATCTGTTTCATATGTTTCTGGTATGTTTGTCATCATCCCGCGATATTGGAAATCAGTTAAGTCTGAGATGGCAGTCCCTTTAATTGCAAACATAATCAATAATGTAAAAGGTCTGCCGAATGTCTGGTAATCTGGCACAAAGGTAACCATAGAGGCCGATTTGAAAAGATATGAGGTATATTATGATTAGTCGATTAAGAAGGTACACTCCCCTCCATAAGTTTGACAACCTTTGCTCCCCCATTGAACTACGTGTTAAAGCCTCTTTACCTTGAATTTTTATTTACTTAACCTGCAATGAAAATACTTATACTATTGAGGGAAATGTAATTTGACTTTATTTCAATGCAATACCTCAAAATTTTCTCAATTTTTTCCCCAGTTACAATAGGTGGAAAATTGATGATACATTTGAAGAATTTTTGAAAATCGTCATTCCCATGTTAACCAATGGGAAATGCTATTCATACATTTTAGGGGTTTACGGGTATGTGAACGGTTCTTTCGATGTATATCAGTGTTGAGGGTGAGTCCTTACATTTAAACCTCTGATTTAGTCTTGCTTTAAATATATAAGCACTAGTGCCAAAGGGAAAGGACCAAAAGTTGTAATGGAACTTAGCAAGAAAAAGCAAACTCTAAGTGCATACCAGTCAAGATAAACAAACCCCATATAGCCCAAAACCATGATCTAACGTGAAAAGAAACAATGTCTAATACCCCCTTTCCCCCACCATTCAAGAATCAATATCACAATCCAAGACCAGAAGACCAAGGGACATTTCATTCATACTGAAGTCATTACAATACATGTTGAAGAAAAAATTAGAAATTGAAAGCAAATTGATAGCCAATACTCATAACCTCAAAAATTGTTGTAGATATAAGTACTCATACAAGATAGAGCATTCAGTCTCAAATGATGTGGGATAGATGAAATCCAGTCTCCAAGTCCATAGGCATTTCAAAGGGTCAACATCCATTCACAAAAGCCGTCGCCATAATCCATAAAACACAATAATTCACAATGGTCATCAGGAGAAAACTATGGCTGGTTTCGATCCCTTTTTCTCAACCATTAAGCCATAGCCGGGATCCACCTCAAAAGGTGCCAAGGTAAAATATTGTGAGTTCATTGCCAATGTCTTAAACAATTCCCACATCCTTCAGCATCTCAAGTGGTAAAACTTGAAACTTCGAAATTAGTGATTTGTATTTTTCAGCAAAGCCCAGAAAGAATTTCTTAAGCTTAATAGAATTATAACCTTGACCTAACAGTTTGATCACTAAAGTATTGTGTCTTGACTTAAAATCTAAATATTTAGAGCATGCCCTGCCATATCTAATAAGCTGGGATACATAGACCCCATATGCTGCATTTAATGGAATATTACTGTCTAAATGGGAAAAATTCACAATATCAAAGTTGAAATCATCTCGTTTATCATACAACTTACAATATATACTGTTGTCTTGTTCAATGTTAATGAGAAGGTCAAGATAAGGCGCATTCATGTTCGATTCATTGGTCTTTTTTAACTCTAACTCGGAAGGGTATATCTCATTTACAAAATTTTCAAATCCAGGGTTGTCCAAACTCAACAGGTCATCTATATACCTATCTGTTTTATTAAAAAGTTTATTTAGCTATGTGGAATTTTGTCTTATCTTTCATCATCTTTTGCAAAAACTTATTCATACGAGAATAGAAAAAGGTCTGCCAAAAGAGGAGCACAATCTGTCCCCATTGGTATTCCTATATTTTGACGTAAAACAGTATTTCCAAACTTTACATAAATGTTATCAATCAAAAAGCCTAAAACCTCACAAAGTTGTATTGCAGTAAAAGAAATATACTTTTCATGTTGATCACTAGAAAAGAAAGCTCTATTTGAACTACAATTTACGAATTTAAATCTACTACCTTTCATTGTGTTTTTAATGATACCAAATATTTCCTCTTTCAATTTGTTATGGGGAATTGATGTGTAAAGTGTGGAAAAATCCCATGTGGAAATACATTTAACTTTTGAATAATTAGGTTGATCAAATTTAGATAAAAGGTCCTTCGAATTTTGAGATTGTTGACTTCCCCCTCCTATCTACTTCACCATACTTGTATTATAATCACTTTTGTATCCTTTAACTCACATCATATAATTTACATCATATTATGCATAATTCAACAATATGTTTTATATGTTTTAAATATGCACTCATCAAAAATGATGGATAAATAAACATAATAATAATGATAACCAGCACAACACTATTGCTCAAGTTTCAAGGATCTCCAAGCAAGACTCCAACTGATTTTGGAATAACTTCCTCAATTACGAAGGTCGTGTATATGTAGATGGAATCTTTGTTTGACACTGCATTGTTATAGATATTTATACCCTCCCCTAATGTTAGGCAACCAGGATGCCACATTGTCTACCGTGTGAAAGCCTGTACACGTACATGGTTGAATCTTCGTCCTCAATGACGATTGATCGCAATTCAATGATTTTATTCCAAATCAATCAAAATGCATGATAATCGGTCGGAGAGAGAGATTTCGCTCATAAGTGAAACCACAACTTGTGTTTCAAAAGACAAAATCGTGTTTAATAACTTTTGGAATAACAAATGTTACAACCCATCTTACGCTGTGCTTCCACCCCAGTCACAGTTCCTATGGCCGCCGTACGGTCTATCTATTCTGCGGTCAGTAACATTTCTACGCTCGCCGTAGAATTTCTTCGGTCGGATACCTTTGCAGTCAAAAGGTTGTTTGTAACATCAAACAATATACGTAAAAAGGAGATCTAAACATCAGCATATACAATTCGAACCAAATCCATCCACTAGTATTTGTGTTATCATTAATTATGTTTTTTACGAAAAATGGCGGCCATTTTGAAATTCAGTGGCCATCTTGAAAATTTATTTTTGAGCAGAACTTCTTTGTCTCTAGGCATCAGCATATAGAATTTGAACCAAATCCGTCAACTGGTATTTGAGTTATCAAAGGTTACGTTCTTCTCGAGCAGAGCTCCTATGTCCCTTGGCATCATCATGTAAAATTTGAACCAAATCCATTCAATGGTAATTGAGCTATCAAAGATAATGTTTTTATGAAAAATGGCCGCCATTTTGAAATTTAGCTGCCATCTTTAAAATCCTTTCTTGAGCAGAGCTCCTATGTCCCTAGGCATCAGCATCTAAAATTTGAACCAAATCCATTCAATGGTATTTGAGTTATCAAAGATAACGTTTTTTTTACGAAAAATGGCCGCCATTTTGAAATTTGGTGGCCATCTTGAAAATGTCTTCTTTAGCAAGGCTGCTTTGTACCAAGGCAACAGCATATAAAGTTTGAACGAAATTCATCCACAAGCAAGGACCGCAAGGCGAGCGTAGTTTCAAGTGGTAACCAGTTAAAACAGTGCAAAACTTTAGAATTGTTTGAACCATAGATAGATCCTGAAACGATAATACCTGCTTTATATTGTAAAATATCAAGAAGTCTGAGCTTTGTCATGTTTCCACACCCATAAGTAATATCACCAAAGTCCAGATGAGGTTGAATAAACGATTTTAACAGTGTGGATAAGTGAACTCCCGAGAAGTTTGTCGACGCGAGACACGAGCATGCTTATACGAAAGTTTAAAGTTAACTTGGTGTCCAAAATGAGTCCTAGGTGTTTATGGTAGGTGGTTTGGGGTATGGGTTTGTCATCAAGATCAAGTGGATAGTCGTTCAGGAAGCAATTATTGCCGTGGAAGATGACATGTGCACTCTTTGAATCGTTAAATTGGAGGTTCCATTTGTTTGACCAAGAAATAATGTTGTCCATGTCCTCTTGTAGGGTTGTCATTTTTTCAATATACAGGGTGGGCCAAAAAACCACTTTTTTTCAAGACACTACAACTTTTTTATTTTCCAACCAACATACCCCAAATTTTGCAGTTATATAGTGCCAGGGGTTCTGAGTAATCATATCATGTAACAAGTCCTTCAACTTGGATTATATTTAATCTAAATGAGGAGTTCAATTGGTCAACCACCCTATTTGATGATATATTTTGGTTTTAGTCGCCTTGCTGATATAGCAGTATCAATGAAATGTTAGCTAAGTTTTAATCAACCTGTCTTAATTGCCAGCTTTAGTTGAGCAATTTTCTAGATTGGCTGCCTTCATACAATCTCCTGGAGACCTTTCCATACCCTATATTCACTAGGAGAATATCAGGCCGTATCAGTTCAGGAAATTTTTTTCAAATTTTGCTTATTTCTCATGGCACACCACATGTTTAAGTAAGACGCTGGTGACATATTTTATTCAAGTAAAAGTGTATAATTCATGATCCATGCCTAGATAACAACCTCAAGTTTCATTTGGTATGCAAATTATGATTTTGTATCAAAAATTAAAAAATTATAGCATTTTGAAAAAAGTGGCGTTTTTTGGCCCACCCTGTAGTTATCAATTGAGTAAGGACAATAGACTGACGTATCATCGGCATAGATAAAGCACTTATTGGTAATATTATCAGGCATATCATTAATATATAAGAGGAAGAATAAAGGTCCGAGAAGAGGTCCCTGGGTAACACCGGCATTGATATAGTTTTCAGGTGATAGCTCAGAGGTGTGACCATCAATTTGACCATCAATGACCATCATAAATGAGATTTGTTGAGACTCAGAATATCCGCGCAAAGACCACATCCTTTGAGTTTAGCACTCAAATGAGTGTGTGGTAAAGTGTCGAAGGCTGCTGAGATATCAAGAAAGACTCCAGATATTTGATCACCATTGTCGATACAAGTAGTTAAATAGTCAATAATTGAGATAAGTTGTAGCTGAGAGCTATGACCGGGGAGGAATCCGCTCTGTAATCTATACAGTAGACTTTGGGGTCAATCATCGATTCAATAATCGCAATTTGATCTTTTGAAAGAGCCCAGGAAACAATATCTTGGCAAACAAAAAGCACCTTACTGCGGTATATACTATACCAATAATTGATAATGCCTAATAATTACATAGCCTGACTTATCAATGATTAAAGGCATTGATCGCCTCTTTCTATTCAAATAGGGGGTAAAACATGACGTGCACTGACCTGGGGACAATTCGGGAAATACGGGCTAGTCTCAGCTTTAAGCGTTAATAGTCAGTGGAATTATTTTTTCTTGAAAAATTTTACAGGATCTACCATATTTTTAAAGTTAAATATATCCCGACATCGTCAAATACGCTGTAAGACGTATGCTATGATATGATCCTTTATTTCCTCCAATCTGGAGAGCAAATTAATACAAATACAAGTTATTAAATTACAATGTACATTAGATACAATATGGTGAAATTAGTAAGATAAGGGGATATTTGTTTACGACTTGAATTCTTCAAGCATGGAGCTGATTTGATTGGCACAGATGTTAATAAATTCTTGCCATTTCGCAATATCGTAATTCTGTAATATATCTGTGCGACTACCTAATAAACATTCTACTAAGATATCCTCATCAGTGTTTAAGATGTTAATTGAGTCTTCAACAGGTAATAGATTAACAATCTTTTCAAAAAATATATATCTTGTTGCACTTAGAGACGAACACTAAAATGAAGTGTTTGACAATGTCATTTGTTTTTGGCACATGCTAGGCAATACTGTTCTTCTTCAGTAGAGAGTGCAATGAGATATAATAATTGGGCATATTCCCATAATCTGGAGGGATCAATTATCCCAAGTTTCCAATGAATAATTGGCTCATAGTCTACGTGGGTGTTAGCAAACCTGAGGTATTTAGTATCTTGGTTTAAATCTTGTACCCATTGGCGTTTTTGTTGAGTTTGAATTTCTTCGATGACAACATATTTCCAGATATCCTTACTCTGAATGAATATGCCATGGTCAATGTAGTTTGTAACTACTTCAAACAAATCAGGAAGATTGAGATTTTTAAGGTCCTGTAAGAAACCTTTGTTCACTTTAAGTTGGTATTCTCTAGATATTAAGCTACTGAGCCTGCATAAAAACATTTGTTTTTGTGTTGAATTCCTATGTGATCTTAACAATCTTCCTAAAAAAGGGAATTTCATTTTGCTGATAAAGGAACTTATTGTCCATATCCCCATACTGCTAAGTGCCATTACACTAGGTGTTCTCTTTTCAAACCCTTGAAAGCGCTTCAAAACGTATTTTGAGCAATTTCCATTTCATTCATTTCTGTTTTTGATATGTCGTACCATAAGTCGGCACCATAGAATGCTGAAGGTATTATAAAACGCTTCCAAATGTTAGAACTTGTGATTGGGTTAAGGCCGTATTTCAGTCAAGTCGAGTAACTAAGTCAACATTCGAAAATAAAAATCTCAAAAATCGTACATCTTTGATTTCCAAAAATATTTGTGAGGTGGTTAATTAGATGATAATACATATTTTTAACATATTAATTTTGAGTACATCTCGAATCCATTCTCAACAAAGCGTTCTCGAAATAAGTATTCGAAATATTTGAGTTCGGGATGATAAAAGTACGTTAAGACATACCGCTCCTTAACAAACTCCTTTGGGAACAAGATATAGAATCAAATGCATATTCTTCTTATTTACTCCCTGACACATGCCAATGAATGTTACATGAGGAAATATGTCCGTTTTAAATAACAAATTGTAAACGTTGTTTTCTACAGGTGCCATTTTTTATAATTGAAAAACAAAATTGAGCATTTTGTATTTCTAAATTGATAAGTTTCTTGGAATACAACTTACGCGTTAACGATTTAAGTCATTAATAGTATTTCCCTTAGTGATCCCACGCTAAATAGACAGTAACTGGGTCATTGTTTTGTGTTCAACCTTGTTTTCATGACTTTTAATCATGAGTCGACAATTATGTAGGAAATTTCAATTCCAAATGTAAGCGTGTCAACTCCTATTTTTGCACAAAATTTAGCCTTTTATAATGATAGATCGCCAAAATCTGCATGTACCTCTCAATGAGGCGATATGTTTTTAAATTTATAGATGCTGAGCTATAAACTCAAACAAAAATTCATACCACCCGCTATTATTTTAATTACACAAGACGAAATTTCCGCTCCAGGGGAGCACTGTGGTAACACTTTGAATGAGGATTCTTGAAAAATCGTTCGAATTTTCACAAAAGGTTTCACGCAATTTTATTGCTTTGTTTAAGCCTCGACTAATATCATACTCAAATCCGAAACCATAATTATAAATTAAAATGAAACATTAAACTCACCAGGTTATATGATAAACTGTTTCGAGAATTGATGATTTGAGTTAACTGTGGATATTTATATAAATGTTAGTCGGCATGTATTCGACAGTTAATGTACACACATGATGTATGCGTCAACGTGTGGCTTAAATATCAATTCGTGACTATCATATTTGGCTTTCAAAAATTAAGTTGGAAGTTACAGTAGTTGGAGATTAACGAAAACGTCAATCACATCCAAATATCCGAACGACGTCAAGTATTAACAATACACTTTTCGTGCATCTCGAACAAGGCAAGGTTCTGTGATCCAGCAATGTGCATTTCGAAAGAAAAAATTCACAAATATCAACAAATTTTCATTTCGAAATATTTGTTTTAACCAAAAATTGTAAGAACTTAAAACATGTTGTTAGTTTTTCAAACCGCATATCCTCATTTACGTTCTTTGACAAGGATGAATTCATTTGAAATCATGGATTTTCTTGATTATTCTTCAAAACTACCCTTGAAATATAAGTATGTGGGATATTACAGTGTAAATTGACACACATTTGTTTGCTCCATATCATGAAAAAATAAATGCAGTACCATCTCTCAATATTTGAAAACAGAAAGTTCATTCTGTATGTAAACAAGAAAAAATACATTAATGGTTGATTCATAATGAAATATGACAAATAACATACATCTTTTGAAGTAGGGGTATACAGGGACATAGTGGAAATTCAGAAATTTAGGCCATATCCCCAAGATTGTTTCACTAATATGTAACAGAACATCAACATTATCATTTACACGGTTGGTGATAGGTTTATTGAAAATAATTAAACAGAGGTTTACTTCAAGCGTGGTACCATTCTTAGTAAATATTGATGAACATACGAATATCGAATGTTGACTAAGTTACTTGACTTGACCGATTTATACATTCCGATACCATGCACACAGAGAGTTAAATATTTTCCTAGCCTTAACACATGCGTCTGTTGTATTAGGTTTGGAGGTTAATTTCTTGTCTAAAATGTTTCCAACATAAGTCACCTGTGACTTGGTTGGCAATGGTTCTCCACCCAAGTTCCAGTATGGTATTTCGGTTGTCCGTCAAGTCAAGTAAAAATGATCATGTTATCCCCTCTCTTTGAATTTGATATGGATTTATTGAGGAAACAGGTGCACTTATTCACATAACATTAGACCAGAATCGATGAATTACAAAACATACAAAGATCGAATTCACAGTAATGATTTCACTATGGAGGAGGGGTTTTTGGAATGCATCCTATTGGATATCAGGATATCACACAAACCAAATATTCAGAAGGCACTTGTGATCGACTGAAAACTAATAGAGACATTGAAACTGTCGTGGAAGTCTTCAACCTTATTACGAAAACGGATCCGTTTCAGTAACAAAATGTAGCAGTCTCAGAGTTACGATTTTTCTATGATTTCATAGGTTCAGAATTTTCGTGACTGAAACGTACGTCATATATCATGCAGAATCATGTGTTTCAAAAATCTAAGCTTGATTCCCTATTACTATTGTTTATGTAAATGGAACGAATGGTTAAAGTGTAGGTGTTAACCGTTTTAAATGTGTGACTGGCCACCTGCACCAATGTAACGTAATATGGCTGGCCGTCTGGACTAATGTATCGTCATACTTTTAACGCCGTAAAAATAAAATCTACTTTTAACGCCATAATAAATACATTAAACGCCGTCAAAAACGATTTAATACGCCGTTAAAGATTACTTTTAACGCCGTTAAAAACGATTTCATACGCCGTTAAAAATTACTTTAAACGCCGCCAAAACCGATTTTATACGCCGTTAAAAATAACTTTTAACGCCGTCAAAAATTCGTTTTGAACGGCGTCAAAAACTATTTTATACGTCCTTACTTTTAACCACACGTAAAAAGCATTTTGAACTGCGTCAGAAATGATTTTGAACGAGTAAAGAATTGTAATGTGACACGTAAATTACGTCTTAGCTGGCAGCCAATTAAAACCAGCGTTACAATCTGTGTATTCATTGAAAAAACGAACGTGTTCGACTTCCCGACTGATTGAAATAAATCCAAAACTCTATTTTTCTGTTACTGTTTGCAAATGATTAACAATGTACGTTCGCAATTTCGAATGGGTAATTTTTAACGCCGCACATAATTTTTTTGACGCCGTAAAAACACGGCTTAAAATAATTTTTAACGGCGTAAAAAATCAGTTTTGACGGCGTAAAAAATAATTTTTAACGCGTAAAAAATCAGTTTTGACGGCGAACAAAAAAGCTTTTAACGGCGTTAAAAGTAATTCTGTACGGCGTATAAAATCGTTTTTACGGCGTTAAAAATTATTTTTGACGCCGTTCAAAATGAATTTTAACGCCGCACATAATTATTTTTGACGCCGTAAAAAATCAATTTTGACGGCTTACAAAATCGTTTTTAACGGCGTTAAAAGTAATTCTTTACGGCGTATAAAATCGTTTTTACGGCGTTAAAAGTAGATTATACGGCGTTAAAAGTATGACGATACATTGGCCCAGATGGCCAGCCATATTATGACGTCATACTTTTAATGCCGTAAATTTTACTTTTAACACCGTTAAATCTCCTTTGAACGGCGTGAAAAACGATTTTTACGGCGTCAACAGTGATTTTGTGCTGCGTCAAAAGTGATTTTGAACGGCGTGAAAAATGATTTCGAACGGCGTCAAAAATGTCTTTTTCAATAACCTAATTGTCTCGTGTCCTTCATTTGATGATGATATCGTTCTTATAGCTTATCATGCAAAATCAATGCAAAAAAGTAGATATTGTATATGATTATGGTGTGAAATGAAGGTTCCAATTCCATCCTGATAAGTTCCAAGCAATCGTTTTTTCGAATCATAAGTATGCAAACAAACCCAATTTGACTCTTGGTGATAGGACCATTGGAGTGAATGACACTTTGCAACATTTAGGCCTGCTTTTAGTGAACAAGTCAAATTTTTGCCATGTTGAGAACTCCCCTGTCAAAAGGTAGTAAGAGCTATCAATTCCGATATTGGAGTGTCTTCCATTTTTAATAATCCTACAAACCCACTCACTGTCTCTCGTTTATATTGGACATGCTGTGTTCCGTCTATAACGTATGGTATGGAGCTTTTACCACTAAAGGAATCTGTGTTAGTGCCTTGAAAGTGGCCACAGGGGAATAGCTAAGAAAATCCAAGGGATCCCCAAGAGCACTAGCAACGCAGCCTCAACATCAATTTTAGGATGGCATTCTTTAACCTCGAATATTGTTATACATGTAAATGTAAACTTATGCTATTATGGCCACTGTTTGATTTTTATTGATCATCATCAATACTTAGTTCCTTTCATGAAAATAAATTTACAACTAACTGACTAAACAATTGCCAAAGTTGATGTAAATCCTCTCCGTTGCATGGGGATGAGCTTTTGATTTTTTCGGAAATATTATCAAAATCGTACGTATTTACTTGTATTACATACCCAGCGAAGCATTTGTATTGAAGTCAATGGAGCTGAAGGTCGGCTATATATTCCTGTATAGCCGCCAAACCTTTTACCATGACAATCTTATGACGTCATCGGGACGTCATGTTTCATTTCTTCCTAATTTCACTCGCACACAGACACGTGGCGTCATTGATATAACGTAGCCATGATATAAAAGTATGTAATACAACAGTTATGTCCGTATCATTGAATATATGCCTTCGGTCTGTCGTAATATAACCCTCGCAAGCTCGGGCTATATTGGTGACAGACCTTAGGCATATATTCAATGATAGGGACATAACTGCTAAGTAAAACGTGTAATGACTGTATAGACTTGTGAGAATAACATTTCTATTCTCTCATCACTACCCGTCATTCAACATAACACCAACTTTCAGTTTCAAGGAATGAGAGCACTTGGCACCCGTGTTTATTAGTAGCGTTATCCCGCAAGACTGGGTTGACAAGACACAAATGTTTGTTCGATTATCGAGGACTCATTGTGCGTAAAATGTATGTATACAGATCAAATTAACGTTAATAATCAAGCCTATATAAAGTATAATGATATCTCAGTGAATCCTAGAACTATTAATACGTATAAAGTGAATCTGATTGGCACCATTAAAACCTCTACTCTTATTATGAGAGACCGAGGACTCCTTAAAAGCTTTAAAAAGAAACCATCTTCATCTAAACTGAGGTTTCTTTGGAGATGAAAAGGTATGTCAATCAAAACCACTATCTACATGTATATTATTACTGAACAATACTCTTACAAGAGTTGATACATAATGTTTGAAATTTACGAATACAACACTGTAATGTGAATATTAAAACGAAGTGTATGTGTTGACTACACGGTGACAAAGCTCAGAATGTCTTTCTATACACTCTACCTTCACCACGAAAACATCCACTCACTCACATAACTCTACATTGAACTGGACTCATCGTTCAGCCAATAGAAAGCATTTATGTTCTAAAGTCGCTACGCTCCACCGAACATAAATAGGCATTCTATTCTCTCATCACTACCCGTCATTCAACATAACACCAACTTTCAGTTTCAAGGAATGAGAGCACTTGGCACACAGAAAATCTAAAGAACGGGAAAGATAGAGAACAATAAATTGATTATGTCAATTTGAATCCACAGATTCTAGATACCAACACTTTATAGATAAAAGTATCAGTCTTCGGCAGAAATACTTATTCAACAATCCTGTCTTTAAATGTCGGTCAGTATTTGAATTATTTTACACTGAACCAATGCTAAAATATAATGTCATCTCAATGTAAAGCAAAAAGCAGCAAACCCTAAGTTACACATTGCAATGTCTCCAAGAGGTATAAAGTTCAATGATCGCTTCGTGTTAGGAAGAATCATAACAAACAATGCTGTAACTGGCTCCGTCTGCGATTGTTTGAATATCAGTTCAAATGTCCCATCGCTGATATATTTGACTGATGTTGAATCACAAATGTTATGAAGTCCATATGACGTATATCCTTCCTATGTCAGATTTGACAACATATTTGTCACAAGGCAATTGTACATTCTTTCAGTTGTGTTGATCAGCCCTTTAGCACAACGGTGCTTGCAATATCTGTGCCAAAATCCCTTAGTTCGGCATATAAACATCACTTTACTATAATTACTGCTCTACCAGCCTGGAAATATATCCATTTACAAATTTTAAATGTATAATTACAACAATATCTTTAACAATAAATCTATTCGTGAACGATTCGCTGATTTTCCAACAGCTCATCTGCAATTCAGCAATATCTAAATAAAATTGTTCAATATAAATGGACACCATCCAGATCAAAATACCTGAAAAGTAATTGACCAATGAAATACATATAGAAATCATCAGGTTGTATATTGCCTATCATGACATGTTTACCTGTGAATTGTAATTCTTATGCAGTGGTACATTACACACGTCTAAACTATAAACTTGTGTCAGCATATACATCGTAATCTCACATATATAGAAATGTCGTTAGCAATTCTCATTTTGTGCACTATCATATATAACCTGGTGTATTCACGTGCATTTCTCAATATGTTTATCTGAATATCTCTGCGAGTTTACCTAAACATCTCAATGTTTACCTGAACATCCCAATGTTTTTGCCTATACATTTCAATGTGTTTACATACACATCACATTACATCTATATCCCGTATGTTTCAAGGATTTTCCAGTTTTCTTGCCCGCGCATTACAGTTTGCTAACCTTCAAACCACAGTGTGCTTACCTTCACATCATATTGTGATTAACTGCAACCATGGTGTGCTTACCTACACATCACTGTGTACTTACCTGCACATCACAATGTGCTTACCTGCACATCACAGGGTGCTTACCTGCACATCACAGGGTGCTTACCTACACATAACAGTGTGCTTTAACCTACACATTACAACGTGCTTGCCTACACATTACAGTGTGCTTACCTACACACCACTATTTACTTACCTACACATCACGATGTGCTTACCTGTACATCACAGGGTGCTTACCTACACATTACAGTGTGCTTACCTACACATTACAGTGTGCTTACCTACACATTACAGTGTGCTTACCTGCACATCTCGCTGTGCTTACCTGCACATCACTGATACCCTGCACATCATGACGTGCTTACCTGCTCAGCAAAGTATGCTACCCTGTACATCACGTTGTGTTACCCTGCATATCACGGTATGCTACCCTGCACATCGCTGTGTGCTACTCTGCACATTACAGTGTGCTTACCTGCACATCACAGTGTGTTACCCTGCACATCACGGTGAGCTAGCCTGCACGTTGCGGCGTGCTAATATACACATCACACTGTGTTACCCTGCACATCACGGTGTGCTAATCTGCACATCACCGTGTGCTAGCCTGCACGTCACGGCGTGCTCATATACACATCACACTGTGTTACCCTGCACATAACGTTGTGCTAACCTGCACATCACAGTGTGCTACCCTGCACATCACGGTGTGCTAGCCTTCACGTCACAGCGTGCTTATATACATATCACACTGTACTAACCTGCACATCACAGTCTGCTACCTTGCACATCACGGTGTGCTAACCTGCATGTCACGGCGTGCTAACCTACACAATAAAATGTGCTACCAATCACATAACTTTGTGCTTACTTACATATCTCAGTTGGTTAACCTTCATATCACAGTGTGTTTACGTACACATCACAGTGGCTTACCTGTACGCGCCATGTTATGCATACATACACGTCACGTTTTAATTTATCTGTACATCACAGTGTGCTTACCTGCATATAATGGTCTGCTTACGTTCAACTATCAGTGTGCTAACCTGCACGTAATGGTATGCCTGCCTTTATATTACGGTGTGCTAACATTCACATCACGTTGCATGTCACAATAATATGCTTACCTATGCATGCATCACAGTGTGGTCACCTGTAAATCAGTGTGTACGATCTGCAAATCCCATTGTGCTAGCCTATATATTACAATGAGCTTTCATGCACATCCCAGTGAGAGTACCTCTTCATCGCAATTTGATTGTATGAGCATTACAGTGCTTACATGTAGATCACAATGTGTTATCTTGTACACCACGTTATTCTTACCTGAATATCACTGTTTACCTCCACAGCAAAGTATCTTGATATGCTTACCTGCACCTAGTGATGTGCTTACCTGCATATCATGGCGTGCTTTCTTGCACGTCATTACCTATCCATTCGAATATGCTAAGCTGTATAAGATGTTAATGAATGTTCTTACACAACCCAGTGTGCTTGTCTGTATAGCAATTGTGCTAAATGCGCAATACATGCATTTGCTAATATAAGCGTGCACATTATCTTCAATGTGCTGTATCAACAAACTAATATCTATGTCAAATAAACCATTGCTTTAACTATTTAGCCTGTGCCTGATTATACTGTAACTTTAAAATGAATCTTAAATCTTAAAGCAAATACATGTTAACTTTTACCACCAAAACGTGTGAATTAAACTAACTACTCTGACTTTACCCGGGTCTTGTTCCACAAAAGGATTGTTTGAAAACGCCTCTTTTTATGATTTTAAAAGCCTAAAGTCAAAATGTTAAGCTTTTGCAACGCTAAAGTTCTCATTGCATTACGTTTTAAAATTATTGAACAACCTTCTTGATGAAAGTAGTAGTTCGAAATCAAGCTTCACTGTCCTGTCATCTAGATCTACAAAAATGCTTTACGATTGTCTACCCTGGAATAAACTCTAATTTCAACTCTATATTAACCTATAACATTTTTAAAAATGGGCATATCCAAATGCCTTCGTATTAAGTTTTGATAATCTGTCAACCACAATTCTAGTTTTGAAGATATTTCAAGTAAGCTTATAAAACTACGTTATACGTGTAACTCTTTCTACATTGAAATATTTTGCTTTCTTTTTCTGAACAATTACTGTGAGAAAACTCACCTTTGAAAATAACGCCTGTGCAAGCACTATCAAACATCATCATCACCATCTTGTAAAGTCATTAAATAACTGATTATCTAGCCAAAAAGCGTTTTCCCAATCAAGCCTCTGTGTTTACGAGTTAGTAAAACATGTCGAGTCTTTGATTAACGTTTTTAACCAACTCCTATACGTTTAAACGTGTTTGATCTTTTCTGAAACCTGTATTTATTTGAAAATCTAATATGTCATTACTTGTTATCAAGTTGAAATTTTGAACATTGACCACTAAATTTGATCTTTCTACAAATTATTTCTTTTTACTGCCTGCTTTATATACCCTTTAATTTTTTAAACGAATCGGTTCATCTAAAATAGCTATTGTGAAACAAACCTATCAACTTTTGAATATCAATCTCTCAGTTCTAATACCGAGGAAAAGAACATAAAATACGAAAAGAACTTGTAAAGGCCTCCCAATTGAGGAAACACTATAACATGTTGGTACAAGTACTTGTACGTACATAGATTGAAATCTACGAAGAAGACCTCTAAACAAATCTTGTAAGCACCGAACTACTGTCAGTAATGTAAATCCCTGAAGAGATATCTAGCATTTCAAACAATAACATAAGAAAACATAATAATTTAATTGGCTACTTAACTTATTCGTGATTGCAGTAGTCGTTGAGCTCATTGCTCCCAAAATGACCTTGATATGGCCCAGCTTCACCGCATTGAAACCAGACATCGGTCATCATTGGTAATCATGCTCACCTCGGCACTGCCCGATACTATGTTGTCGTAAAACAAGTTGCGACCTCTTGAGTCTAGTGGTACATACTGTAGGACATCCAGAACTTTCTGAAACGTAAAGGACCTCGAGAAAGCCTTTGTTACCAATTTTGTTATTTTATTTGAAGCTTCTTTTACGCTTTTTTATACATAGATGTTGATTGTACTATCTGAGGTGATTGGAGTCATATTATTAACAGTTTATAACCAAAAGACATCTAACGTACCTGTTCAAACTAATCAATTTATTTTTTCGTAATATAAAAGTTTTACCTTCTGTAATATTCTCCTCATATGACTGTGCTATTGTAAGTCAGCTGTTTCAACTATGTAGTAACGAGTAATATGGAGGTTTCTTCAAATGTGTCTTGAACTTTCGCTCTAAATTCGACAAAAGTTGTCTAATCTGTTGGTTTATTGAATAAAACGAAGTGTATGTGTTGACTACACGGTGACAAAGCTCAGAATGTCTTTCTATACACTCTACCTTCACCACGAAAACATCCACTCACTCACATAACTCTACATTGAACTGGACTCATCGTTCAGCCAATAGAAAGCATTTATGTTCTAAAGTCGCTACGCTCCACCGAACATAAATAGGCAATATAATGTATGTGTAAGATGCAGTAAAATGAGAGAAATGAAAATCAGTACAAGATCAAACATATGATAACAATTAATATTGCATCTAAAACGTGGTCACGATGCAAGTAACTTGTTGTGCAATATGATTCATGCTTTGACACGTTTATATACGTTACCATCTGCGGATAATTTACCGAAGTGTACCAAGAACTATATTAATGATCAATTCATAATTTATTGTTCGATGGCTCTCGATCACATAAAGACACTTAATTGGGCAAGTAACTCGGTTAGATTAACCATGGGGCCTCTCATTTTTACTTTCCTGGATATTGAAAGAAAAAGGAGACTTTGGGATAGCAACATTTCCATTTCTGGAACTTGAAAGCTGTTTTACCTATGAAATGCAAGAGCACATGAAATCTTCGGTTTCTTAGAAATGCTATCATGATAAATGAAAGTTGCAAACTGAGTTGAGATGATATCAATGGTAATTGTTCCACCTGTTTATATTTGGCATTGGACAAGCTTTCATCTGATTTTAGTTTGTATGATGAGTTTTTTCTTTTGATGATTTATGATCTTATTTGGATCAGAGATATACTGAAACTCAATGTGCATGTGTCTCATTTTGGACACTGGAATCTTGCAAATGCATGTACAACAGACTTACCACTATATCCCACCCCACCCCCGATGAATGACAAGGAACAAAGAAATCGTTACATTTTACAAGTTACACGTTTATTCACTTAAGCGCTTGTAAAATACAGGATAATATTATTATTTCAATTTAAAGCAAAAAGCAATTATTGCAAAGTAATAAAGTAAATGAAAGTACATGATATAAATCGTCACATATTTGTTACATAATGGCATGATTCCATAGTTGTTAAACGTATATCTATAAATAACGGTATAAAGATCAAAGAGCTGTTATCAGTACCTCCGTGAAACACTGCCCTCATATTAATTTGTTAGCCTTTTAGAATAGTGATGTTATATGTTTCGTGAATGATGAATGAAATTTTAATTGATACAGCAATAGCTCAACTTTACAACTGTGATTGCTGTCGATAGTCTTGTCGCGATTTTTTAGATGAACACAAGAAAAAGGTTGCAAAATAATGTGTGAATAATTGTTCATACCAACAGTTATCCTCACGATATTATTAAGCCTAGTGTCCGTATAGTAGGTATGTAAATATGTCAAATACTAATCTTAAATACTAGTCTTTTTCTATGTATTTTGCAATGGTAAAAATAGCATTTATTTTTTACTAATTTGGTAGAGTATGTGATCAAACACGTATACCTGAGTGTAGCAATAAAGCAAAAAAGATTATATGGCATGTATATCATACGAATAATAGTGATAACAAACGCCATTAAATAATGTAAGTATAACGAGCTTATTGTAAAGTTGTTGTCCGGTTTTACAAATTTCGAGTTTGAAAATGACATAATTGTCAGCAATGTCATCGGGTTGAAACTCGTGGTTGTTGTTCTTAACTTACTGGTGTCTCGAGTTTGGCTATATCAAATATAATATATTGTTACAAAACATATTCCATGGGCATCATAAACATGAATAAATATAACATAAACTAAGTAGATAATATCCTTGGGAGCATTAGTATATACGTATTACATGTTCTTATAAGAAAGTGGTGAAACTACAATAGCTCGTCTCTCATGCAGTACGTTTATCAAAAATGTTTGTCTTGACATTATTATCCATCGATTATTACAGATATATATTTATGTATTTATATGATTTATCTTACTTCTTGCATAATATTACGCACGAATCCTCATATGTTGAGAAAAATGGATCCATCCAGGCGCTCTGAATATACATTGAGAGTTCGATGCTATGAACTAATGTTATTAACTTTAATAAACATTTTTTCTTCTCTGTACAGTGCGTATAAAAAAAACGCAACAGACTGTTATCTCGGAAAAGCACAAAACCAGTGATAGCAGCATTGATTCCATTCAATGCACCATAAAGCCATGCGTCTCCTCTTTACAATGATATATCATTCATTGATATTTGGTCATGGTTGGGCGAGTAATCATTCCATTTGCAAAGTTGGCCAAAATTAGCCTGTGGTCAAGTTATAAACATCGCAAAAGTCAGTGTACTGAACATTAAACCAATGCTCACTGCATCCTTTTCATTCAATGTACCAAAAAGCCAAAATACTCCTCTTTGCAATGAAATATCATTCATTCACAGTGAGTCATGGCTGGCCGAATAATCATTCATTTTGCAAAATGGGGCAAAAATGAGTTTTAAACATTGCGAAAGTCAGTACAAGGGGCATAGGGGCTATTGGGAGAAGGTGTGACTGGTGTGGCATAGACAGTAAAGTGTTCATACTAATACTCTTGCAATAATACATCCTATAACCCCTCCAAATTGCCACCACTTCCTTGCACATAAAGGTACGCTCATCTGTCCATGTCATGCATGGTTCAGCCCTGAGTCATCTGTAGGCTAAAGCAGAGAAAAAGCAGCCCATGGGAAATTATTTCTCGATGTTTTGCAATATCTTGTGGAGGAATTGTGAGCACAGATGCTCCTGAGGTAGCCCCAAAAGAAAAAGTTACAACAATTCAAGTCAGGGGAACTTCCATTGGCACTTAGCCCTTGTACTGATTTTTGCAATATCTAAAACTTGGCCCAGAGCCGATGTTGACCCACTGTGCAAATGGAAGGATTTCTCACTCAACCATTACCACATGTGAATGGATGACACATCATTGCAAAGAGGAGAGACGTGGCTTTATGGTACATTGAATGAAATTGATGTAGCCATCACTAGTTTTGTGATTTTACTAGATAACTACTTGTTGCGTTTTTTTTGACACCCCTGTATAATTGACTGTTTAGCTTCAAGTCGTTGCATGTATAACAGTCCACTTCTTTAATTAACGAGTAGCTTATAGTGATCAGTGAATTAATTTGCTATGATATGCTGGTGATTTTAGTATATTTATCGAATAGCAATTTCAGAGAAGTTTTTGCATCCTTCTGGCGTCTCATCTTCCATTCTTTGATTTAATTGATTGTGAGTATATGCTGTACATGGTATTAACAGGTTGATATAATATATAAATGTCTTATTCTACAGTGTCTCAATTGGATCAACCAGTGATGATTCACCCATGTATATTCTCATAGCACCAGGTAGAGGCAGGGTTCTGATCGTGCCACCAATAATATAACACCTTAGTTCGCTGAAAAGTAGTAAAATTCATATTCAGAGTTCCTAGAATTAATTTGTACTTTGAACATTTTTTTGTCAAATATTTTGATGTTTTTTAGAAAATATCATAGAAAATTAATAAATCTGGGTCATGAAATTGGCATACTTTTACTTAACGCAAATTAGATATTTTTACAGTATGTGGCAAAAAATTGTTTGGGATCTTCTACATTAGTATTCGAATCAAATACCAATGACTACATCTGAGCCTTTAACGTTGAAATTGAAACAATATTCCAAGGTTGGTCTGTTGTTCTCAATTAAAAATATGCAGATGTTCTTTTGTTAACTTACCACAGACGATGTTTAAAATGTCTGATAATTTGTTAGGAAGGTCAGCGAAGTTGGTAACATATATTACATTGTCACTATCTGGATCTGTTGCGATTCCCGTAAGCTCCTTTCTGCGTTCATTGTCAACATTTCCGATACCCACCGACACAACTCGTACTCCTCTATCCCGAAGCTCTCGAGCCCTGTCTAGTGTCGATTCCGGGTTGACTGTAGATATACCATCGGTGAGAACTATCGCAATATTGGATGCATCTGAAGAACAGATAGAACTCTTATTGTCTATATGGGAAAAAGGACGATGGAATATAATGTATTACTATTAAGAACTTCTTATGATTTTAGAATAGTAGAACTATTGATATTGAACCATCCCAAATCTGACAAAAATGAAAGTACAGCTAATAAAAAAGGAAAAAACAGTAATACGAAATTCAGGAATCATTGTCACACTCAATAAATATATTATCACAATGTACTTTCTTTTCGTTCAAATTGAGGTCATGCGTTACACTTTGAAAAAAAAGTTTTTTTCAAGAGTAAATGGAATCAAATCGGGAATGCACCCGTTCATGTCTTACCACCTCTATCCCCAGATCTTCCAAATACTTGATCCCTAGCCATTCGGAGTGCAGACCCTGTATTGGTTGCACCTCCAGAGTAACCAACTGATCCAATGCCCCCTAGAAGACTACTACGATCGCTGTATGTTTGAAATCCAAATCGTAGGACTGATGAGTCTCCAAATGTTATAAAAGCGACATTAGTGTCTTTGTTAAAGCGATTGGTGAGCGTTTTGAGACTATCCAGGATACTGTAAAAGTTATTCTCGCCTATACTGCCAGATGAGTCGAGAAGGATTGCGATGTCACGCTGATTGTTGCAACCTTAAATAACGCATATATTAGACACATCTGTACATGCTACACAATACTACAATATACTAAAGGCTTGACAAGGTCGGAATGAAAATCAGATAAAAAATAAAACGTTAGCGGAAAGAGATTACATTTTCTGAATATGCAACTTTGAATATAAATGCAAATGCATGTAATTTTAAAACTTCGTTATCGAATATCCCCAAGACATATACGAGTATGTACGAAATCAAAATATTGGCTATCCATTGACTGATTTTATATCACATTTTTATCTTTATGTTTATCCTGACTTACGTTGATCACAGTTTATACCCGCCCAATTGTCTCTACACTGACACACGTACGAGTTAAAGCCGTCTATACACGTCCCCTGACTACATGGATTGGGACTGCACTGATCACCATCTAAAATATAGAACACGTATATATAAATATGTTTCAAATTTTTTGCTTTTGTCTTTGGAGGCTAAAGATAGATTAAAGTAAGTGTTGATTCTGACTTATCTGCTTATAATATGATTGTAATTGTGTCTCATAAGCCTTTGGAGGCTGGCCGTATAATTACGGGTGACACTGTAATAAATAAATAAATAAATATACCAAAAAACTCGGAGACCTAAACAAATCTCGATTAGCTTGAGTCAATAGCTCGTAAGAAATAAAAAGAAATGAGGTGAATTTAGGTAGAATCGGGAATGACATAAAAACCTCCTATTTAGAAAGTGATATGATATTGTTATAAAATTATAAGATTCTTAAAATGACCAAATATGAGTTGCTAGACAATAAAAATATAAATCCATGGTACTTGACAATCTAGCTTTTTTGGCTTGTGATTAGCATGATGCTGCATTTTGGTTGTGTCATGATAATTTATTGTATGATATATTGTATTTGATATACCTGTGCAAATGAGACTTGCAAGAGCAGATTTGAGGTTGGGTAGATCATCGAAGCGTTCTGACTCGAAAACGTTTAGATTGTCTGGATCAGATGCTATTCCGTAGAGTTCTCTCATTTGTATGTTTGGCCCTACCCCTATAGCTATGACATGAACCCCACTTTCACGAAGTTCCTTAGCTTGAGGAAACGTATCATCTGGGTTAACTGTTGAGAAAATAAACATTTAAAGAAGAGTCATCAAATCTACAGAATGCATGATAAACATGGTCTCGATTGGCAAAATATAGATTATAGAGTATGAAGAAGAACTGTTGAAGAAGAACTGTATCTTTTACCATATAATATGTATTTGACCACGTGTCGCTTTACCTTCTTAAGTTCTTGTAATTAATGTTGCTTTCCTTCAGCTTGTATCCTTAGAATACCAGAAGAGCACTGGATTATCAATAATACTCATTAAACAATGACTTTTTATTTAATCCCATACACTTACCAGTTGGTATTCCATCAGTTAAAATAATTGCAACTTTCTTAGCATCAGCCCTGGCTTGGTTAAACACCCCTAACCTAAGCAGCTGTAATCCTGCTGCCGTATTGGTAGCACCGCCTGTGTAATCCACCCTTTCCATATCTCGACTGAGTTCAGTAAAATCATTGCTGTCGGTAAGTCCAAAGTGTTTGTTTGCATCTGAACCAAATGTTACAACTGAGAATCTAGCCCTGCCGCCAACATCAAACTCCCTTGCGTAATCTTTGATGAACTTACGAGCTTTGCGGAAATCTGACTCTCCGATGCTGCCTGATGTATCCAACAGGAATGCTATATCCAGGTTGCTATCACAGCCTAATAAAGACATTAAATATATTATAGGCTATAACACAATGTTAAATTTTACAGTCTAGTAACGTCACGTCATGTCACGATGAAATATATACATGTTTATGGGAAATGAATTTAAACCATACGTGTTGCACACGAAGAGCCGCCGTATCCATTAACACAGCGACACGTGTATCCACTTAGAGAATCTGTACAACTTCCACCATTACGACATGGATTGTCTCTACAGCCATCGCCATCTAAATAAAAAATGATGCAACACAAATTAAAACTGCTATTATATTGAACGTTGAATAAGAAGAGACTAAATGTTCAAAGTGTAGGCAAATAGTACTTACCGTTGGCGATGTAATTTGACACTGCACTCCTCAAGTCATTCAACCGACTAAAATCTGAAATAGTGATGACATTAGCATCATCATCTGCAATCATCTCTATCTCGTTCATGTCAACTTGACCCCCGATACCAACAACCTTCAGATCAATCCCTGCTTGACGTACTGCAATTGCAGCACTCAGCGTTTCATCTGGCTTAACACTGGTTTTGCTGTCAATCATAAGATATGCCACATTTGGGGCTCCTGGCCGATCACCGCCGTCCGAAGTAAATACACTATCTGTAAGAGATCGTAGAGCGGCTCCTGTGTATGAGGCACCTTGAACATACTCTATCCTATCAATGGCGCTTCTTAACGCGGACTTATCCCAGTACTGGTTGAGGCGAATCATTCTCTCGGCCTTGTCGCTGTACCGTACGACGGACACATGAATATTGTTTTCTCCAAGATTTATATCATTAATGACATTCTTGATGAACTCCTTCTGCCTGTTGAAGTTTGATGCACCAACACTACCTGAGGAATCTAACACGAAGGCTACGTCGGATGTTCCTGAAACAAAGTCAGTCAATTAGGTGGTGGGCAACATCCGTCAATACAATCACGTGTACGTAAATATGTATATAAACGGGTTGTCACAACTAAATGAGAAATTCGGAAACGAAACGAGTTTGTTCTTGCAATAGTTATCGTGATTTTATACTAGAGAACCGAGGATGAGGTTTTTAGAGATGGACAATTACATAACATAGAACAAACAGCCCAATGTAGTTCCATTCAATATAATATTATTTGTTTCCTTACCTCTACCCGAACCACCCCCAGTGTCGCCTCCTGTATTACCATCATCGCCACCATCTGCAGTGTACAAATATCAGATAAGAGACACACCTATAGTAGGAAACTTTACACAGATCTAGAGTCCATTTCACTGCTTCATTTCGTCAGTAGAACGGCAAAAATAAGAAATTGGGAGACCATTGTGCAATAATATATGGAAAAGTATATTCATAATGTACATGAATGACATTTGTATATTTCAGATTTTTTAATTTTTTGTGCAATAAGCCTGTGCCGTCTTGTAAATAGAAGAATTTCAGCCATGTTAATCTTATTGAAAATAACATGGCAGAGAAACATCCAAATATAAGAGGCCACACACTTTATAAGCCAAACTAGAAGCAATCCAAGATATACAAATGTCATTCATGTACATTATGAATATACTTTTCCATATATTATTGCACAATGGTCTCCCAATTTCTTATTTTTGCCGTTCTACTGACGAAATGAAGCAGTGAAATGGACTCTGGTCATCCTTTTTGACTAAAACAACGCATGCGTGACTTTAACATACCGAGTGTCTCGAACAAGTTTTTAGTGTATTTTATTCAATTTATTTTTGTTACTATTGATGGATACAGTATCTCTCTCATACAATTTTGATTGACAGGCCTAGGCTTCACTAGTATTTCTTTCACAACGAATGGATTCCTCCAAATTTTTTATCATCATAATCAACGTAAATTCAACGTGCTGCGATTCAATGCAAATATCCCAATAAATTAATATTCCAATAAAATAGTTAATGTTGGTATTTAAAGATTTTTTTACCTGATCCGCTGACTATTTTGACATTGTCTATAGCTATATCTGACGACCAGTAATTTGAATCTCCAGTCAACTGAACTTCGAATATAACTGAAATTGTTCCGGAAGGAAGTGAAACAGTTTCTGATCTCCAGTTCTCACTGCTTGTACCTATATTATGAGAAAATCATAGACATCATTCATATGAATCATGAATTATGTATTATTCGAACATGACTGTATTCACGCCTTCTGTAAACTGCAAATAAAGTCAACATTTCACCCGGGGTATATTCGCGTACAATGCCCCTGGTAATACGTGTAATGTGTGACGTCATAACGGCGGACCGTAGTGATGGCGTATAATGAATATTCGAATCATTTTGGTGAGTTTTCATGTTCAAAAGCTTTCGACTTTACAGAAAAGATTGTACCTAGCCCTGTGGGGTGTATTCGACAATATTACCCCTGCTCTGAGGTCTATATTTCTTAAATTGGCCCGCCACTATGGCCCGCCACTATGACGTCACATATTGTTCAGGTCGATATAGTAAAATAAATGCCTTCTAAACTAGCACTAATACCCCTGGAACAGGCCCGGCAAGGTGGAAATAATACAAGGTTAATGGTCGAGTTTTTTTCTCAAATTTCTTATTCGCCCTAGATCCGTTAATTTTCGGTTACTACGGCAACTATTTCTTATCAAACATTTCCGTACTAGATGTTTTTGTTGAGTGTAATTGGTCACTATCGCGAACCTTTTGTTCATTTTAAGGTTGAATAAATACATTCATTTAAGCCCAAGTATGCTGACATTAAGGTACAGCTGGAAAGTAACATTTTGGTAAAAAATTGCTATACCAGTACATGTTATTTTCTGGTACAAAATAAAGTATGAAGACATGTGTCAATTGCCTTGCTTTTTTCAGGAAAGTATCATTACACTGTCTTCTTTAAGAATATCTAGTAGGAGTTCAATGGGAACTCCAGGAAATTCTGATATTTCACAATTTCTTTTTTTCCAAATTTTCTTTCTAAGTTTCCAGACAACACAGGAGCTACCATTGACCTGTTTCCAGGTTTACTAAAAGTAGACAATGTAATGATACTTTCCTGAAAAAATCAAGGAAATACACACATGCCTTCATACTTAATTTTGTACCAGAAAATAACATGTGCAGGTATAGCAATTTTTTACCAAAATGTTACTTTCCAGCTGAACCTTAATTATGTCTTCTAGGGTGTAGTACATACCAGATGATATCCATCTTTGGACAGTTGAACTAGATAGTTTGGCGAACACTTTCAATCTACCAACAGAAGAACCCCTTGCATGATAATCAAAGGTTAACGTCTTCTCGCCAGAAGATGAAAATGAAGAAGTTTCTAGTCTGGCCCGACTATTCTGAGAACCATCAGTGGCTTCCACATACATGTAATAAGCTATAAAAAACAATGTTGTACATGAACTCCTTGTTTCATATCGTAAAGTAAAATTATCTTGCTTGTTTATGCCTTGGTCACATATGCTCCGATTTTTACCACGGCGCCCGGCCGATTGAGTATTTTGTTCAAAACTCTATACGATTTTGAACAAAATACTCAATCGCCCGGGCGCCGGCGGATGAATCGGAACAAATGTGACCCAGGCATTAAGGTCCTACCAAACCACATACCACACATTGTCATAAGAAACGACGGGACGTAGCATTTAAGTATGATTGTTGTTCATAAAGCAAGGAAAGATGTCATAGTAACTTTGAAAAGTGGTGGCTTGACCCAGACTCGAAGATTAATCTACAAATTATCTTAAAATGTTTATGAAAATTGGAACTAACAGCCAGATTTTGCTCCCGATGGCCCAGTTCCTCCTGAAGGAGTTCCTCCTTGAATACGAATCCAGTCATCGTCATCATCGGTCCGCTGAATGAATTCACAATCGCCACTTTCAAACCCACAATCAATAAACGTTTCTGGAATCGAACACTTATTTCATAAAACATTGACAAAAAAGCTGAACATTTTGTAAAATTCGATTTACTTCATCTTTCAAATGTAATGTAGCAGTTAAAATGTAGGCAGTTGGGAAAATCTAATTATGTAGTGATTAATACAATGTAGTTCTCTATATAGAAAACAATATTTCTCTTAAACAGATGTACTTCTATAGAAATGTTCATCGATCTTTTAAAAACGAGATCAAATAGATGTTCACATATAGATGGCGATTCGAAAATAAATCATGAAGCTTAACAGTCATGTCGAATAGCAATTTGTTCAGAATGTTCTACTTACGATCTCCCCCAGTATCACCCCCACCATCTGAAACAATATATACAGTCATCACCTACTTTTATGTATATTTCTTCTAAAAGAGCCATGTGATAGCAATTAAATATGTCAATGCATAAACGAGTCTTGGGTCTTTGATGTGCAGTAATGAGAGCTAAGCCCTCCCTAAACCCAGGGCTTAACGGGTTTTCAGGCGCTCTCATTTCGTGCCGTAGACAATAAGAGATTTATCTTCAGTGTTGATGTTTGACTCCTTAGTTGTGGATAAAAATAAAGTCTAACAAACAATTAATTTAAAATTAGATTCTTACAAAACATGTTCTGATTCATTTACAAGCTTAAGCCTGCTAAATTATATTTGCTGAACCTCACCCAAATTCATGACTGAGATGTCATCAATAGCAAAGTCGGATGAATAACTGTTGCCCGATCCAGGAAGGACAACCTCAAATCTCACTTTCCTCACACCATCGTTTAGGTCTACATCAACCTTCTTCCATGCGTCTTCACTGGATTCTGTAATTTATATTTTATAATCAATCATTAATATATGCAGCGCCAGTAGACCGCAAAAAGAGAGAAAATCACATAATCAATGTAAATCCATAATAGTCATTCAAAATGATCACCCTGTTCGTCTTTCCAATTCCAAACTGTTTGTGTTCCCCCATTTCCATCCTCAGCAATTGCACGTAGGTCTCCAAGGTTATCGCCACGAGCATGATAATAGAAACTTAGTTTCTTTCCTCCACTGGCGGACATTTCGGGTGTTTCAATGACAGCATTTTGGTTATTTCCCCTATTGCTAGACTCAACAAATAAGTAGTTATCTGAAATTAAAACGAAAATATTTACTGAGTTTCGATACTCTTGTTTCGGGGCCAGTTGTTCGAGCCATCGATCAATATCAATACGAGATTCATACTATGCATCCAACCTAACGGCACCAATTCTTACCATTCCCACCGGCGCGTCCGTTTCTTGGCCCTGTGTGATCGGAATCGGTAGCCCCAGTCTGGCGGTCCCAGTTGAAACTATCCGAGTTCCACTGGCGCATATTACACATACCGCTAGAAAAGTCGCAACTAAACGCAGTAGAACCACCTGGAACAAAAGGATAATATGCAATATGATTACACAACATACTGAATTTTGTATGATTACGCAACCGTAGATGTTTCGAAAAACATACCTTCAAGAATGAGTTTATTTCTATAGATGGATAATTAACACAACTTGATTTCCAGTAGAATGTATGCGAAACTACAATCAATCCGAAAGATCTGGGTTTTCGTTTTCTTTATCAACTTGTAGTGACATAATATAAAGCTGGATTTAACTTGTCGATTTGATGACTCTCCTGGGACTTCTATTGTACATGTGTCATTATTACCTGAATCGCTACCACCTGTATCGCCACCACTTTCCACACTGGTAACTTTGAAGTCATCAATTGCGAAGTCTGAAGACCACTTCTTTCCACCTGTGCGAAGTTGAACTTCAAAGCGCACAGAAGTAGTGCCCCCGGGTAGTGACACTGCTACCTCCCTCCATTCGGCCCTACTTTCGTCTGAGCCTGCCTCGTCTGCAGGACAAAACATTGAATGGTCATCAAGCATTTTTAACTTTAGCTTTGTATTATAAAAATAGACTTTAGACCATTGTGCGTATTATGTTGATATCAATACAAACATTTCGATCATGGTACGTAAAATATTCGGACCCACCCCCTAAAGGCTACTTGTGATACTTTCAAAACAAAATACAATATAATCACCGTCGAATCTAAATAGCTGTGTGTTCGAAGGCTGGGCGGTGACAGTGAACACCCCGAGGTCCTCTCCAAGGGCGTAGTAATAGAAGCTCAGAGACTTGGTCCCACTGCTAGAAAACGTAGGAGAATCTATCACTGCCCTGTCATTATCGTTGGAATTGGATGCTTCCACATACAAGAACGTATCTGCGTGTGAATTGGAAAAAATCATTTGAATGTTGTGCATGTATCAAAAGTATGTTAGGTTTGCATATCTAAAACTCCTTACTAAAGTTGACTTTCTAAAAGCATCAATGATATCCATCAGCTTTCTCTTATCATGATCTCAGGGGAGCGTTTGATTTGCATGAATATTACAACTCTTATGGATTTATTGCTTAGCACCCTGCTTATGAACATTAAATCTAAATGACGAAATTCAAACCAACAGCATGGTTCGAGTAATGTTAATGAATAGCCGGATGACAAAACACATTCCCTCAGGTTCTTTATTTCGTCATACAACCCAGTGGTCTGGCGTTTTCTATAATCATTACCAATATACTCACCTCCACTGTTCCCCCCGTTTGGGCCAGTTCCACCAGATGGGGTTTGGCCATTAGTGCTCCTTGTCCAGTCTTTCTGGTCGTCCTGGCGATCTACAAATCCACACATGTCACTGCCGAAGGTGCATTCCACCAACGTTGTTACTGAAAGAAATGGATGGACAGGTTATTATAGACGTAGACTTCCAATGGTTTTCTCAGTTAGCATACGTTAGAGCGAGCATGCTTTATAAAGGTATTTCAGTGACCATGATTTTGTCTGTTAGATAAAACAATACGGTTTTGGTATTGGTATAGGTGCTTAACATTACCCTACACATTACGTGTGACCCTACATACAACATGTAAAAAGACCCTACACCATGCAGTGTGACCCCTTAATATATAGAATGGCCCTATACATTAATTAGATCGCGTGAGACCCTAAACATGTAGCGCGACCCAACAACATATAGTATGACCCTATACATTATCAAACACATGTAGAAAGACCCTACACCATACAGTGTTACCCCACAATATATAGTATGGGCCTATACATTATCCCACACGTGTAGAAAGACCCTACACCATACAGTGTTACCCCACAATATATAGTATGGGCCTATACATTATCCCACACGTGTAGAAAGACCCTACACCATACAGTGTTACCACCCAATATATAGTATGGCCCTATACATTATCCCACACATGTAGAAAGACCCTACACCATACAGTGTTACCCCACAATATATAGTATGGGCCTATACATTATCGTGTGACCCTACACTATGTATTATTTCGACCCCGCAATTACCCACCTGATCTCTTGTGCCTCGGTAACGCTAATGTAGACTGGAGCAAGAGGCAAATCACCCAGACACTCATTACGTTCATCGTTCCGCTCATCATCTGCAGGAAAATAAATAGTAGATCAAGTTTGATATTCTTGCACTAAAATGCAGCATTTGCTATATAATGTTTGTTTACGTATAACGTATGTTAGAATCTAGAGTTTTCTAATCATTAACAATTCTGTCGGCTATATTCATTGGACATAAAAAACTATTTTCGTTTCCTCGATTTAAAACTATTTATAACCATGATCACGTTCACTATGATAATGGCTAATTTGCAAACTGATGGAATGACAGATACCTACATAAATGACACGACCATTTTAGGGTTTGTAATGATATAAGTGATGAGTTTTGTCAAATTTGGCATAACCGTTTGTATACGCTCAAAGGACTTTGGTAGGATGTTTGGATGTTTTACTCGGTGCATGAGTGGCACTAGAAAAAGAAGTGAATCACCGATGAACTATTTCAAAAGATGACACTTTTTAAAAACATAATGAGGTAAACATCTTGCCTATCACGGTATAGAGTAACAAATTGAAATTGATTTAGCCAAACGAAAGACGGGTTATATCTCGCTTGAAAAAGAATGATCGATTAAATCGAAATACAGAGAAACTGAATCAATTGTTATTAAGGTGAATAAAAAACTACTGTCGTAAAAAAATATTGAAGAGTATTTATTGATTAAAAAAAGATAAGATCACTTATCATCACAGAATTATGACATTTTGCCAAAAGATGTGAGTTGGTATACTAGTATAGGGAAGTTATGAAGCCTTGTTTTGAATTTAAATTATGTTTTTCATAGTTGAATCCATTGGTACAAGGGGGTCGGTGGGAGTTATTGCCTGTGCGTGCAATGGAAAAAATGCGCGTGGGCGGGGAAGAGACGTCTTTATCTATGGGTGATGCTTGTCTGGCGAGGCATCGAGAATGCGAGGTGTAACAGAAGAACGATCAATCTATTTATAAGACATTTATAAAAATGAAAAGTAAAATCGGCAAACATACATTATATCTGAGAGAGAGAGGCATTGATGCCGAATGATTATGTCAAAGCGTTAAGTAAAATGTTATGTAAGTGTTGAATATGAAAAGAAGTCTTCCCTTAACATGCACCATGCATGCATTGATAAACAAGCGCATTACTTCGGAGGTCATTTTGGTGCTGCAAAATATACTATTTTTTGTCATAAAAAATTAATAGGAATTTATCAAATTGAAGAGAAAGCTAAGCCAAGTGTAAAATGAGTGTATCGTTCATAGGGTTAACACATTTATTTATTAGACCACCTGAATATATCATACTGATTTTTTATTGTAATTTACATAGACAAGATCTGGTAAACAAGTTAAGTTTATGAACGCATTCAGGTGACTCCCAATGGCTTAGTCTCATTCCAACAGTTACCCACTCAAGTTTGCCACCCCGAACATTGAAATCAAATATCTTTAAATGTCTTTGTCAAATTTTGCATTTTGAGAAGTAGCCATTTTGCTACATATTTCTGTCTTTTTATATATTCCAAAAATGACACGTCTATTAAACACGATTGAAAATATTTCATAAGAGCTTGTCAGCTTCCTGCTGGTCGCCCCATAAGCGTTCTTTACAACCTATAACATTACATGTTGCATTTTTTATTTTGAAATAAAATTTGACTGACTGACATTTAATAAAACGTTTAGGTAGTTTAAAATGATTATGATTAATATAACTAGACGTGCCCAATCTTGGTGTTGGACAGATCACATGCACGTGTCTGTCTTGACAAGGAAATACAACATTGCCTAACCTATTACCCATATCAAGCCAGTCAAGCCATTTCTAAAAGCAGTGTAAATATGCTCTATCCTTTTCTTTATCAGATGGTAGGTTTTGTTTAAATTTATAATTTTGTCATGTCACAGATAATTGCGTTCAAGACTGATAGCTCAATGAGACAAAACGCAAAACAAATGGGTTTGCACTGTAAGAGGAACAGAGAAAGATACGACTTGTTAACAAACTATTCAAAAAATCATGATGCCTAATGAATATACCCGATCTTTAATCATATCTAATGTCGCCATTTTGGAATAAATGCCCAGATTGACCTAGCTACTAGCTACATATAGGCTACATTAGCTACAGGTAGGCAGGTATGGACATCACCAAGGCCATTGGGGGCTGCAGCTTGAGCGTCTAATATTGTATTATATGGGAAGAAATGCGTAAATAACATATTTTACATGCTTAATCTACATTGGTTAGTTTGTTTAAGAAGTCATTTCATGACATTCTCAAAGAATTCACAATCACGTACAATAAATCATTGTGGGCCATGTAATTCAAAAAATGATCCGTTTCATAAACGCACTTGGAAACTTTGTCTTATGGAAGACTTAAGACTTTATTCATTCCAGAAATGAAAACAAAAAACGTATGCTGAATGCTGACTCTTGACGCTTAAAGGCCGCATGTATTATACTTACATTTGACAATTGTGATTTGGTTGGTGTAGGCTGCAAATCGATGTCATGGTTAATGATGACGATTTTATAACCCCAAAATCACTATCTATGAGATAACTAAACCCTATAGACATGATAATTTTCACAGATGGAAAATACGGATATACTTTCCATAACGACCCGAGATCAACATGATGAGAGTCAGGGAGTTGCTCTTTCCCATCGATGTCACTATGATATCTCATTTCTACTCAACCACGAGGAGTGAAGGATGCGTTGATTATCAGAATGCATCGATATCTTCAAGAATTTCAATATAAAGAAATAGGCGAGGGCGTCAAGACCTCTGGCGTTTTTTAAGATGTTTTTATTATGTTTACCGTCTGTATTTGTTTGCACTGGAATAAGTCATTGTATTATAATATGCCAATGTGTACATGCGACTGACAAAACCAATTAAATACAGCAGTACCTACTGTATATCAATTCGCATTCTTGAAACAAAATTGTTTTGGAATTGCAGTTTACTTAGAACCTTTTTAAGTCATTAAAAAACAGGTCTTAAATAAGTCTTAAATGAGTGACGTGTGAGGTTATCAAAACCTCTAATGAAACGATCTTTTACGGCGTTGTCGAACAACTCTTCTACTCAATTAGTATCTATAAAGTTAAATTATATTTGATTGTAGCAAAATGAGATACGTGTAAGGAGACTAAAAATATAAATACATAAAAAATATAAATACAGGGTGGTCCAAAAAATGGGACACTCGTATTTCAAAAATAAATATTGATTTTCTTGACGGAAACATGTCATATTATATACCAATGGATAGGAAATTTACTCATCTTTAATTTGGTATATCATAAGTTCAAATTTATTATAATGTCTGTCAACCAGCGTCCATAATATAAATGACGTCATTTTTGTTTCAAAACGGGTTTTCCAAAACTTGCAAAAAACAAGTTTTATTGTCAACTTTGTTTACATAAACAGACGTTCAATATGTCAACCATTTTGATCAATTGTAGCCCTCAATTTTGGCCTAAACTGGTCAATAGCATCATTGATATGCTGTTGAGACAATCAATTTCACTTCTTAACAATTCTTTCCTTTGTAAGGGACTGAGTAGAAGTAAGGGGTTCATGATAAACCAATTCTGTTAGTTCTCCCAATATGTGGTTGTCGCAGACGTTGATATTGGATGATCCAATTATGTTGTTTTTGGATCATTCTGATATGAGCTCACTTTGGAATCATTACATTTTCCAACAAGATGGGGCTCTAACCAATAGATCCAACAAGAGTGTCAAATGTTTAAAAGAAAATGTGCCTAGATTCACCCCCCCCCCCTTAATCACTGGCTCCCCAGATAACCCAATGTCTGCGACTACCACGTATGGGGAGAACTTACAGAATTAGTGAACCGTAAATCCTTTACATATATTCAGTCCCTGATGGACAGAATTATTGAGAAGTGAAATTGATTGTCTCAACAGCATATCAATGATGCTATTGACCAGTTTAGGCCAAAATTGAGGGCTACAATTGATCAAAATGGTGGACATATTGAACATCTGCTTAAGTAAATAAAGTTGACAGTAAAACTTGGTTTTTGCAAGTTTTGGAAAACCCGTTTTGAAACGAAAATGACGTCATTTATATTGTGGACGCTGGTTGACAGACATTGTAATAAATTTGAACTTATGATATACCAAATTAAAGATGAGTAATGCCCTATCCATTGGTATATAATATAACATGTTTTCATCAAGAAAATCAATATTTATTTTTGAAATACGAGTGTCCCATTTTTATTGGACCACCCTGTACATAAAAAATGTTTAATGTGTACTTTCACTAGTATGGGTGTCATTGGCGGATACAACGTGACCCATGGGACCCTGCCCCCTCCCCTTGTTCGATTTAGAGGCCCGAAATATTTTTCCATGCAGCGCAGAAATTTTTCTCAGATTTGCAATTGCCCCCTTCCTCTCCTTGTTAGCTTCTGGATCCGGCAGTTGGTGTGATAGCATCATTATGAAATGTGTATCACAACATGCCTTTGTCACAAAGCTACGTTTCATACTATTACCTGTACATCTTTGATTTTGAATGAAGTATTTTATGATTGATCTCGTAATTTAATGGGATTCCAATACATAGGGCGAGCTCTACACAATTATACCAATTTTTTATTTTTGTCGAAACTGACTGTATTTTTTAACTGCAAAGTCAAACTTTTAAATGTGTTAATGTTTTTAAAATACGATTTGTTTCAATTATCAAAAGAAAAAAGTAATCAATTATCTACTCTTAACTTCAACAGACAATATCATAACTTTTGAATAATTAATCTCTTTATTTTCGTATATCAATTAGCAAAAAGGTAAAAACACCTAACGGATAATATTACTTACCTAAATCCTAAAATTGTAATAAAAGTCCGATAATAAAAGCAAAAATGTACAGCTATAACATTTTCTTCAAGCCAATATATTTTAATGAAAGAAAATAATTGATGGTCCACTGGTTTCAAGTTAGGAATAACCGCAGTGAGTTCGCTGCAACCCGGTAACTGGTATAATATATTCGTCCTAAACCGGTTTCCAAGTCCCTACAGTTATCACATGAATGTAAAAGATATATGATGCACACAGTATTCCCGTAAATGTCGCTTTGATTAGAATTGATGTATGCATTTCTTATATACACAGTAGGTAAATACCAGACTGGTGTCAGTGCAAACGTAAAGATATCATGATATGTCTTTGAATTACTGGCTTAAAAGAACTACTATTTAGAATTTAATGTTGTAACCCACCAGCGGATCTAGACGGGGGCGTGCGTGGGGGGCGCACTCCCCCTATAAAAAGTCGGAAAATTTGTGTTTTGCCTTATTGCTTTTTACAAAATTTGACTCTTCGCTCACAGTTATTATCACACGCCCCCCCCCCCCTAACACAAAATCCTGGATCCGCCCATGTAACCGACACCTATGATGACATAAAACGATAACATATGATGGAAAAACCAATGCCACATTAAGAACTGAAGTCATATTATTTGGACTGTTTTTAACACAACATTTTTATCTGATGCTGATTGGCATGACCTCCGAGAATATATATACACGTGTAAACGAATGTATCAACTACGTACCGTACTTTAAATATACAATATAAAAACAGGCCAATTCCTCAGAATGCCCTCTGGATTACACTTAGTTTATGATATCTCGGGGAAAATGTGCTCGCGGTTGTTCCTCGAAATCATTTTTGCCTGGAAGAGCATTAACATCACGTTGAGTCGTTCAATACGTACCTTTAAGAAAATCATAACTCGATGAAAATGGACCTATATTTTGCATTATTCATTATGAACGCTTGCACCATTTGGATCCACCATCTATTTGAGAAAGTTCTAGAATTATAGGGCTCTAACATACTAATTGATTTTTTACCTGCTGGAGAGAAATTTAAAATTAAAATCGTGATCTTGTCACAAGCAAAGTCGTGAAAGTTACAATTCGTCGTTGTCCCACAACCGCGTAAACTAGAGAAACTCGTACTTATAACAACACCCTAAAATTTCGTGGTTATCAATAAGTTATGAACGGGAAATCACCTTAATTCGATATAATTTTTAGTTTATACTCATTTCAACGGTCAGGTTTCGGTGACCAATATAGAATCGACAAACAAACATTTGTAAATCAACTGGCTGACGTTCTTATAAAGGATGTAAACGATCAAAACAAAATGTATTCAATTTAAATTGTGAGCTTTATGGTGTTCGCTTGACAAATCTGAGATGTATTGAATAGATAGGATTTGTGTGAATCGATATTTTTGTTTATAATGTTAATTCCTCGACAGCTTTAGAGTTCAAAACCATTACTTTATGGTCAAAGTGATCTGATATACAATTTGATAAAAAATTTCGAACTAAAAAATGCTTAAACTCGAAACAATCACAATAATCGAAAATTAAAATGTTTTTGGAAAGTTTATAATATTATCAGGGTCTATACTTGTCTAGATACTCTCGAAGAATTCGTCCATGATATTCCCATCACATACGTATATATCGTCCGGAAAGTGCGAAATTCTCTTTGTTTGGGATGGGTTAATTGAATCTCTAAATTTATTTAAATTACACATTTCGCAAAGTACCAGTTGAAGCAATGTTATTTGTTTTCTATAGCAGCTGTTGCTGATGCTTTTATCAGAGAATAATTAAACTCGTTTAAAAATCATACATAACATGAGCAGCAGGAAAAAATGATTCAACAAAAACATGTTGTTTACTGACGAGCTTCTACTGTTGTACAGAAGCCATATAATTTTACATTATTATAAAAATAAACCTGGTAGACCTGAAACTACCTCACATCACCTAATTGTTCTTAAACAAGATACTTAATGCTCTTTAAACGTTCCCCTTTGCCTCTCAAAAGGTAACATCACAACATATTTCACAATGCAAAAACCTTCCCATCCCATGAATGGGACGAGCAATTCAGATTTATTTCGCGGTTATTTTATTTGTCACCAGACGACAAAGAAAACAAAGAAACGCGTAGGGTTTGCATCGTGATAGATCAGAGATGCACACCTTAGTTTCGGCATGTACAATGTTGATGAAGATGCATCAGGATGCGTCTTCAGAATGATAAATGCATATTATTATTCATTGTTATAGTATATTTACTAGCAACACTATCAGATGATACATCTACTATACTAACGATACTATCCGTTGATACATTTACTATGGAATACTGATAATAGTATTACATTTGCTTTAACTAGTATTATTATTTGGTGATGCAATAAAATGAATTATTATATCATTGCTAGAAATTGTGTGATTTGATTGGTCGAGTCAGTACCATGTGATCAAAAATACCATAACGTATTTCACAGCTCCCTCAATTTTAGGATAATAAAAGACGTATTGCCCGGCGTATTGCCCGCCCGGGAATTCTGACAACTACACTGGACGAAAATAAAGTGTACCATTCAATGATACTTGTACGTAATTATGTTCACTTATGGATTGATGATATATTAATTGATAAAAATAAATGATCATAGGGAATGTCTAGCAATGATATAATAAAACAAATATTTCATTCTATGTTCGGGCAATACCTGTTGCACTTTCAATGATTTTTGCATCATGTATTTCCCTCGCCCTACGGGCTGCGGGCAATACATACCGCAAAAATCATTGAAAGATGAACAGGTATTGCCCTCCATAGAATGAAATATTTGCTTATTACTCCTGGCCTAGTATTGTTGATTTTTTGGCATCGTTTCAATGTAAACCCCCAAAATGCGCAATCACATGATCAAATTAAACCTACGCTTACTCAATGGACAGCTTCCTTAAAAAACATGTAAGAGGGGAAACCTCGTCCTTGGTCAGGTGGCTTTTGAGAATATTGCACCGACCATAGACTGGGTTCCATCTCTTATATGTTTTTGAAAAGGCTATTGAGTTCGGTTTTGAATTTGCACATTTTGTACCGGTTGTCAGTGAAACAATGCAGTAAAATCAATTATACTATTATAATTCTATGGACCAAGCAAGAAAAATAATTAATTTCCAAATTTGAATGACAAAAAATAAATAAAAATTGGTGACTTTAAAATGAGTTGATTTTTTTCAAACTGGTTGCCATGGAAACCACTCATCACTAGTCGTGGGGCATGTGACAACCATACGTCCTCTTAATAGACAGTTATTGTAGTCAATACTTGTGCAGGAGATAAGGCCCATTGTTAGTTATTTTCAACAAAGTTTGGATTATAACTGTTAGAAATAGATATTTTTAGGATAAAAGAGACGTTATTTATTGAACAGCCCCTGTATACTGTAAATGAGAAATGATATTTCCTTAAGAAACGACTGTTAAGGATAAGACGACTACTAAGGATAAAGATGAGATTCAAAACTATTTTAAATGGTATCTAAATCAGATAGTTCTAAACAATTATATGGGTCACTGAGTCACTGCAATTTGCTTATCTTCAATGTAAATCATCACAAATCTAAAAACAATAATAACTTTTGAGCTTCTACTAATGATAGGCTGGCATGTTTTTAAATATCATGCTCAAAGAGGTCCAGACGTATCAGGCGCATATAATAAAGGACGCAAATTTCAAATTTCAACCATGTGTCTACTTACTTGTTTGTATCCTTATTCAGCACTTTAAATTGGTTATTTTTATGTATAATATATTATGTTTTTTTATCCAAAATGTCACAGTTTGGTCGTCCATGCAGCCATATAGCGTATCACATTAACGTTTATTTAAAAAATAAAATGAAGCTTTTATATCCAAGTCTTAATTTAACGAACCACCGCATTGACCAGAAGATTTTGAACTCATAATGTTAAACATATATAGAACTCGTGCATGAATTTATAAACACCAGGTGAAATGGATGCTGTAGTTCCTTTGTATTAAAACACCTCACTTGTCCTGAAGCAAATTTTAATGAATCACGCCCATGTATCCTCTACATAGACACCTAGATGCTCATTAATTCAAAATGAATAGAAGTACAATTTTCATCTTTATGAATAAATTAGAATTAATAAATGTTTACTGTTTTCAATATACACTCCCCTCCATAAGTTTGGCAACCCTTTTTCCCCCATTGAACTACGTGTTAAAGCCTCTTTACCTTTGAATTTTTATTTACTTAACCTGCGGTGAAAATACTTATACTATTGATGGAAACGTAATTTCACTTTAATTCCAATACCTCCAAATTTTCTCAATTTTTTTCCTCAATTACAGTAGGTCGAAAATTGATGATGAATTTGATGAATTTTTGAAAATCGACATTCCCATGTTAACCAATGGGAAATGGTAGGTTTGCCGCAAGTCATATGACAGAATATCCATCCATCCGAGTCCTTGCAAAAATACGAGTTAGGCAGGTTATCGAATTTGCTAACTTTATTTAACAAAAAATTGATATGTTTCTTCAGGTTCAACAAAGTTATAGGGCTTTAAAGTCAAAATTGTTTTTCAAAAAACCTCTCCCATTGAAATAACACAGGAGGCGAAAAATTATTTTCAAAAATGACTTTGAAGCGCTGTAACTTTAATATTCATCAAATAAACTAAACACTTAGTGTTCAAAAAAGTTAGACAATTCAATTTTCTATATGAAAATATTTTTTGCTGAATCTTTTACTGAAAAGATATCCTGATTTCTGATTTGCCCCGAACCCTCCATTTCCCATTGGATTACATGGGAATGACGATTTTCAAAAATTCATCAAATTTATCATCAATTTTCGACCTATTGTAATTGAGGAAAAAAATTGAGAAAATTTGGAGGTATTGGAAATAAAGTCAAGTTACGTTTCCATCAATATTATAAGTTATTTCAACGCCGGTTAAGTAAATAAAAATTCAAACGTAAAGAGGCTTTAACACGTAGTTCAATGGAGAAAAAAGGTTGCCAAACTTATGGAGGGGAGTGTACTCGCATGACCTTTCATTGCAGAAAAAGCCATCATCACTATTGAAAACTACACTTAAAAATCAATGTTTATTTTAATCATATATACTGCAATGGATATCCATATAGCATTATCAGAATGAATTAATTACACATTATCTACTACCTAATCAATACTATCACACATATTTGTCATTATTCAATGCCTTCTCCCCAAACGAATATAAAGGCACCCGACGACAGATTATGATTACGTATCCGATGGTAGAATAAAGTACGTGTATCCCCACGTATCCAAACGATGGATTATGCTTGCGTATCCAACGCTGTATGCACGTACACTAGACAAAATCGTGTTGAATAACTTGCAATACCAATGTTACAACCCATCTTACTCGATGCTTAGTACTCGCAATCCTTGATTATTAATACACTTATTTGGAAGGTTATTTGAGCTTACCCTTTGGTATTGATACACTTATTTGTGGTTATTAGGCCCGAATACTGAGGTTTTTTCTTTTAATTAGTCTTATTCTATTGCATTAATATTTAATGATTTTCAATGACAAGGGATTGTTCTTTAAGAGCTTTAATTTTATAATCCATATAACTTGTGATAAAAATTGGTGACTTTAAAATGAGTTGATTTTTTTAAAACTGGTTGCCATGGATACCACTCATCTCTAGTCGTGGGGCATGTGACAACCATACGTCCTCTTAATAGACAACCATACTAATAACCTTGAAAATGAAAATGGGGATGAATCTCTCAATCAGAACATATCCCTCCAGGAAGTAGCTGAAGCCATCTCACGAGCAAAGCTTCGGAAAGCAGTAGGGATAGATTCTATTCCAGCAGAAACACTTAAAAACCCTCATTGTATAACCTTATTGCATAGTATAATACAGGAATGCTTTGAATCTGGCATCGTGCCAGATCAATGGATGGAAGGAATAATTAATCCTATATTTAAAGAAGGAGATACAAGGAATCCTCTGCATTATAGAGCTATCACTTTAGTATCCGTTCCAAGCAAAATATATTGTGACGTACTGAATAAAAGACTGACAAATTTCCTGGAAATAAATTCCCTCTTAGTTGAAGAACAGAATGGGTTTCGAGAAAAAAGGAGCTGTCGTGATCAGATTCATACTCTGTATTCAATCGTAAACAATCGAAAACTAGCAAAACAGGACACTTATGTTTGTTTCATTGATATGACGAAAGCGTTCTGTAGTGTTAATCGTGACTGCTTGTGGTTCAAACTCAATAAAATCGGAGTAAAGGGTAGGATCTTTAAGGCTGTCCAGTCCCTGTATCAAGATGTGACCTGCTCTGTGAGGATTAATGGCTTGCTAACCCCTAAATTCAAAGTATCCAATGGATGTAAGGAGGGCTGTCTGCTTTCTCCGACCCTGTTCTCTATTTAAATAAATGATTTAGCAACGGATGTGAAACAATTGAGATGTGGAATTAATATTGATGAAATTAACGTAGGAATATTACTCTACGCTGATGATATTGCCCTTATAGCACCCACCCCTCAAGACCTACAACACATGCTAAATAAGGTGAATGAATGGTGTCGAAAATGGAGGCTATCTATGAACCTAAGTAAAACAAAAATTGTGCATTATAGGCCCCCCTCCCACCTACAATCAGACTTTGCATTTACTTGTGGACAATTTAACATTGATTATTCATCAAAGTACAAATATCTTGGAGTGTGGCTAGAAGAACATTTAGACTCAAAAATCATTGCTCATGAAATTGCCAAATCAGCCTCAAGGGCCCTGGGTGCAATAACAACTAAAGCCAAGGCCACAGGCGGAATGGACTTTAAAGTGTTCTCTAAGCTTTATGATTCCCTCGTCCAACCAGTGATAAACTATGGCAGTGCTATTGTTGGCCTCAGGGAGCATAGATGTCTCAATAATCTCCAAAATCGTGCTGGTAAAACATTCCTGGGAGTTAGCCCTAAAACCAGTAATGAAGCAGTCCGTGGGGACCTTGGATGGAGTCCACTAATTGATAAACAAAGAGTGGTATGCGCTCGACAATACCTGAGGCTACATAACATGGACAATAATAGATTGAATCATAAGGTACATATATGGTCATTAAAAAACAAAAGAAGTTGGGACTATCACACTAAAGCTATGCTGACTAAAAATGGCATTTTTATTGATAATAATAGTTCCTTGCATGTAAAATCAACTGTGAAACGTTTACAGGATAGTTTCAATGCAAAAGACCCCTTCTTGAAAAATATTTGGGATGATACAAATAATTTACAGAATGGCAATAAGCTTCGAACATACAGATTGTTTAAATATGGAGTAGTTAATGAACCATATGTATCTGAATACATGCCAAGGCACCACAGAACCATTCTTGCTAGACTGAGAACAGGTAGCCTCCCATTTCACATTGAGACAGGTCGTTGGTCAAACACAGCACTAAATGATCGTACATGTAAATTATGTGATGGTAACTTTGTTGAAGATGAAATTCATTTTGCTGTCCAATGTAAACATTATTCCAACTTGAGAACACATTTTTATAGATCTGTAACTGATATTTTAACACCACATATAAGAACAAACACTGACAATGAGTTACTTTTATTTATAAGCCTAATGCATTCAAGATCAATTCAGAGACAGTGGGCTGCTCTGTTATACAAAATGTTCATGAAAAGGCAATTTGACCTGGAACGGTTGACTGCAGTCTAATAATTTGCCATATTATTCCTATGTACCGTATCCATTGCAATGAGGGCCAAACCTCCATACCACCTTGTAGTCAATATTCTAGTCATCATCTTATAAGATAACATGTAAATCATTTATCATCATTTATAGATGGAATTATTGCTATTTATCAATTTATGCATTATTGTACTTGTAGATGAATTGTAGTTTTATTGTTGAATGTCGTATCTTAAACACTGTTTAACTGTTATTATTGATCTTTAAAGTCCAGTGTCTCATAAGCCGACATCGGCTGGTGGGTTTTTTTAGAATATGTATTTATTTGTACCAAATGTTAACCAGTGACACTATAATAAACTATTTTAATAATAAAAATAAATAAAATTAAACAAATCAAAGGATGGCTTTTTGCATCATTGTTGATCGGGGATAAGTTTGACATTACTCATGTTTAACAATACCCATGTTTAATTTTGATTTATTATAAAACATTTGATTCCGGTTTTATAAGGAATTTGAGTTTGATTTGTTCATGATTTGTTAGACTTTGTCAAATGTTAATTGATATTGTTTTCCTAGATATTTATTTGATCAAAGATGTCAAATCATGGGAACCAAGATAGATAATACCAAGATGTATAATGTTATGGTCGTTTAAAACGCTTTTACAAGATTCAAATGCTCAAGCCCGGTGCTCAAGATTAATAATTTTCCTTGTTTTAAACGCTTTAAACAATTCATTTGTGCCCCTGTGCCAAGATTTTACTATGTTGCCATTTGAAACGAGATCATTTGTATATTTTAAATTTCTGTTCTTTCAAATTAAAATGAAGACGATAGCCTGGCTCACTGGCGGATCTGGGGGGGGGGGCCTTGGGTGGGCCCAGAAAAAAATTGGGCCCAAAAGATTTGGGCCAAAAAAGGCCTTAAGGCCCCAAAAAGTGGGCATTTTGGTCATTACTTGGCCTTTCAAGGCCTTATTTTTTCATTTCAGGCAAAATTTTGAAGAAAATGGGCCACAAAATTTCTAAATGTGGGCCCACTTTGGGGTTTTACGGGCCGAAAATCTTTTTACGCGCAAGCTCGGAGGTTCTTTTCTATAACCTAAAATTTGCCCCCCCCCCTATTGGTTCCAAGATGCGCCCCTGCGGCTATAGGGAAATAACAAGAATCAAACCCCCATATTGCCCCCTGGCATTCTTAGAGACTTGATCCAAATATTGATATGCAAGAAACAAACTGGAGACATAGAAGATATCGGGGACGGGGGGGGGGGGGGGGTGAGTACACGGGACAGATTGTTTCACAACACACTTCTTGGTTTAAAATGTACAATTAAGGGGGTAATTCATTAAAACAAATAAACAATTATATTTTCAAAATTCTGTCAAGATATATAACTACATGTATGTATTTATAATGTAATTATAATGATGAACCTCTTTAAATGAGATGTATATTTTTTTATTCTCCCCTACCCCCAATTTTTCAATTTTACTATATTGATTTATATTCCGTTGCTAGGCAAAATCATAGACAGAAATTATAGTTAAGTCAGCAATTATTTATTTTCTTACTAAATCACCAATTGTTATTGGTAGTACTTCTTGAAATATGAATGTTAAAGACAAAAACAACTTGAAAATGTTGATTATTCAAATACACGTTCCATCGATTTCAGTTCTAGAAAACCTTATACCTAGGTTTTTATTTCATTTGTAAGATAATAGATTATTGTTTTAGGAAATTTAACATTTTTGGCACCCCCTAAGTCACGTTGACCTCGATTTGACCTTTGTGGTGGAAAGTTTATTTGGTCTTGCGAATTAGTGTTATAAAAAAGGTTGCAGACATTAGGGTTAATTGCCTCATTGATCACGAATGCGTTTCTTTAAATCAATTGATCAAGCTAGATTCTTTAATCTGTACGTGTCGTATCGCACGGTACACGATGTAATCAGACAAAAATATATATCTCAATTTAATTAAAATGATTAAAAATCTCTCATTGTTATTTGGAAATTGATCGTCTATATCGTTCGAGACATAAGAAAAGTGAGAATGATTTGTGATTTTCCATGGTGATTTTAAATGATGAAAATCAACTTCATTATTTTTTAACTTTATTTATTTTTTATTATTTTTGGGGGGAAATCAAGACTGGGGGTTCGTCCGAACCCATCAAACCCCCGGTCCCTACGGCTATGTACAGGATCACAGATATCTCTTTGTTTTCAACATTTTGATTGCGATTCTTCAATATATAGAAGTTACTTCTGAATAATCATTGATTTTTCTCGCATGACTGAAAAGGCCTTTGATCCAAGTTATGAAATATCCTCAATCAACTGATCCTTATTGTGCAATCAGGTAAATCATTATGTAACTGGGACTGGGGATTAAAAAATCTTGTCACATGACATAACATAAGTGTCTGACTTAGTTTTACTGAGAAAAAATAGTTCACATTATGTGTTTTATGTTCCATGGTGGTTCAGTTAACAACCAGAGAGTTTTTGTGGTGACTGAAAACACTCGCACCCAGAGTTTAAGGGTTGTTCAGGAATCTTTCAGGGAAAGATATCCAGACCGCCCCCCCCCAGCTAGAAGCACAATTTTGCGAAATGTTAGGAAATACCAGGAGGCAGGGACAAGCCTCAACCTAAACAAAGGGAATTCTGGGAGACGACGAACGGGACGATTCGAGGAAAATGTCAAAAGAGTCCGTACTCGCCTTGTTGAGAATCCAAGAGACACCAGTGCCAGAAGGAATGGTATTGGACCACAAGCAACATTTAATCGAATCACAAGGCTTGACCTCAGATGGCATCCTTATCAGATGAGAGTCAGACACAAGCTTCTACCAGGGGACATGCCCTGAAGACTGGCATTTTGCCAATGGTTAATTACTAGACAATGTCAGGCAGACAACAGATTCCTTACCTACTTTGTAATAGGAGATGAAGCTGATTTCTCCATGGATGGAAAGGTCGTGTCACACAATGTGAGAGAATATGCTCCAATAGGTCCCCAGATTTCAACTATGATGTCAATTTCAATCGTCAAAAGGTGAATTGCTGGATTGTATTATGTGGCAATAATTTGATTTTGGGCCCCTTCTTCTTGAAACATAACTTAAATGGAATTGGTTACCTACAGATCTTGAATGAACATGTGATTCCTGAATTAATTGAGAACTTCCCGAGACAGCGGCGAGGCGTGTTTAGACGCCTATGGTTGGCACAGGATGGTGCTCCTGCCCATCGATTAATTGCAGTGAGAAACAGCCTGGATGAGGTTTTTGGACATTGAGTGGTTGCCCTTAATCATGATGTGGAATGGCCACCACGATCTCCTGATTTGACTTGTTGTGACTTTTTCCTTTGGGGCTATCTCAAGAGTAGAGTATTCGCAACTCCTCCATCAGACATTGCAACACTACGAGAAAGAATAACCAATGAAGTTGCTACTCTCCGACAAGACCCACATATGATTCAGAGAGCTGTGCTTGACATGGAGAGACGAGCCAATCAGATCTGTGTGGAGAGCAGATTTTGGCCAGTGGTGTAGAATGAATGATTATTCAGTGGTCCATGACCACATGTAGATAAATGACATATCGTTGGAAAGAGGAGACATGTGGCTTTATGGTTAATTAAATGAAATTGATGTAGTGTTTTTTCCTGACAGGCATTAAAAGTTCATAGCATGCAAAGGGCAATATTTTGAGAAAATGTGAAATGGGACACTGCGCAATATACATCAAATAAATCTAGGATGTGCTCAAAGTAATTTAGTATCTTAAAATGCATTTTTGAGCATACTTTTTATAGCTACACAAAATCACTGTGGATATAGTCCTGAGTAAGGACATTAGCGGTTACCGTTAGTGATTTGGTTTTCTGAATAAAAAGTCATTTTCTCCTTCCCTACCCCATTGGAGCGCCATCTAGCGTTTGGGAAGTGAATCGGGAATAAATATTTATAGGGTAGGTCCTCTACTGTGATCTTCAACCTATTAGAAGGCGCTTTTTTGGGGCATTTTGAAGGTTTTATCCCTTTTTGAGGTTTTTTAGTTCATTGAGAAGCCTAATAGCGCATATCATATTAAAGGGCTGTATCTTAGCTGAACAATGCTACCAAAATCGTGACATTTTGAAGCAATTTTGGTGTTTTGGGGGCGAGGCCACTGTGCCAAGTACCCCGAATTCCATTCTCCCGTGCCATTCAATTGTTTTCGGGGCAGTTTTGAATGAACCTTTGTTTCTTCCTACCAATATGACGTCATAAGATGCAATTGAACGCCTTGGCATGGATATCACTTGAAAGATAGTAGAAATCGCTTTCCAATGATACCCCATACGGCCATGTTCACCTCAGTTGGGTGTACTCAATCTGTGATGCAATCTGTAAGGTGTACCCCTACCCCAAAGAAATTTCAAGAAATCTCAAAATCAAATTTCCTGAATTTTGCTAAAAGGACCTGTGTCTATAAGGATTGAATTTTCCTCCGTGCTTTTTCTCAAATATAGGATTGTTATATACCATTGTGATCGGGATAATGCCTACAATGCTAATATAACCATGTTGGAAGAAAACAAACTAATTCAGTTTACTATTAGGATATAGTCCTGAGTAAGGACATTAGCGGTTACCGTTAGTGATTTGGTTTTCTGAATAAAAAGTCATTTTCTCCTTCCCTACCCCATTGGAGCGCCATCTAGCGTTTGGGAAGTGAATCGGGAATAAATATTTATAGGGTAGGTCCTAATTTATCTGAAAACATGTCAGAGTTCAGTGGGAAATCTCATTTTAAGCTGGCGGCGGAGTGATTTTGACCTTGGTGATTTTACCAGAATTCTCTGAGAAATCTGACGATAGAGGGGGTTAGTGTCTTCAAGTTTATTTATTTCAAAAATTCGGTGGACAACCCATGGTAAGATTGTTATAGCAGGCTAGGCGAGTCTCTCCCGAACACTGTGGTATGTTGCACTAGGCTTGGATACTAATCGTTAATAAGATACAGGGTAAAATGTTATAATGGCCACCTATGGGAAACTCTACTGTGATCTTCAACCTATTAGAAGGCGCTTTTTTGGGGCATTTTGAAGGTTTTATCCCTTTTTGAGGTTTTTTAGTTCATTGAGAAGCCTAATAGCGCATATCATATTAAAGGGCTGTATCTTAGCTGAACAATGCTACCAAAATCGTGACATTTTGAAGCAATTTTGGTGTTTTGGGGGCGAGGCCACTGTGCCAAGTACCCCGAATTCCATTCTCCCGTGCCATTCAATTGTTTTCGGGGCAGTTTTGAATGAACCTTTGTTTCTTCCTACCAATATGACGTCATAAGATGCAATTGAACGCCTTGGCATGGATATCACTTGAAAGATAGTAGAAATCGCTTTCCAATGATACCCCATACGGCCATGTTCACCTCAGTTGGGTGTACTCAATCTGTGATGCAATCTGTAAGGTGTACCCCTACCCCAAAGAAATTTCAAGAAATCTCAAAATCAAATTTCCTGAATTTTGCTAAAAGGACCTGTGTCTATAAGGATTGAATTTTCCTCCGTGCTTTTTCTCAAATATAAGCCATAAAATGACAAATCCAGAATAGGAACGTGGTCATATTGTAAATAATAAGGTATCAAACGCAATGTCGTTAGACCACTACGTATGAATTCTATGGACGGTAACGTATTGTATTAGATGTGCATTAGATATTTAGCGGACGGTCACGTGCATGTTCATCTTTCAAGTTAAGGTTGCTAGTTCTGATAGCCTCTTTCCATGTAATTGTTATAATGGGTAAGAAATGGAATATTGAATTGCTTATATTTGTTTTCAGGACTCGCAAGAGACGCTCTTGTTTGAGCCTCTATAGGGCAAGGAAAAAATTGTGTCTTGCTTTATTTGTGAAACCAATTTAAGTCAAAAAGATAGCAATGGAGAGGCAAAAGAAGAATTAGCATCAAGTACTGATTGATATGACAAAATTAATAACAATGAATCTGGGATACATATTTGAACGAGGTTCGCGTAACCGTCAATCAATTTTTGGCGTAGCCGCAAATTAAAAATACAATATTATGGCTTAAGTAGAACATATTAGGTGGTTTCCAATGCTCAATTGGCTTTTTATGATAGTATGTAGGTTACATCTATATACCCCGAGGTCGTTAAGCAATGTAGACCACGCCCTAACGACAAAATAAACAAATTACTAAATTTTGTGTATTTTTGAATTTCAGACTCAACAGTTTTTCGCTTATTTCATGTTATCCCCGGGGATCAATTTGCAAAGAAAACGTTCAAAATATACATTAATAAATGCATCACCGAATGCGATGCCTACAAAATCGTTCATTCTTTCATTGATACACAGTAAGAAAATAATGCACAAACCTTAGTTTTCTGTTCCACCGCGGCCATTTTATTGGATAAATCAGTGATCGTAGTCGTCTAATCTCGTTTTCAGAGGTGTCGTAACCGTCACCGTGAAAATGGTATTTGTTGATTAATTATTTCATATTTTCAATTTTTATTCATTTTTGACGTGACTGTATAACCTGCACCATCCTACCCAAACTCACCAACTTGATTTTATTATTACATCAATATATTTTTATCAGTCAACATGAAAATTTGTAGAATAATCAAAATGTCTCTAAGGAACATTTACTGAAAATTCCATGGAATAATGTCAATTATTGATAAAGTTAGAGCATATAGTGCATTACTTCTGGGGAAACCCCTCGTACATGTAATGACTTTTCATGTGAACGTGTCTCTTTAGCCTTTTAGTTTAGATAATGCCCCGTGTCCTATACTTTCGGCGGGTTGGAACATGCGATGCTTTTGTTATAGGCGATACCTAGTATAGACGATTACTCTTTCACAGGCTGGTATCGAAAGATTTGTCCGCTATGACGGAGCATGCTATTTTTCATAAAAACACTAAGAATGCTTCACGATTTATTTGTTAACTCATATGTTTCGTTATATCAAAGATAATTACTTACTCCATGCAATGGATATATCATTTGCGTGTAACCTTCACTTCTGTTTGAAGTCCAATAACGCTAGGAGTAAAATCTATTGAAAACGGCGCCAGAGTATCAAACTCAAAAATTTCTTTTTTAACTTTTTAATGGCATGATATAGTGACACGATAATATTAACATATGTTTTCAGCATAATTCTGAATGTATTAATGAGATATTAATGCATTGGGTCTTTTTAATTTTTTTATAAAAAATAATATTAATATTTTTTGTCCGCTGTGACTGAGCTATATCGTGCCATTAGAAAGTTAAACAAGAAATGGTACATTTTGAAGTATGATACTCCGGCGCCATTTTCAATACCTTTTCTTCCCAGCGTAATTGGACTTCAAACAGAAGTGAAAGTTACCCGCAAATGATATATCCATTGCATGGAGTAAGTAAATTTGTATGGTATATAACGAAACATATGAGTTAAAAAATAAATCGTGAAGTATTCTTAGTGTTTTTATGAAAAATAGCATGCTCCGTCACAGCGGACAAATATTTCGATACCAGCCTGTGTCTTTGCAGATTTTTAGATTAAAATGTTTTTCCCACTAATGACTCCACCCTTCTTTGCGACAGACACATACTAATCGACTGTAATGAGTACAGTCACGTGAGGAATAAACTCATTAATGACATTGCGTTACCCAACAACCATCCAGCGTTCGATCCAAGAGAAATTTGTGCTTCTGTGTGCGGCCCTGCCTCTGAGTCATTTGAGATACATAACTTAGAGCACATCCTGAGATACATTTATATAGTGATATCAGACTCAGGGATTATTAGTCTTGTACCTTTATTTGCATAAACTTGCAGAAGATCTTGTAATCTGAATTTTTTTATATTAGTTTTAAAGATTGTAAATATGTTGTGACCTTGTTTATGTTTATATTTTTATGTTTATTGTATTAATCTAACAATGTAATTAGTTTATATGAAATCCGATTTGAAATCGGGAATAAAAGATACATACTGTACATACATACATTGATGAAGGTTATTTATTGTAGAAGAGACACATTTGTGAAACAACAAGGTCCATAACCATCTTTTGTCACAACCTTCAGAGGGATAACATTGGAAAACTTCAGGCCAAAAAGTGCTCAGAATGGAGAACATGGCATAAACATGCAAAATTTCACTACTAGCCATTTGTTACAGATGCTGAATATTGAACTCCGAACACCAACAGCCGAACACCAACTGCTTCCGGAAAGAATTATACTATACTATAACAATATATCACCATTTGTGATAGTGACATATAAACTGCATGAGTGAAATATTTTTAAATCATGCAGTTTCTCACCATTCGGAGCACTTTTCAAGTAATCTTAGGCCGAAGAAGTCAAACGTGAACCCCTGAACCCTCCCCTTGGTTTTATAAGGTGAGACAATGTTAAATTCGCAAATGAATTGGAAAAATAATACAAATACGAGAGAATCAAAATATTTGAAATATGAACATTAAAACAAGTCAAATAGCAACAGACAAGACCAATATAAAATTTACCCTTACACCTATAAGACAATTGATACCAAAACAACCAATTATTACAGTTTGATTGTGTTTTATTGCTTGTGCCTGATTGCATGGGTGTTGATTGTTTGGTTTTGGATTAAGGAAAATTGTGTTGTGTAACTTGAACAATGGGTTGTGTTTGCTTTTGTTAATTTATCATTTGGTTGTGCCAAATTGCGTGGTGTTAATTTCACAGTCCGTTGTATTTTTGGCGGTTACTAGTTTAATTGTGTTTTATTGGTTGTGTCTGATTGTGTTTCAAGTGTTTGGTTGTGCACAATTGTGTTAGTTCAACCATTGGTTGAGTCTGCCTTTGTTAGTTTATTATTTGGTTGTGACATATTGTGTTAATTTGATAGTTGGTTGTGTTTTGGTGGTTGTAAGTCAGGTTGCCTTGTGCAGGCTTTGGTGTTGGGTTATGCTCTATTGCGTTGTGTGTATTTTGACACTGGATTATGTTCTATTGTGTTGTATGATTGGTGATCTGGGTTGTTTTTGGTTGTAATAGTATAGGTTATACAGGGTATATAGGGTTGGCCATAAAACTCCATTTTTCAAAATGCTATTACGCAATAATCATAATTTGCATACCAAATGACACTTGAAGATGCAATCTAGTCATGGATTATGAATTGTACACTTTTACTTGAATAAAACAAAAATGCGACTCACTTAAACATGTGGTGTGCCTTGAGAAATTAACAGAATTTGCATAATGTACCTGAACTGATACGAGATCTGAGATGTAGTCCTGTTGTAGACCCCAGTGAGTATAGGGTACGGGAAGGTCTCCAGGAGATAGTATAAAGGCACCCAATCTGAAAACATTCCTCAACTAAGACAGGTTTAAAGAAAGACAGGTTTAAAGAAATGTTAGTCAACATTTCATTGATACTGCTATATCAGCATGGCTTGAAGATTGTGTAAAGAGTGAAGAGACGTATCCAACGATCATGGACCTGGCGTCAAAATATATTGAAGTTTGGATATTTCATCAAATATTAAGGCTAACATCTCTTTTCATTAGCTACAAAGAAAACCCCCGAACGTACCTAATTTCTGCCGATATTCACAATCACTAATCATCCTAAATCCCCGGGAATCTTCCTCCGAAACCATTAAACATCGACAGAAAAAATGCGCGCGTACATTTCCCGGTGATATTGTCATTGGATTCCAGCCCCGTTTTCACCTAACGTTCTATCCATCATTCTGTTTGCTATATACCATGCGCGTGTCAAGATGAACTTGAATATTGGTAGATTTGAGGTGTTTTAGTCTTCGATTTTTTATTTTTCTTCGAGTGAACTATCCTTACTCGTTTGTTTATTTCGTGGTATGACGAAAGTAGTTCTATTAAGAACCTGTGTTAAAGTCCTGGGACTTCAGTGGTATACTACAGCACCATCTTTGGATAGAATACTCTTAATTCGCAGGCATATATAATGCTCAGAATAACTGGGAAACATGTAGTCATATACGGTACATCCGACCATCGAATGCTTCATTTGTCGTTATTTTTTTTGATAATTTGGATATTTTTTGTTTGTTATTTTCTTGCATACTAGGGTCGTACACACTTGCCGATTCTAAATTGAGGGAAATGCTTTCTTGGCCTGTTTAGGAAACAAAAATCACACAAATTATGTATTAGAATATGCTCTTCATCGATAATGTATTTAATCCTACCTTACACACGTCAAACGCTTGATAATTGAAGAAGTATAAGAATTTTTCTGGAAACTTTTTCCCCATGTGTAGAGGCATTCTGGGTTATGATTGTGTAAAAGTAAAAGTCTAGGTGAAACGAAAAACGAAATTACAATAAATAACGGCAGCCATATTGAGATCAAGATTTCAACTCGAAAAAGTTTATCATCGTTTCAAATATGAGAAAAGTGAGTTGTACAGGGGGAGGCGTCTTATGGCGATTGAATCGCCTTCTCAGACACAAAGGAGGGTGAAGAAACCGAAAACAGATATGTTGGAAAAATATTCAGACCTACACAGATGTTCACAAATGTTCACTAGTATTGTTCACAAATGTTCACTGATGTTCACAAATGTTCACTGGTATTGTTCACAAATGGGATGGGGCTTTCATCTTAGTGTAAAAAATGTTAGATACGATGCGCATGACATCATCATTTGAGACGTGGGGCTTTCATGTTAGATGTGTAAAAAATTATTAAATATGATGCGCATGACATCATAATTTGAGACGTGGGGCTTTCATCATAGATGGGTAAAAATGTTGATTTATAACATCAAACATCAATTATCCATCAAATAACTGAGTAAATCATAATACACAAAACATAATTATTAGATGTAGAATATTGTTTACTTTATTAACAAAATATATTGTCACTTTCTTCGTGGTATACCTTTGGTCAAATCATTTTTTCATGTATGACTATGCATAATACTTGAGTAATATGGTACATACAAATCTGTACATTCCTTTAGGGGTATATTTTAGTCTGACGTATCAATAAATAGTCACATTAACCACCGACTGTATGTTACAACGACTGTTTGTGTTTCTGGATTGATATATGACTTAAAATTTGTCTCTAGCTGACAAAAAGAGTCCAAGAACTAAAGTACTTCACTTAGCTAGGCTTGCCAACTTGAATGCCTTGTTTTCTACTTGCAGTTTCAAACTCGTTGAGTCATGACATACTCGATTGGGGTCCACACAAGATAATACATCATTTCATCAATTTAAAAGAGCGAGTCACACGCCTAACCATCGCGTAAGCAGGCGTCAACGTACAGCGTCAAAAAAATACAGTAGTACAGGTTTCTGTACGGTGACGAAAATTAACTGAGTTGAAGCAAAAACTATAATGAGGGTTTTAAAAAATTAATTAGATGAAAATAAATAGGATTTCTGGAGTAATAAAAACAGCATTCTCTTAGAAATGGTTTTAACTTTCTAATTATGATAAAAAAATTTCGAGCACTGCTCGGATTTTTTCTGACTGGATCGGCCCACATAATCGACTCAAAGAAAAATGTTTTTTTTCACTTTTCGTTTGGTTATTATTTTCCCTGCCGTCTCAGAGTATGGATCATTTTTATGAGAATACGTATTTGTTATCTACACATTTTAGAACAGATGAAGATTTGGCAAATACTCATTCGCTGTATATATTTAAAAAAGTTCAAATCTGTATGGTGACGCATCTGCTGTACGGTGACGATTCCTTAGAATTCATGAAGTGTAATATATGAGCTTTACTCGAGTCTCTAGCTTACAGCTAGATGTAACTTCATTGATTTCGTATGTACTCGTATTTCGTAAGTAAAAATTGCTACACGCACATAAAAATCATTCTTAATAAATTTTATAAATATTTTTAAGAATATTAATTATATTTAGATATTTCAAAATTTCTTTTCGGAGTTTGACACATGGTGAAATTTTCTCGCTGTAGCTAAAAAATTGCTTCCGGTTCCAGACGTGAATAAATGGAGGAAACTTTGAAATTATTCTCGGTAAGGAAATCAAATATAGCAATAGATTCAGACGGAGATGTGTGCTGATGTTTCTCAAATCTATACATAGAGGTATATTTCATATTATTATGCCGTATTTACTGTGCGGTTGACACGATGATTTACAATATTTACAATACCAAGGGAGCTCAATCTTTCTACTCAAAGCTGGAATATAGAGAAGGCTTTGGGCCGAAGTAATATGAGCTAAGTATTAGCTTAAGATTCCATAAGTTTTTGTGTGGAATTCAAATGTTGTATCTCATTCAACATTGAAAAAGATCAATTCTTATGTTTCCATTCATTTCTGATAACAAGCATTAAATACCGAAACACATTCAACTCTAAGCTTACTGTTTGAACAAAGAGGTAAAGACGTGTCAGATCTACATGTACATTATAACTGGTAAGTATCAAGCGAAGGTTACGGCCACCTTCGCATTTAAGACGGCGGGCAGGAAGTATTAATTTCAATATTTTTAGTCTTCATGGAATAAACTATTTGAGAGTGGACGATATGCTTTGATACCATTTGAACTAAACCAGGCTTTTCTCATATGACTAACAAAGACAGCCTACAGCCATATTTACCTCATGCAATATATTGTATCTTTCATCCTAAAAAGTCACACGTGCAGGGTGAGATTTACTTGTGACATCACTTATTTAAAAACATCAATAACATAGCAACAAATATACTGAGTTTTTGGTTTCATGATTCTTACCGTATCATACATTTCCAGTAACCTTCCATTAAGCGCTATATACAGGGTGGGCCAAAAAAAAACAATACCCAACTTCAAATCAGGATAAAAATAGTTACATTCAATATGGTACATTGACTTACATACCATTTTAAAGGTTATACAATTTCAAACAATTTGGTATATAACACTATGTCATGAAATCAATAGTAAAGTTTTATTATACTTATTTAAGAGGCCGGGTCGCTATTTAAGGTCTCCAGATTTAAGGGAGAAAAAAGTAAATCTGCGGAATTATGTTAATTTTTTATTTATAGAATATCATTCTTTTGTTAGGTGAATACATGCTTGGATACTGATTGTTCATCATTTTGTGTGACTAAATTTATTGTTCAGAATTTCAGTGTTGTTTAATAACATCTAATAACACATTATTTATTTAAACAATTTTCACAATTGCTCAATAAACCCCCACCCCCTCCCCTCTGCATCAACAATAAGCTTCAATTTGTAGCGCAATCTATCAATAGCCTTATTGAGAGATTTCTGTTGCAATTCATTTCAGCACTTTACGATTCTGTTTCAGCACATCAAAGCTGTTTATTGGATGCTTTTGATTGTACCATTTCCTCGAGATGGCTCCATGTATCGTAATCAAACAAATTACATGTAGCATCGGGGCTGTTGGGTGAACAAGCATCGAGATCAATCAAATTGACACCTTGTTTGCAAAGGAATGCCAATGTCTCTTGAGATCTATGATACGGGGCAATGTCTTGTTGGAAAATAAAATCCTCGTCACATATACGTTTATTGTCTTTTAACAGACCCCCTTTGAGTACTTGTTGATAATAAACAACACTAAAATTCATAAACAATAAGTTTAGTCACACAATATGCAAATATACAAGCATTTATTCACCTAACAAAATGATATTCTATGAACAAAAAAATTAACATTATTCCGCAGATTTACTATTTTCTCCCTAAAATCTGGATACCTTAAATACTGACCCGACCTCCCAAATAAGCATAATAAAACTTTAATATTGATTTCGTGACATAGTGTTATATACCAAATTGTTCGAAATTGTATAACCTTCAAAATGATATATAAATCAGTGTATCATATTGAACATAGCTATTTTCAGTCTGATTTAAAGTTGGGTATTGTTTTTTTTGGCCCACCCTGTATATAAGCTTAGTCTCATTTAGTTCATGAAAGCATAACGCAAACTATTAATAAGTTTGATTCGAAAAAAACTAAAAATATCGAAATCAACACTTCCTTTCCGCCATCTTAAATGCAAAAGTGACTGCAGTAACTTTCGCTTGATACTGATCAGTTTGACAACATTTATACGAGGGATACTTGACTGGATCAAAATTTGAACTTCCACACCAAAACTTATGCGATTTGAAGTAAATAATGTGTTCTTTATATCACTTCTCACAAATTATAATGAATCGTCACCGTACAGCTTATGCGTCACCGTACAAATCTGATTTTTTAAATATACACAATGAATGATTATTTGCTGAATCTTCGCCCGTTTTAAAATGTGTATTTAACAAATACATATTGTCATAAAAATAATCCATACTCTCAGATGGCAAGGAAAATAATAACTAAAAGAAATGTGAAAAACACCCCTTTTCACCAAGTGTCGATTATGTGGGCCGATTCACTCAGAAAAAATCCGAACAGTGCTCGTAAAACGTTTATCATCATTAGAAAGTTAAAACCATTTCTAAGAGAATGCTGTTTTTATTTCACGTGAAATCGTATTTGTTTTCCTCAAATTAATTTTTTTAGAACCCTTGTCATAGTTTTTGCTTCAAACTAGTCGATTTGCGTCACCGTAAAAAAAAACTGTACTCCGCTATTTTTTGACGTCGATGGTTAGGCGTGAGTCAATGTATTTATTATTTGATCCTCAGGTGCAGGATTGGATGCAGAAGAGAGTGAAGGACTGGACATACTCTACAACAGCATTGCTACAGCCATGGTTAATAACAACATACTAGGCGCAAGTGTCGAACAACCTATAAAGTAAAACAAAACCTTAGTATAACTAAGAATAAACATTTATGATATAAATAATATAAAAATAGTTGATTACCAAAGTCTAATAATTACCAAAGTGTAAAAATGTGTTACAAAGGACATCTGCCAACGCAGAAATTCTTGACGGTGAAAAATAAGGAAAGTATGACTTGTTTAAATCAAAAAATATACCACAGAATTCTCCAGGGAAATGACTTAAATTCCCGGGCATAAATTAAACATATTGAAAGAATAAAATCTTATTTGCTATTTGAAATTAAATCAAATTATTCAGTTATACCAGCTTCTGTTTTTGCTCCCTTCACCGTTACAGTCCAAGACTTCCTATATTCTATAATATTGCTGGTTGCTGCTCGTTTTCTTAGACCTTGTGACACTGGCCCATCACAGTCAGTCTGTTAGAAACAGGGAATTTATGCATGTTAAAAATAGAACTTATGGACATCAAATGATACAAAGTTTTAAAATAAATGTAGAGTTATATGATATGGTTAAAGAGTCAGAACTTGAGCCTATTTAAATAAGTTAACTCTATTCGAGAAATTAAATATTCACCTTGTCTGCACAGGCGGGGTCGTTTTCATCAGCACATATTTCTAAATCACACTGAAGTACAACACTGGAAGTCCCTGGAAACTTGAATGAAAGGAACCTCAATACTTTCTTTCCTTCAGTAATTTCAATTGGGCCACCTTCAAAGTTGATTACTTTAGAAGCGCCTTGGGCAATGCACCTAGAAATCATAATTAATCATGAAAAATAATGATCTGGCACATTAATATACAGCGGTCTTGTTAGTGTCTCACGTTTTAAAACTTATTATAAAATTATACCAGAACCAGTAAAATGTGTCAAGTGAAAACGCAACATCGTATAACAATCTTTTACATAATTGGTCATTGTTTATAAAAAGCGACAATTTTCTGAATGACCATCCTTTATTGTAAATAAAATGTAAAAATACTTATCTTGTTTTACTTACCTGTCCTGTATAATTGGGTAAGAGTCTCCATCCATCGTCATTTTGTCATAAGCTGTGCAAGATGTCACGGCAAATGTTCCAGCTACAAAATAAGCAACTAAGCTGTCATCATGATAATACACATAAGTATCATAAGTATAAGCATGCATACATCATTATGTATAGATAGATACACCATTAGTATGTCTATACTCATTGTCAGCCTATACATATTTATATGTCTATACTTTTGGTGAGCCTATACATTATGATTTTCCTTTACTAAGAATATCAAATACCTCTGTTACAACTACCAATTTGTTAAAGGAGGCATGTGTATACAAATAGATGTTAGACCTATCCTATTTATTGAACTACCAATCAATAGTATAGTTTCCATATAGCTTTTGAAATCTCGCTTAATCTCGTTTTTCGTGAGATTTTAAGATATTTGTATATTAGACCTCTAATGACTTACATTACCTTCTTTTAAAAGGCATATTTGAATCCAGTGAAATGTTTTCTCCTATAATAGCTTTGATTTACACAGTTATGTAATTTGAATAATTTTCTAGGACAATTTAAAAAAACTTGGGCCAAATGTCCATAGATGTAATGCTAAAATTCTTTAAAACCTTGGAATATTTGTATGTCAACCAACATTTGCATGTTAATCACAACATGTATATAAACATGGTCATCATGTGGTATATCATTCAAGTTTTATACACATTCAACTAACACTCTTTGATAAATCATGAAATTAAGCAACTTTCCCAAGATTTTAGCATGTAAGTGAATGGAACTCTAGCCCCAATTAAAAGCTGAATAAAAGATGGCAGCACTCGATTTCATTGCTTTTCTTCTGTTTAGAAACTATCCTATTGACTATATACTTATACATATATATGCGTTTACGATAAATGGCCTTACCATTCGGGTCGACCTGCATGAAATGTAGCTCCAATGGTTCACCTATGTCAGCACTGCTTGAAATTTCATTGCCGTCAGCATCAGTCACAGATATTGAGACAGGAGAAACATTCCCAATAGCAGAACCCCCGTCTTTAAGAGCGCTATGGAAAGAGATATAATCGAATATCATTCCGTTCATGTTCTTGAGTATTATGAAATTATGGATTTAAACAAAAATCATCATTAGGATAGAAATGTTCTTATTCGCAAGTCTGGTTTTTCTAAAACACAGTCACTAATATTAACTGAAAAAACAGAAATGGTAATTTGACATACGTCAAACTTACGCTAAATCAATGACATTTTCAACGCCCCATGTGGTAGTGATCTCGCCAGTGGCCATCATTGTACATTGAGCAGTGACAACTTCGTCTAATGAAGTTATAACCCAAGGATCATACGCCACAACCACTTTCACTTCATAGGTTATCATGCCAGCCTAGTGTATCAAACATTAACATCATTTTGACATTAAGTGACAATACATTTGTTTACATATGATTGGAATGATGACATTTGGTCAATGGTGGGGGTAAGTGACTTCTGTAAAAGGAAATCCAAGGAAGATCTTTCCATAAAACGAGTTTCCATTATACGAACAGTTCTGAAAATCGGACGAGTAGGTGTAATACCTTAGGAGCATCATCTGTTTTGTTCACTCCACACTGCTCATAACCTATTTCTCCACTACTCCAATATTCGCTGTTAACATATGAAAAATCACAGGGAGGATCATCAAAATCCCGAATAAAAATCTTCCCTTCAAACTGGGTCTTCGGTTTGCCAAAGTATGGGATGATTGTAACCACCATATTGGATGCTGTACACGTCACGTCGACCCTCTTGACTGAACAGTCTTCGGCAGTTCCCACTATATTTGTAAACGGGTATTTGCAGACGCAAGTTCCCCCGTCAACATCTACACATGCCAGAGTATTGTCTGCTACGCACTCAGGTGTGCATGAACCACCTACTGTGTTATCTTAATAAATCAAGCAAAATCATGGAGTAAAATTTGAATGCCAGTAAGTAGGGTGTAGTAGCTTGAGTGACAAATGGTGCAAGATTGGGTCGCGAACTCTACTATTTGGATTAGCCAAATGGTATTGAATATCTCATCATATTGTTTCTAGATGAAAACACCAAAATTCCGTCAAACGATCGTGTACACTATTTTTGGATTCATTGGAGTTCCTTCATTTGCATTTTGCACTCCATTATTGATCACATGTTCAACAATATATCATATAATCATCATGAAGTCATCTAAGTGTCTATGAATTTAATCGAGATATTGGGATATAATCATTTTCTGCCAATACCATCGATCTCCATAGCTGTATATATGAGTTAGTAATATTCTAAATATTAAGTTTTATTATAAAATAAAGTTTTCACCCTGAATGCTACAGTCAAATTCAGAGTATCCGCTAGGACAATTACAGGTGCCAACATTATTGGCCCAGTTGCATACTCCGCCATTTTGACAGGCTGTGTTGTGACGTCTGCAATCGAATGATCCATCAACGGCTAAAGAATAAAAACATCATTGTTAAGAACACGAAGAAGACCATTTACTGATTGCCTTTCTAAACAATATTGACACATTCGCTGATCAGTAGCAGGAGAAGGTAAGGGTATAATGTATTAGGTACCATATATTAAGGGTTTGGCTCTAGCAGAGTTACGGGCACCCTGTATATTCACAAGAAGGACAGTTATGTACAATTTTAAAATTCAATTCTGATAAAGATTTACTTTGCATTTCCAAAATATCCTGTTCACATATATCTTTGTACATGAAGTATTCACATTCACAACCACGTGGTGTCTTTTTGCTGTACTTCATACAGTATAATTTCGTTTTATTCTTTTCTTAATTAAAATCTTATCTAACATTTCTTACTTCTTGTCAAGTATACAATGTAATTTTGCAAGTATAAAGTATGCAATATTTGTATTGTTTATTTGTAAAAGTGGCATACGATTTATCACATGTAGTTTTGAAAAACATTAAACTTTCTTTCCATTTAAAGTTAACATTATATAAGCCATGCTTTTTTGTTGATAATTTTCTTCTTTACGTCATAAATAAAGATGTTTTGAAAACATTGTCAGAAGAGTTGGTTTTCCAAAAATCATTAAACCTAAAACCTCAGCTTATGCACGACAATTAATTTGTACATATTCGTAACTGGCATACCATTGTAAATAATATATTCACCCGTAAAACTAAAATGAACTTAAAATTCAGAACTGGCTGACATACATTTAGTTGTAATATATCAATTAGTAGGGTTTTGAAGTTAGGATTGATATTTCAGAGTTCGTGACTCTCAGTTTATTTAAACGGACACATGACGAATGACTTACGTTCAGGAACTACCGATGCGACATTGTACGTATGTGTGCATTCATCCTGATACCCCCAGAAGTTGACAGACGCTGTGAATGTCAGGGTACCGGCGGTCGATGGATTATATGTAACAACAGATGTAAGTGTATTCTTGGGATTCACAAATACTGTCGCCTCATTTGGGTCTAAGGGGGAACCATTTAGAACCCACGCAATAACAGGGGACTGAAATAAAGTTAAGAAATCAATATGTTACAAATATATTATCTTTCGTATTTAGAAAACATCTTCACCATGAAACGGATTAATGACACAGAAATGGATCCAAAAGGAACACTTTAACTACTCTAACAATGCAGGCCTGTGGCCAGGGGGGGGGGGGGCTGGGGGAGCGGAAGCCCCGGCTAGAAGTTCTTTCAAAATCATACAGTTTTCACCATTCTGAGCACTTTTCCCATGTTTTGCCAAAAATATCAAAAACAAAAGCCCCCTCTGTAAAAGCTGGCTATGAGCAAGCAATACATACACTATCAATATGTAAAATCAAAACAATCTGAATGACCGGGGTAATCTTATGAAAAATAAAACTTTATTTTCTGATACAATTAAAGTGACGAGGAATATCAAATTGACGGGTGTAAAGAAGATTGACAAATGTTACATGTATTTACCTGAGGTGGGTTATTACCGGGTCCGACCACGTATTCTAAAATCTGCTGAAGCTGGATTTCTTCACCTTCTTTAACCTCAATCGGCGAGGTTGGGCATTCCATTTTTTCTAAAGTATAAATATTATTACCCTAAGCATTTTCCTAGAACGTTGCACATGATGTTCATGACCATTTTTCATAATCTAACTCACATTTTAGTAAATATATGGTGATTGTGACTAGTCTATATAAATCAATGAGCCGTACATGATGAAGAGGGTGCCCTTCAGCCACAATTTCGAGCTGCTACTTTATAAATGGCCACCCGGAGGGGCCGATGGTTGAATTTAAGACTTCGTCATGTGATAAAAATAGATCTGTTGTCTAACCTTTTTGAAGGTGGGGAAATGTAGGCATATGTGTGGTTTAATTCATAACAAGAATCAGTAAATAACGTACCCATGACCATTAAGTAAGGCCTTATGCCACCTAGAGCGACGTTGCCAGTCACGTCAAGACACGTATAACGTCCAACGTCAGTCCCATCAACGTTCTTTATTTCAAGACTTAGAGGGTTTGTTGTGCTAATTGCATACTTATTAGCATCTATGCCATTTTGAAGTGCAAGATTTGTACTTATTGCTCCAACTTTAGACGGAACTTCCCAAGATATGATGTGCGTTTGGTCATATTGAACCTCACAATCCAAAGTCACCGTTGGAGCTCCCATTAGAACTGCTGTGTGTGATGGGCCTTTAGTGACTGTGATACCTTGAGTTGGTGGGGCTGAAACAACAATTAATATTGCAAAAAGACTGCATATGCAACACTTGTAATGGGAGAAGACAACATATATGAGAGACTACCATTTCCCCTAAAACCCACATCATGAGAAAGCATGTCCTTCCAGAAAGTAAAAACCCCAAAAAGATGGGATGAGTATAGGATGTAAAACCCACCATATAAAGATCACCTTAAGTAAAAGGTTGCCATGGATTCCCAGCATCGTCCACTTACTTATAATACTAATGCTGGTCAAACATTCACATTCATTTTCTAGATGAGTAATAGAGCATTTAATAGTCTTTCCATCCAGATTTGTTACAGCTTGCGTTGTGTATGTAGACGTTGTAGTTTTGTCATTTTTAGTTTCAGTAATTCCAGCAGAAACTACATTCCCATCAACACTCCATCTAAATTCAAAAACAAACTGTTTAAGTACTCATCTTTTAGAAAATGACTTCTTGGATCTTTAAACAGCTTTAAACTAATTATTACGATATGAATTTAATTTCAACCTACTCGATCGACGAGACACCGCCTGCATCAATGCTACTTTGAAATGAACACTCCAGCACTATGTTATCGCCTTTCGTAACCGCCTTGGTTGCTTCCGGACATGTTGAGTCTGAAAATCCCAGTATGGAAGCTTCAGCAAGGTTAAAATAAGTATATTACCTTATAAACTAAATATGCTAGACTAGTCACTAGTTCGTGCTTCTTTACAGAATACTAGTATTCTCGTAAAATTGACCGTACCACAACGGGAATAAGTCGGGTTATACTTGATAAACTCGTAAAAACGATTCTGTTTTGAAAGTCTAAAGACAAAAAGCAATTGAGTCCAGTAGAGCAGAGTATCATAGAATCAGAACATACCTATTACAATCAAGTTGGCTATGTCTCCAATAGGATTCCCCGTTGATGCGTCAATGCAGCTATAACCGCCGGCGTTGTCTATTTGAACATCTCTGATCTCCAAACTGAACTTGGATGTACTACTTATTCCATATTTACCAGGAAATGCACTTTCTATTGCGGGTACAATATTGGTGTTCATTTCTGAGAGTTTAGTATTTGAGTTTCCTTCAGACATTTTGTCCCAGTATGTTACTTCTTGGTTCAGATCGAGCCCCGTCAGATCAATTTCACAGGTTACCACAACGTTGTCTCCCGAGCAAGCAGCTTTATCGGTAGGGCGGGTTATAACTGTGACTGTCGTAGGAACTGTAAGAAGTCAGACCAGAATATAAAACCTTAGATCAAGGTTTTTGTTAGTCAGTGAAATGAATTTTAATACCTAAACGAATTCAACTTTTCTGAGCAGCGTTTTCATTAATTATTGTCTGATGCGATGTTTACTTACGCTCAACATTGTATACCACTTCACAGGATTCTTGTACTCCAGGAACGAGTACGTCGCCCTTGTAGACACTATACTCTACAGAAATGGTAAAACTTGCCGTCCCAGCTGCTTCCGAATACTCGTTGGATGTTACTCCAGCTAGAATGTTCCCATCCTTTTTCCAAATGTACTTGATTGCGTAACTGTCACCAGGAGGCTGGTATAGTGTGGGAGGGGTCAGTGTTAGAGTTACAGTGTCGCCAGCTGTCACCGTCATTGGACTACTTGGACATTCAGTTGGATCTGAAGGATGCGTTATAAAGATAATGGACAATATGTGCATATCCCTTTACATCCAACCCCACTCAGACTATAAGCAAATTGCCAAGATTTCCCTCTGTTGCCCGCTCAAAATGAGGCTATTAATATTACCACCACCTACCATGTCCAGTACTAATACCCTGAGAACAGGCCTCGCAATATCGCATATAACATATTGACCGAGAGCGACAGCCCGAGTGTTGATATGATATTTCCGAGTTCCAAAATAATATTTTCTCTTGGAGGAATGCTTTTCCATCACGACCATCAATAACCTATTTATTCCACAATACTTTTTCTGAAACGTATTCATTTTCAAGTTTGACTTCTCATCAACCAATATGATCTTACGGTTCTCGAGGCTATTTATATTAGCCTGGGGATAAACCTAATGTCTTTAACCTCAGTCCTATAGGATATTCTATATAACCCCAGGGTTTCCCCCCTCTCCCATTCGAAAGACTCAATCGCATCTATTTTCTCAATAATTGTACTTATATTCAATCTGGCAAGTAAATTCCACAAGGAGCCTGAATCCGTCGAGGGTCATAATTCTACACAGTCACTTCTTAAGTTTTCATAAAAAAAAGAAGCTTAACCTCACTTTTATGTCATACTCGACGTGGTCCGAGGACTGAGGATAAACAACATAAAACTACTACATGCTGAAATCAAATTACATTCGAGTAAAGGAGCCCTTTTTACATAGTTGTCATTCCATTATCATAAGGTTGATTGGTTAATAATCATGGAAAGGGGAATAATGATTTTGATGATATATTGTCATATATAAGGGTTATGTACTGTGAGGTTTTGGATATGGGGTTTATCCAGAGGGAGATATGCATATCTACCTGAGGGACCGTAGGGACCGAAGGTAGATGTGCATATCTCACGAGGGATGAACCCAATATCCAAACCGACCGTACATAACTGCTTTATCCTATACGAAGTAGAGTTTTCAGGGGCATATGGCCATTTCAATAATACAAGGTGTAAAAATAAACAAATCATTCATATGCAAAGTCATTTTATTGCATTTCCACTACTTACCGGAAGCGGGAAGATATGCACCGAAGCGGGAGATATGGCGGGAGATATGGATTTCTGGATATGGAAACCTCAAAATCAGGATACGGGATATATCTTACCAACTTATCTCCCTAAAACTCTACTTGGCATAGGATAAATAGAGATTATCCTATATGAGGTTCAGGATATTGGGATTATCCTGAGGCAAATATAATATATTTGCCCGAGGGCCGCAGGTCCCGAGGGAAAATATATTATATTGGCCAAGGGATAATCCCAATATCCTGAACCGACAATAGGATAATACGTTTATCCCATACCATTACCAATCTCATCTGGTTCACATTGTTCAATCGTGGAAATATTTTAGAATATTCACGTCCAGTTTTGTTTTCTTGGCCGTGGGCGGATTTTCCTGTTCTCTCAGATATTCCCACATTTATTTTCTCGAATTTTTAATTGATTAAGTGGATGCTCCTTCCTTTTTTAAACCATCAAACAGATCCCGATTGTCTGTGTTTTCTCCATTGTCGTTTACAGTCATTACGCGAACGTTACAAATTACGAACAAATATGCGAGCGGTGATTATGACGTAGCGGGCAGATATAATATATCTGACCGCCCGGAGCGGGACGTAAAGCTATATCTGCCCGCTGATGAAAATATAAGTTTTTACAAACCAGCTTTATGTACCTGTAACACGTCCAAGTATGGGATAAATACTATTATCCTTTTTTGTTTATCAGATATTCTTACCTACGACAAGTAAATCTGCAGATTTAAAAAAAGTTCCCATAATATCCTCGCATGTGTATCGACCGGCAAAAGTTGAGGCTGCAGTGGATAGCAGTAAATCATACGTTGTTTCCCCAAATGTAAATGACTGGGCGATAATTCCATTTGGACCGGGCATGATGTTGTTGGCAGCAGAAATAGATTCATCGATAGTTTGATCATGAGCTTTGTATTTCCATGCCAAAAGTGTTGATATTGGTTCATTAGGATTCTGTTCACATTTCATGGTTACTTGATCTCCTACCAACACCGCTGTATCAGACGGGGAAACGAGTGGTTGATCACTGGAACTGAAACCGACGCCTATAGAAAATGAAAGAAAGAAGTATATTGCCAGTGATTTCATATATGTTACCTTGAGTACGTTCAAAGACAAATCCTCAGATACTAGACACATTAATACACTCTGTCATCGTTTTCCATTTTATTGCAAACATAGTTTGTAACACAAAATCTAAAACCTCTTTGGAATTAGGATGATTTTAAAAATCGTAATGAATTTTATCACATTTTGGTGACCAAGGAGCAGGGAAAGTATCGCAACAGACTTTTGATAATTTTGACAGTTGATAATTTTTTGTGAGTAGTTTCTGGCTATGAAAAGTAAATGCTTGGGAAAGGCGAATCTATAATCTTCAAGAAAAGTTCAAAGAATAGTTTCCAGATCAATTGGATTATCTTATAATCCATGTTTAATCCACCCATCAACAAGCTTTTTCAAAATATATTCGTCATTTTCACCATCGTCCCTCATTTTTTTACAATTTTTCATGCAAAGTTACATTGTACTTGAACACATGTTTCATCAAGTAAAATATGTAAGGAACTCCATGAAGTTTGTTTTTGAGTTTTTTTTGAAAAAATGAACCTCTTAAAATGCATGTTTACAAAAATAATTTAGGAGTGATGTAAAAGATGGCAATGGTTTTCAATAATAACATGCATAGGTGGGTGAATTACTCATGTGTGTTGTGTTTTAATCCTGCATTCACTGACTGAGTTAGCCTATTGAAAAATCACAGAGATTAATAATACAAACAGTAATACTATGAATACTTCTACTTCAAGCTCAAACAGCGCTTTCAGGGTCCTGTGTTGAAATACTAGATCACCTTATGTGCATGAATTTTCAAGAGAAACCATCAGTGCAAGCAATTAAATGAAAGCATCATCCGAACATCACTTGAAAAGTACTAAAGTGGTGAAAAATTGCAGGATGTTGACAGAAAATGTGCCTAGGGGAGAGGGTCGTCTCTCAACCCCCCCCCTCCTCCCCCTCCCTGGTCACGGGACTAATACATGTGATATGGCAAAGTCCAATTCATAGATTAAGTTTCCCTTGCAGTCTTGTTGGCATTTTTATTAGAGTTCATGTTTTGTTTATGTTAATGGGTGAGTGGAAGACCCTTGGGTGGGAATCAAATATAAAATGTTTTCTAAAATATATATTTTAAATACTTTGTGTATGTACAGTCACAAACTCTAGGCAACATTAACTAGAAATGGGGCAACACCCCAACTCAACTGAGTGAATGTGTAAACCATATAAGGAACAAAAAACATTACATAAAACAAACTCAGCATGCAAACATGTAAAACTGGCATGACAAAACAATAGATTGTGAAACTGAATAATAAAAGCACATACGACTAGAAAATAAGGGATTAAGGACCTGTTAAAATGACATGAATGGGGATTGGTCAATATGAATAGTAGAAATATGAAAAATGAGAAAATTTTACATTTAGTATTGATCATGAACATTAGAGAGGTTAAATACACAGGCTCGTAGGCAGGTAGAGGGGGAGAGATAAAGGGAGCTGCTGCTCCCCCGAGAGATTCTTTCAAAATGATGCAGTTTCTCACCTATCTGAGCACTTTGCATGATTTTTAGCCAAAACTGTCAAAAAGTTCATCCCTAGGCAAAAGCTTTGCCCTTGGTAAAACTGCTCCTACCCCTTGGTAAAAACTGGCTACAGACTGTGTAAAACACTTGTGTGAGAACTTGAACATGAACATGTTATGACCCCCAGTAATGTTGTCCATCTCTCAACTGGTTTAACTGGGGACCATTACATCAATTGGCATTATATCAATCAGGCAAAAAGAGGCCAGTGATGTGAAAATAGTCACGGTTACGCCACCTCTGAAAACGAGGTTGGACAGCTACGTTCACTGATTTATCCAATAAAATGGCCGCGATGGAAGAGAAAACTAAGGTTGGCGCATTATTTTCTACTTCTGTGTATCAATGAAAGGATGAACGATTTATGTAAGAATCGCATTCGGTGATATTTTCAGTAATGTATATTTTGAACGTAGCCTTTGCAAATTGATGCCCGGGGATAACATGAAATAAGAGAAAAACTGTCGAGTTTGAAATTCAAAACTACACAAAAATTTAGTAATTTGTTTATTTTTGTTTTTGTTGTTAGGGCATGGTCTACATTGCCTAAAAACCTTGTGGTATATAGATGTAACCTACATACGATCATACAAAGCCAATTGAGCATTGGAAACCACCTAATATGTTCTACTCAAGCCATAATAATGTATTTTGAATTTGCAGTAGTAATACACAGTTTACTTATACTTACAGTTAATATTTTGAGTGGCTCATGTACTGAGACAACACGAGAATGGATCAAAACTTATAAACTTTGATATTTCAGTCGGTAGGTTTACAGATTATATTGTTTCTTGTAGACCACCTGGCAGATTTGACCCAGTCTTTATAACCATCCATATACACGTCACCGAATGGAACTAGTTTAAAGGGAAATCTCATCTGTGAATATTGCCTACAGGCGAGAAAGAGGACATGCTGCCTTTCCCATCCGCCATTTTTTGTTATCGTTACCGCAAAATTTTGCAAATCACCTTGACGTAACCGTCATGCTATAACACCGTGAATAGGGGACCATAAGTTTACACATTTCATGTGTACGTTCATCAAAATAGTGCGATCTTAACCTCCCTAATAACTGAAATTGTTTACTCAACCAATAGAATGATTCTATGTTTGTTTATATTTGTTCACATTAATATGGAAGAAAATCAGACATTTTGCTAAAAAGATGTAATTGTAAATCTTAGAAATAATGATAAAGGTAGTATACACCACACACTCAATGGTATTGATTGTGGTTTTCAGAGACTCTCAATAGGGACTTTAAGCTTGCAATGTTTTTCACAACCTAAATGTGAATGGAAAATATTTAGCGATGCATTTGTATGGGCGATTGGTCATAGGTTGGCGTTTCGATTTTATATGCAAGCTTAATCTCCCTAATGTTAACATTAAGGTAAGAGTGTATGTTACTCATAACATTTTATTAGGATAACATTTCTTGAATTGATGAATATGCAAAAATTATTCTTAGCATATCATCCTTCATTTCATTATTTGAATAATCAATCTGGAGATAAACTCAAATAAGGAAGTGTGTTATAACACATCATCATATAGAAACATGTTCAATGTTTTTTCAGAAGCTGGATCAAAATATTTGTCTTACTAAAATTATTGGCAAAGGTATGATGTACTAAATTCTTGTACTGTATTTATGATTTTAATAGCACTGTACCTCGTGAATCATTACTGATAAACAAGATACAGAAAACCTGTTCAAAGTAAATGCTATAATAAGGCATCATAGAAATTATCATAAAGAGAGGTATTTAGAATTTCTTAGCAACTTACACACACACACAGGTTTAACTGCACTCAAACATTAAACAGTCAACTTGACAGGTATTCAGAATTTTTTGGGAAATGCTGCGGTTATGCTCCATTGATTAAACAGGGGATCAAACAGCAGGGGATCAAACAAGTCCAACCATTCATTTATGAAAACATTTTGAACTAACTTTATGGCACACTAATGACATCTTATATGAGTGTGCTGTACTAAAAGCATAGCCCCATTGGATCCCATTATATTGGATTATCATAATCCTAATCCACGAGGAGTTCCTTATATATTTTAAGTGATGAAACATGTGTTCAAGTACAATGTAACTTTGCATGAAAATTGTAAAAAAAAAGAGGGACGATGGTGAAAATGACGATTGTATTTTGAAAAAAAGCTTGTTGATGGGTGGATTAAACATGGCTTATGAGATAATCCAATTGATCTTGAAACCATTCTTTGAATTTTTCTTAAAGATTATACATTGGCCTTTCATATGCATTCATTTTTGTACAGCCAGAAACTACTAGAAAAAAATTATTTACTGTCAAAAATCTGTTGCGATACTTTCCCTCGCTCTTTACCCTCGTTTCACGAAGCAAAAATAATGACCGCAAGATAAAATAATTTTGCAAGACACAATGGTTTATTGCAATTTTACTATTGAACTCATATGGTGCACTAGCAACTAGCCGACGCGGTTGACACACGCGGTAACACCCTAGACGAAGAAATAGTACCGTTTTTAATAGTGGTGATGTGGGCTCGACACGGTTGCTAAAAATAAGAAAATTTTCTACCACCACGTGTGTAAGTTATTATTTGTATAGCCATAGAGGAGGAATATAGAAAGCTGCGTATTATTTATACGCTGTAGATCTTAACAACGCACGTGATGTGTTTTTCATTGAATCAAACATGCAATAGTGATTAAACTCTCAAGTAATGCTAACTCTTATGTCTCCCGTTCTACATCACGACCTATTATTGTCAAAAAATCATTCTTATGCATATACAACTGTTTACGTAGACTGAAATTGTATGTTTCTGTGCAACAACAGCATCGATAGTTACTCTAATTCGAAGTAAAGCCAACGTTTTATTTCAAACTTAAAAAGTTGAGAAAAGACAGGTTGTGATGAGGCGCGTCTATAGATTTTTGCTAGTAGGGATCTCACGATGCACCGATATACATTCACTATACTAGCTATAGCAATCACATATTATGATCCCATGTTTTCGATATTGTCGATAATATTGTTTTTTCAAAACAACTTTGAATTATTGACAACTGCTAGACCTATGTATCTAATATTTTGTATGGAATCGTTTTCATTACATCGAGACACAAAATAATCTAACGTGGAATCTCTAGCTCTATTTCTTTTAATTTGAATGAGGTCATTTTAATATCATTTAGCGTGAAAACGATTATATTTGATTAATTTCAGCAATTACTGGACTGTATATTTGTATTTGCTATCCTTAAAGAGGTACCATCCTAATTTACATTTCCACAACCATATTCCATCAATACATATCAGTTTTACAAATGGATGAATTTGGATACGAGTTTTCTGTTTTCTTGATTTAAATCTACTTATAAGTCAAGCTGCAAATTATAGTTAGTTAGTGAGACAATATAGTTTAGATTCAAAAATGAACACGGTTTGGAATTTGATTTTTAAATTAAGCTGTAATTCATGCATTTAGATGCAAGTCGTCAAAGTAACATACATTGGTTATTTATTGGATTTTCGTCAATGTAATAAAAGCGAGGGACTAAATCACGCCTAACCCTCGCAAATAGTACAGGGAGAAATCTTATTAAATTAAACGCAACTGACTTGCTCCGCGGTCAGTTCAAAAACGCAATGAATTAGCACATATTATATTTACATATATGGTATATCATAATAATACCCATCAATACATGTCTCATAAATACTTAATCCATAAGCACATATTCCATTGCTGTAGCAAGAATAGATGATCCATTAATCCATTAAAAGCTTTCAATAAGAAAATAAGCGGAAAATATCTTGAAACAATTTTGACGTCTTTTATCTAATCAGTTTTTACTGTGACATGCTTTAAGGATATGCAAATATGACAATACTAAAACTTTTCGCCTCTTATTATGAAGCTGCGCTAATCTGTTCAGGTACCATACATGGCCGGAACCCTGGGCCTCAGGCCGGAACATCAACTATCAAAGTTTTGAATAACATGTCAATACCAATGGCGGATCCGGGGGGGGGGGGAAACCTAGTGAAAGTATCAAAATAGTCCAAGGTTCTTTTTAAAATAACTGTACGAAACCCATACTTTAGTTGATATGCTACCTTCAAAGTATAGTTTAATTTGCAGTAGGGTTGTTAAATATAGTCAAAAACCTCAGCCACGAAATGTGCACTTTTGGTCAAAATAACCTATTTAAAGCTAATTATCCGTTTTAAAGTAATGAATCATGTCTAAAAGAGATCAAAAGTTTAGATATTTTATTATTTCAGGAAATATTTCAAAAATAAAACACAGTTACATTGAAAAAATAATGGATAGATATGACATTTCTTTTCAGTGGCGCCTAGCAAACATACGTTGATTAATTGACTACCATTGTGTGTCCCTGTTTCAATGGGCGATATCGTCAACTGAGGTAGTTAAAAGAAAATGTAAGATATTTCACAACGGACTTCAAATGGACAATGACCAGCGTCACCTTAGGTAGATGCAAGTAAAACATCCAATGGATGAGTGTGAATACTACATAGTTCACATGTCTTACGTCTCACATAAATAAGAATACATCAAAGAAATGACCAGTGTAATACTTAAAAAAACTGAATGAAACTTGGGGCATAACTCAGTTTTGCAACAACATGTCCAATCCCCTGACCATAAGTCAATGGACACACCTTATTATAGTGTTTACATCAGGTTTACATTGGATAATTTAAACTTTAAACGTTTTTTAAAGATTCTTTCGTGTTTCTTATATGCAGTATATGAATATCTTTCACAATATTTCTCAAGTTGAATATAACACATATGATTAATGTATTCAAATCAATAGTTTTAAAGATTATATGGTACTTATATTTTGATAATTGTTTGCATGGGTTGATATGGACTGCATGGAATTTTCTGATTAGCCTTGTGGAATAACTGATTGAAATCATGATATTAGGTCTATATCCTGTGAACTACACGTGCATTATTTCCGAATAAACCATTCAGTACCAAAATGGGCACTGTATAGAATGATGATGGCAAAGTACAAAGAGAGGGTAACATTTAAAAAGCACTAATTTTGAATAATGACTGTTTGGATACATATTGATAAATTGATTGTCAAACACACAAAATGAAAAGTGTCATCAATCAATGAAGATACCGCCAGGAACCCGTAAAATACTTTCATATTGGAAATTAGTGTAATGAGATTCTCTTAATTTGTGTTATACAAGTTATTAATATACCAAATTTTACTTACATAATAAAACGACAAATACAGTTGTTGTCGCCATCGTAATAGGCACACAGGCTACAAGACAAAAATCACGAAAATAAAGAACTGTTTTGATAAAACTTATAACATGCAACCCTGATTTTTCGAAGAAATCAATCTATTACAAACAGAAAAAATGAGTATAAAAGTTTATATGCTAGCATTTAGAAATCTTTAGCATTTGATCAGCATAATTAAATATCTGTACTTACTTTTGATATCAAGTTATGTTCTATCGTTCGGATGTTGTTTATGGTTTGCTGCTGCGTCTACACCAGGATGTAAATTAAATCTTAAGACTCAAAATATGTCACGCCCTTTAGTTATAACACCGTAAAAATCCTTTTTATTCGAATTCTTTAAAATATGTGTAACCACACCTAACTTTGATCTTATCTTTGTGTATATTTCGATGCAATTTTGTTACAGATGGACATCTCCATAGAATATCAAAGCGAATTTAAATGTTTATTTAAAACATAAAATTCCCGTCTATTCAAGGTTCAAAAATATAATAAAATTCTAAATAGAGTCACCTTATAAGGATGAATTAACAAAGGCGTTTACTTATTTTATCATTTTGGGGTCGCTGCTTTCTTTAAAATGAGCATAAAAAGAAAAGCAACCAATGTTTTTCTCTTCAATGTAAATACGACCACCGACTTTAAGTTTCTTTAATACGCCCTATTGAATTGTATGCAACTGTTATCCGTATAATTGTATTTCAGTTTCATTTTGGTGACGATCCCATTCATATTCCAAATAGATGCTTGATACTTTGCTCTTGAGGTCACAAACATTTCTTTAAAATGTATTGACTGAAAAATGGAGGAAAGGAATGCAGAAATATCATTGGTCCGGTCGTTCTATTTTTTAATGTTTTTGTATCCGAGTTCTTCCATAGTGAAATACAAAGCTTATTGACAGTACAACGACCGAAATGAATTATTGATATCCATTCCATAGTTATTGTTATATCATTTTCAAATAAAAAGTATTTATATGATAGTGTTACGGTGCCGTATCGTCCCTAAATCATAGCAGCATGTTTATTTTATTTTTTGTTTTGTTATCTTCGTTGTTTCATTATTCCTTAGATTAATTTTGTGACCGCCCTTCAGAACTGTCATTCCGCTTGAAAGGGCTATCAACTGTGATATCTAGTATACATCAAACCATCATTATGTTTATTTTTTCAATATTTAATATTAACAAATTTTTCAAAATTCAATTTTTGTAAAAGGTTTATGTCGAAGTCTTTTTAGTAGTTTAGGGTTATTTCGGATGCAAATTGCACAGTTTTTAGCCATTTAATCGAGAAACTATCTAAAGGGAAAACGTCATCGAGAGTGACCAGATGAAATCAAGGTCATTATGTGTTAACGAATTAATATAATTCAATCCATTGTAAGTACAATATTTCAACCGTCTGTCTTTAGTACTTTCTCAATATTACATGAAACATCTTCATTCAGATTTTACAGAGATTAAAAAGATGTTCGATCGTTTTCACATTCCACCATTTTCAATCTTTTCCGGCCTAAGTTAACATTTCATAAAATCAGTGATACATAAAAACAAATATGTAGTACTATAATTCGTAAATTACATTCACAACTCTAGAATAATATCCACGTTTTTATAAAAAAGGAGACCCATTAGGTTACATCTACGTACTTTAAAACCAACAGGTCCTTATATATCATTGTCGCCTTGTTAACAAATATAAAAAGTCAGACTTCATGTTATTTGGTGATTCCTATTCACTTCCCTTTATAACAGATAATATGTTTGTAAACTTTCCAAGCTGTATGTTTGTTCTTTTGAATTATCAAAATTTGTATTTTTTGAACATTATGTTAAGTATATAGTTTTTCATTTTATCCACCCATAGTAAGTGTATGCACTATGTAACTTGACATACGAGAAAATAATAAAAGTGCAAAAACGAGACAGTCAATCATTTCGGCTGGTCGAGGAATAGTCGAAATGAATATTTGTAGGCTACTGTTTGGTAGGTTCATGGGTTGCACTGGGTTTGGACAACGTACTTAATATACTCATTGTAAAATAATTCGAACATAAAAGCCGGTCCAAAGCAAACAGTATTGAACTAACTCCGGGACAACAAAATGTACTTGTTTCGTCATTGGCTCCGGGCCACGTCATCCTCATCAGAGAGCAGGATCGATACGTAGAGATGAAGAGCTTGGGAATTATGTTACTAGATGCTGAGACTAACATAATGATGGTCTTAGTTAGATGTCACCACTAATTTGCACGTTCGTCTCTCTACTTTAAAATATAAAAAAGAACGCCCTCTATGCACACAGATCGTATGTATTTTTCAACCAAGGCAAGATGTTTAGTATGGTTTCATGAGTTTGGGCATAATGATTTATTTTCTCATTATGTCAAAAAATTAATACAAAAAGGAAATACAGAACTTTGCAATCTGTAGACTTTTAGAGAGTCTACAAGCCAGAAAGATATACCAACTTGCAAAAGTTATAAAGTTCAATGTGGGAGGTCAACCAGAATAAACATTTGACTGGGACTTTTCCCTACATTATCGTGGCGTCATGCACATATATTTCCCAAAATCAATACACTCTGCCCACCTTATTAGCAGTGCGACGAATAAAGAAACATGATGACATGATTGTATTTAATTTTAAAGTAAGTCCAGCCGGAACACCATCTTCCATGATTTTCATTTAAAGCGTGTTAAAATGCTGTTGACTGCAGCCCATAGCAGGATTCGTGCGAAGTACATATAAAAAGAGAAATCTCACATTTTATTTTTTTCAAAATCAGTATGATATTTACCTCATTACCAAAGTCTTTATAGTAAATCATCAAAGTGGTGTTTACCTCCGGGATACTTACTGCTAATGAAGCCCAAAGATTGACAAATACAATACGATATAATGAAGGATTCACTAACATGTTTACACACACGACTGCTCGACTAACCTCTGTACACGACAAGAAAATGCTTCAACAAATATTACAAATCCAAATGATAACTCTGAAGAAGGTTGTGTAAATGGTACATATCCAAAGTCAAACTATTTAGGAACAAAAATTATTTAAAGTTCTCAACATACGTGTAAATCAATCTGGGCAAGGACAACGCTGATTTCAGTAATGATTCAACCACGATAGATGTTTTAAAAGATAATGTGGACACAGTGACCGGGAAATAACGATGGAAATTAATGGTAAGTGGTGTTCTGTATCATTAAAAAGTATAATAACATATCTAAATATGGGATAGTTTATATTCCTGAAACGCTAAGCTAAGACCTGCTTTACTTTTTATAAAACATAAGCTAACAATTTGTTGACAAAATAGTATATTTTACGATCATAGATAGAACATAAATGTCCTCATTCCAAGTTCAAGTGAAACAACCAGTTTTCTCATTTCGTGATTTAGTCTTGTAATTAGGTTGTCGTGTACAAATTGAAAGTACAGGAAAGCAATCATCGATTTAACACGTTGAATGAGATATTATTACCCTTTGCATTCGTTTGACTTCACTTCTTAAAAGAGAGCTTCGTCTTCGTAGTTTAACTAGACTCTGCACGCAGGGTAAGAAGTTATTGTCCCCAGTGTTAAAAGACTGGTAGGCATGTGTGATCTGAGTGAAAAACAACGAGTGTTGACATCAGTGTTGAATCGGATACGAACGATGTGACTCTTGGTCCCTAGGGTCCGCATGAAGGATGGTACTATACCTTCCAACATCAACCCAATAGGTATCATATTTTAGCAAATATTTTGAAAGTAATAGACAAAGGAAATAAAGTTACAGCAGGCCCTCTTGTTTAGTGGACCATTCCTCGTATATAATCAAATAATGTTTTATTTAAGAATGCCCTAGACTCCCCTTGGAAGGTGCGTTGAATCGTGTAGAAACACTCCTCAACACTACGTCGCGAAGCCTGTCGACAGTGGTAAGAATATCATGTAGAGAAGGATTCACCCTACAGTATGGGATGGATACGACAGCGTGCAGTTTGTTTGACAAACCTGAATGGTTCCCAAATCCCGGCCAATGCTATGGTATTTTAAATTGAATATTGCCCCGTTTGTAACATGGACAATTAATTAAATTGACAAAACTTAAAATTTGGGCCAGGTCCGCTCTTACCAGGTCGACATACACTTACTCGAGAATTTTATGAGTAAAGTTATCAATAAAGTAGCCGGTCTGTGCGACAACAAATACCATGCATACGGTGTCACATGGGTCTTAGAAAAATATCCGCTTAACACATGATATATTGCCAATTTCAATCATATTTGTCAATGCTAAATAAACAATATCACCCTGATCACCTACCTTCCTATTATATTTCAGCCATAAACGATGTCCAAGCTGAAGGGACTGACCAAGTTGGTCTCATCGGTGTGGTGATAGGGTGCAGTATCGCGGGATTGATCATTCTGGCTGTGCTGATAGCGCTCCTCTTAAAGACAACAGTCTGCGACGAATCCAAACAGAATGATGGGATGTCAGACGGTTTTGGAAGTGAAATGTAATTGAGAAAATAATTATTTCGATGCTTATCTAAAAAAACATGCTGATAAACAGTCTCTCTCGATTGATGTTCTCAAGTGTGAGGTTCATCATGTGAATCATGGACAGGTCTTTTTAAATAAATAATCATTGAGTTCTCAATTTGCATCGAATATATTTTCCACGGCATATATTTGACACTCACACGTAGGCCTATTCAAAAAGTTATTTTCCCTTCTAGCGAGGATCCAATGGGAAGGTGGACTGATCCGTTAGACCAAGTGGGAATGCCTTCGCTGGATTTTAATACAGTAACATCATCAAAACTTGATGGAAAACTAACTTTGAAGGAAAAGAATCGACTGGAAAATGAGAAAAAATCTTCCACGAGGTAAGCAGCGTTTGATACTTGCTTATCATGATTTTTATTGAATTATTGAATTATTTTTTGAATGTCACATCTGTAAAGTGAACAACTTATTCCATTCTTTCAGATCCCGTGATTTGGATCGACAACTATCAGCTGAATCGGAGCAAAGGTATGAGACGCTCTCTAAACAATTAAAAATATTTATTTTGCATCATTTTAATATAAGACCATTTTCTGTACTATAATATAAGATACATTTTACTTAGCTCGTGTCGTGAATGACTTTGCCGGATGAATAATAACACTGGTGATCCATTCGATTACGCTGGTTACCGAAACGGTTCGTTTCCGTATCAAAATGTTAATCTTAACCGTTTTGAAGCTCCGTTTTTGTAACAATAGGGAGATAATAAATCGACGATTCTGTTGCGATCTTCTGAACTATTTGTTCGAAAACATCTGCATTTTCTTAGAATTCGTATAAAACTGATATATGTTTGTAATTCAAATGTCATTTGAGTCAAGCCTACAACGCGTAAAATGAGGAAAAAAGAAAGATCGTACCTTCGAGGTTCCGACATTTTTATTACCGAAACGGATCATTTCGGTAACCAGCGTAATCAGTGAATCGCCAGCTATGAATAAGCTACTTTTTGAATTCAACGTTATTAAAAGTTCATATCACAGTCATCGGGTTTGTAAGACATTTTGACTTTTGGTGTCTTCCCTTTCAGGCATCTTTATTGAAAGACAAGATATTACCCAAGATATCTTTCAAACTAGTATGATGCATGATGACGATGAAAACCCTAACTATAGCCTGTATTTGGAGCCTGCAATGATATCCATTTAAGGACAATTTATATACAATGACTAAAATTTCCTTTTTGTAATGTAAACAATGACATAGATAGAATATATATACGATAGTCATGTTCAACCTTTCGGTGTTACATGTGTTAACTATAAAATCAATGTTTATAATTAATATTATTTTGTGTCAATCACTCTGGAGAACATTAGGGATTTTAGGGATAAATGGCAATTCAAGAAAGAGAGCAATTGGAAGTATCACAAGATCAGCAGAGAAAGCATCAAAATGGATCTGGATCAAACGAGCAGATAACTGGAAAACAAAATAAGACACTAATAAGAGAAGTATTTAGCTTGAATAGCACACACTTATCCCACACCACTCTGGTGGGGTCACCTGGTAGAGTTATACAATGTTGAAAGACCCGAAATAACAATGAAACCAGGCACATTGCTGATGATGGGACAAGTGCATACAGCAACACCAAAGTATGTTTTAAAAAGTCGTATATCTGAGAAATCAGTGACTACCAAGAAAGTTTGGATGACAACTGGGAATAGACCAGCGACATCTGGATAGACAGAAGACAGTTGGAAAGACAACAGCCGGGGCAAATTGGGTCAGCAGCCCAAGATGCAGCCTCTGTAAAGAAGCACCCACATAGCAAGCTACGACACAACCCATAGGAAAACACCCTCAGGATTGCCCGAGAGGGAGGGAGGATGAGCAATCCACACAATCAGATGGAATTCAGGACATTGACTTAGCACGGCCAAGGACAAGAATATTGAATAGAGGAAGAATATGCAGTTGCGGCAAAGAGTGCAAGAATGACAGGGGACTTAAGATTCATCAAGGCAAGTCGCGTTGTCAGTCTCAGTCGGAAGTGAAACAGCGCTCAGGGTCATCTGATCCTGGTAAGACGACGGAGGGGCCAGGCCAGGACAAAAACCACAGTGCCAGGAACCTCCAAGTTCCAAAGACGAATGAGACCGTCAAAGCTAAAGAAGAGAGACTCCAGAGGATCAAATGGCCCAATGCCATAAAGAAAGAGGAGTGGAGTAATCTGGATAACGACTTGGATACAATTCTGGAGTCATCCCTAAGTGGACCAGTTGAAAAGAAGATACAAGCCATGACAACCATCACATACTCAATTGCATCAGACAGATTTGGAGAGGAAGAAAAATGCCATTTAAAACCACACATTGTCCATATCAGTAGAAGACAGAAAGATATTAAAGACCTGAGGAAGGAACTAAAGGATCTAAAGAAACGTTACAAACAGGCAGGACCAATAGAGAGGAATGCACTAAGGGAACTGAGAGTTATAGTCAGGAGTAAACTTAAAACACTAAGAAGAGCGGAATATCACAGAAGACGCAGAAGAGAGCGCACTAGGAAATTAAAAGAGCCTCTTTCACAAAGGATCCTTTTAGATTTGTAAAGGAAATATTAGGCCAGAAGAAGAATGGCACCCTCAAAAGTTCCAAGGAAGAAGTGGAAAATCATTTAACCTCAACCCATAAGGATCCAAGGAGAAGTGATGAATTAGGAGAGTGTGACTTGATAATAGAATACCCACCACCAACTAAGGAATTCAATCTGAATGAGCCAACATTTAAAGAAATCAAAGACATTGTTTATCATGCAAGGGCATCTTCTGCTCCAGGGCCAAGTGGGATACCTTACAAAGTTTACAAGCGATGCCCAAAGTTACTCACACGTTTGTGGAAGCTATTAAGAGCTGTTTGGCGGAAAGGTTACACAGCCCCACAATGGAAAACTGCAGAAGGTTGTTTCATTCCCAAAGAAGACAGGACAATCTCCCTACTTAGCGTTGAAGGAAAGATATTCATGGCAGTAGTAGCCAGACGGATGACAAAGTTTTTGATAGAAAATGAGTATTTAGACCTATCTGTACAAAAAGGAGGAATTCCAGGGATGTCTGGATGCATAGAACACACAGCCATGGTGACACAACTACTCAGGGAGGCAAGAGAAATTAAAGGCGATTTAGCAGTACTTTGGCTCGACCTAGCAAATGCTTATGGATCTATCCCCCATAAGCTTGTAGAATTCACTATGATGAGTTACTACATCCCAATAAAGATCCAGAGGATGATCTTAGACTATTACAGCAACTTCAAGATGAGATTTTCGACAAAAGAGTTTACTACAGATTGGATTAGGTTAGAGGTAGGAATAGTGACCGGATGCACACTTTCTGTGATATTTTTTGCGGCAGCAATGAATCTACTAGCAAAATCAGCAGAACAGGAGTGCCGAGGTCCAGCAACAAGCTCAGGAATTAGACAACCACCCATCAGAGCATTTATGGATGACTTGACAGTAACAACCCAAGGGGTCATGGGAGCTAGATGGATTCTTAGAGGACTAGATAAGATAATAAAATGGAGCAGGATGAAATTCAAACCAGTCAAATCAAGAAGCCTAGTATTGAAGAAAGGAAAGGTGGATGACAAATTCAAGTTTAACATAGATGGACAGGAAATACCTACAGTAACAGAGAAACCAGTGAAAAGCCTGGGGAAAGTATTTGACGCATCACTGTCAGACAAGAAGAGTATAAAGGAAATGGAAGATCAGTTAGATACCTGGTTCAAACTTGTAGATAAAACAGGGCTACCAGGAAAATTCAAGGCATGGATATACCAGCATGGCATACTGCCTCGAATACTTTGGCCACTGCTTGTGTATGCAGTGCCAATGACAACAGTGGAGATGTTAGAAAGGAAAACAAATAAGTATCTTCGCAAGTGGTTCGGAGTACCAAAAAGCTTCAGTAATGCAGGATTCTATGGAGAATCAAACATGCTCCACCTACCAATCAAAGCAATGACAGAAGAATACAAGGTCACCAAGGTCAGGAAAATCGTAATGATAAGGAACGCCAGAGACAACAAGATTTCCAAAAGCTGCACCAAGGAGAAGACTGGGAGGAAGTGGAATGCTGAAGAGGAGCTAGCAAGAGCAGAGGACAGGCTCAAGCAAAAGGTTTTGGTGGGGAGGGTAGCCAAAGGAAGACAGGGCTTAGGATTTGGTAGTAAACCACTCTGGAACGAAGCATCAGATCGCGAGAAGAGAGACCTAATACAGCAAGAGGTAAGGGAGAGTCTTGAGGAAGAAAGACGAGTTAAGGCTATTGAGATGAAGAAACAAGGCAAATGGATGAAATGGGAAGGCGTCAGAGAAAGAAAGCTAACGTGGAATGATTTATGGAAGGAGCAGCCACAAACTATTAGCTTTCTGCTAAAAGCAACCTATGATGTGTTACCAACTCCAACTAATCTAGTCACCATGGGGCTAGCAGATAGTGCACAGTGCCCATTATGCGGAGGGATGTCAAACTTAAAACACATTATGGCAGCTTGTAGCAAAGGGTTATCAGATGGAAGATTCAGATGGAGACACGACCAAGTACTGAAAGAAATAGCACAAGTCATTGACACAGAAATGAGGAAAAAACACAAGAAACAGGGAACTCGTTATATTAACTTCGTTAAAGCTGGAGAGGACACAACAAAGGAAGTAAAGAAGCCAACTGGAATATTACACACAGCAAATGACTGGAACCTGATGGTAGACTTAGAAAAACAGCTGAAATTCCCAGAAGAAGTAGTAGAAACTTCTCTCAGACCAGATATTGTATTATTGTCAAAAGTATCAAAACACATAGTATTAATTGAACTGACAGTGCCTTGGGAGGAAAATATTCAAGAAGCTCAAGAAAGAAAGAGGGAAAAATATGCAGAACTAGTGGAGCAGTGTAGAAATAAGGGATACATCGCCAGGTGTGAACCAGTAGAAGTTGGCTGTCGAGGTTTCGCAGGACAATCACTCTGGAGAACATTAGGGATTTTAGGGATAAATGGCAATTCAAGAAAGAGAGCAATTGGAAGTATCACAAGATCAGCAGAGAAAGCATCAAAATGGATCTGGATCAAACGAGCAGATAACTGGAAAACAAAATAAGACACTTATAAGAAGTATTTAGCTTGAATAGCACACACTTGTCCCACACCACTCTGGTGGGGTCACCTGGTAGAGTTATACAATGTTGAAAGACCCAAAATAACAATGAAACCAGGCACATTGCTGATGATGGGACAAGTGCATACAGCAACACCAAAGTATGTTTTAAAAAGTGTTCCCTACCATAAAACATGTGTCGTCGTCGTGGAAGCCAATAACTTATATTCCAACATGCTCAAGTGATCATGGACTGGTGAAATTGAACAAGTTCAATTTAAGATTCCAGATTGAGTTGACCCAACTCTAGTATCATATCCTTGAATCCAAACTTTATGGAATTTCACATTTTTCTTTGGCGCCATTGACTAAACATTGGAATATAAAATTGGGATCATATCGATTTTTCCTTGGATTGAGATTTCAAAACGTCAAAATCCAGCTACAAGCTCTTGTGTTAGTGAAGTAGATAGGGGGGGGGGACTCCACAGCCTAAAGCAAGACTAAAATGTCATCGAATCTAAACCAAAGGGAAAAGTAATAGTAAGATATATATAGAAGACACATATCTTCTACAGGGTGAATAAGGTAAAAGTGTCTGGCATTTCTTCAGATTTTACCCAATCCTCATAAAATTTGCACAGAATAATGTTCAAACATTATTGAATTGATATATGAAGTTACAGATCAAAGTGATGTGATTGGATGAAGTTATAGTTGTTTTTTTGCTTTTTTTATATTTAAGATTTATTTTCATATCATTTCAAAATTTTACAATTACAATGCAATGTTTCTTTTATCAAGTTCTATTCTAAAATTATCTAAAATATTATTATTTTGGTACAATTCCAACTTTTGCTTGTGGATTGTCCACTTAGCAACAATTATTACTTGATTAAGATACTCTTTTTCTTTACCTAAAATACCTTTAAAGATGGTTTGTTCATTTAAACTTATTTCACAATTGTTTATTATAAAGTCCCATATTGGGAGAAAATTGCATGTTATAAATCTGTGAGTTAAATCATCTTTATTTCCATTACAAAAATTATAATTTGGCGTTTCCTTTATTTTCATTTTAAAAAGTTTATCATTTGTTATCACAATATTGAAAAACTATTAACTTAGTCTCGTTAGTGTCATTATGTGTTAAGCACCAATAAAAGTATTTATCTACATCTGTATCATCCTTTAATAACATGTATGTCCTTTTAACGGCCATTTTGTATGCCTTTTATTTCCACACCATGTTTTAATTTTGCCTTGATGTTATTGTGTTTTTGCTTTAAAAAGTCAAGAAATATCAACTTTTTAAATAAGAAATCTTATTTGTTGTTGATGTCAACGCACCATGAGATAACAGATTGTCCCGGGGAAAGATATCAATATCAAGTGTATATCGGATAGAAAAATAAATATTATAGCTAATTGTTTGCACTGAAATAATGTGATTAATGACACTTCTAGCGAATCAGGTAGATATTTCTCCGGTTTTCCCGTAATGAAATTTCCAAACTTTTAATACGTTTTCTACAAACTCTAGCCATATTTGGGGAAATAGGTGGGGGCTGAGTCTCTAAAAACTGGCCAAAATGACCTAAAATTGGGTCATCAACTTCAGAGATCTCATGCAAAAATTTTAGACGCAAAATCTCCGAGATTATTTCATTTTGTCAATCATTATAGCAATGCCTTTCAAGTATTGCACAAAATGAACTGAAATGTATGTTGCTAAATGCAAATATTTTGAGTCAAATGTGGTCCCCATGTGCAAAATTTGCCCTTTTTCTCCTAATTACGCCAGTTAGGCCCCAGTGTATTGTGACATCATACTCATACCATTGCTACAATGTAGCAATTTACAAATTAATCTTGTTTACTCTTCCTGTGATACACCTGACGTGTTTATTAAGCCTGTAAAAATGATAATTTGCAACATTGTAGCAATTTAAATGAGGTATGGAACCTTAAAATCGTGTTTATGGAGAAATGACCATCAATTTTGATAGAATTCCAGTTGATTTTCTCCCATTTATGATCCCTTTGGGCCCCCGTTTGGCCATTCTGATAGGCACAGGATGTTTAAATGTGAATTAAAAGCATTGTGTGGCCTAGCCTGAATGTAAATATCGACTCTATTTTGAAATTCTACAACATCCATGGTCTCTGCGCAAATGGCAGCCGATCTAATATTAAGGTGTCACTACGGTAAATCATTGAAAAATATTGAAAAACAGTCACAAAATTCAAATTCTGGCACTAGCAATACATACAACATACAATGACTATATTTCTGCGTTCCTACCTTCATCTTTTATTCAACAAAGGGTTTGCGTCTCGATTTTTAAATATCACTACGCCAACATAGGGACTCATTTTCAGGTGAAATCCCTGCTTCACCGATGAAAATTAACGAATAAAGTAGTTCCTGTTTACGGGACCATATTCTTGAGATTTTTTCTAAAAATGGCACATTTAGAAAGTACTTGGCCTCAGCTTTACATACATACCTCAAATGGCCATAGTGCATACACTTAAACCTACTATACACACCATTGAAGCTGGCATGGCTTCGTTTTTAAGTACTAAAAAACACTACCCGGAAGTGGTGAAGTGGTATTTACCGGAGTCCTACCCGGAAGTGGTGAAGTGGTATTTACCGGAGTGACACCTCGCCTCTTTTTTAATTCCGGTTCCGGTTGGACAAATTTCGAAAAATCACATGATTAATAATCTAATGATAAGTCGCTTCTCAAGTAGTATTTCAAGATTTTCACATACTAAGTCTTTTATACATATAGCATTTACTCCAAGGTCCATACAAGAGGCATTTTCTTTTAATATTTCAAAGCTCACACTTCGTTCAAAAATGACGGAAGCTCGAGGACTTTATCCAGAAATTGAGCCATTCGATAGTGGAAAACTGAAGGTTTCAGATGTACATGATGTTTACTACGAACAATCAGGAAACAAAAATGGCAACCCGGTCATATTTTTGTGAGTAAATTTTATTAAATAGTCTGTTGCATCTTCTTTATTCTAGGCACTGCTGTCCACTGAACACTTGATGCAGTTTATCACTGGATGCTGACGCTTATGCACTCACTCGATGCAACTAAAACAAATCTACCCAATAACATCCGTTTGTAAATATTTGCTTGAAAATGTCTCTGTATTAGATGGAATTTAGTATATTATACATGATCTATGGTGCTGACCATGTCAAAAGCCTAAAAATTATCAAATATATTGCGAGTCACCTGGCTTGTACAGTATGTACTTCAATCAATGCATACTAAAACAGTACACAAGGAAAATACCATAGGAATATAGAAATATATCACATTTTTATTCTATCTGCATGCACACTGTAGGCATGGTGGCCCAGGTGGAGGCACAGGTCCTAAAGACAGACGGTTCTTTGACCCTGCAGCATACAGAATAATACTGATGGACCAACGCGGAGCTGGTAAATCAACCCCTGCAGCAGAACTCAAGGTACTGTAAAAATATGTTCAATAATTGTTATAGTCTCTAATTTTTTTGTGGCTTACGCCCTGACAATGCAGTATATTATGCTTGTTTAAATAAAGGAACATTAAAAATTAGAAAAATGACTTTTTTTGTTGATGGTGTTGGACGGTTGGTGGTTGGCATCTGGTGTCTGTAACAAATGGCAGGTGGTGACATTTTGCGTATTAATGACTTGTTCAATCTTCAGTGTTTGCTTTGGATTTTGCCCAAACAATGATCTTGATAATTTCAAAATTTTCAGAAGTGTGTGAGTATTTTTTCCTGTTAGACTTTAGCTTACTCTACATGTACCTACATGTCTCATGTTTTCTTTATCAGAGTTAATGAAAATGCAGAATGAAATTCATATTTTCTATTTCAGGATAACACTACATGGCATTTAGTTGACGATATCGAAAGTCTAAGAAAGCATTTGAATATTGAGAAATGGGTTGTTTTTGGAGGGAGCTGGGGCTCAACTCTGTCATTAGCTTATGCTGAGACCCATCCTGACAGAGTAAAAGCATTGATCCTAAGAGGAATATTTACATTAAGAAGGTACTACAGTGTTTTATAACATAAAAGTCTCACTATAAATAGTGCACTTGTTAACTTAATACATATACACTGTACAGAGTGGGCCAAATTTATCCACTTTCCACCAAAATCTTATGTTTGAGAAACAGTACAAATACAGTTTGGTGGCCATGCCATAATGAATAGAAAATCCTTAACATGAGTATTGATATCTTATATACCAATATACAAATTGCATTTCAGGAGTGAGCTGATTTGGTTCTACCAAGAAGGTGCAAGTCATATTTTCCCTGATGTCTGGGAGAAATATCTGGCCCCAATCCCAGAGGTATGTGTATATTGCATGTACATATTATGTAATCATGTTTTGAATTGATGCAATAGCATTTTTAACTACAAACGAGGCAACTTGTCCATAGTCTAACTAACAACTTGTCCATAGTCTAACTAATAACAGTGACTTAAACTTATGTTTGGCTTTGAAGTTAAGTATAAATTTGTTGTTGCATATACACTAGGGTGTAAATGTACACTATGTAAATTCCAAAAACCAATGATCTTGAAATGTAATCACTTGGATTACTTACATTATGGTGGACTTCATTTATAGTCTAGTTTGTTGTTGACAAATTCTTTATTTTAAAAATATGTATTCATTGAAATAATTTGAGCAATGATGATTGAAAAGTCATGCCTCAACCGCTCACAAATCAACTGTTACTGTTATAAATAAACATCTATGATTTTTTATACAGCAAAGCCACAATTGCTAATATTTCAGTTCTAATAGTCTAAATGCTATTTATTTTAATAATATTTTTTAAAGTGTTGAAGTCTGCCAAAATCTGTGTTAACTGCCAAATTATAAGAAATTTGATGTCCACTGACCAGGCCTTTAGTTGAGAGTACAGTGAGTCTACCCATAACATAATGGAGATAAAGAGAACCTGCAATTTTATGAACAAAGTAGTTTTGATGACACAGCTTTAAATATTGGGGCAATTGCCTGGGCCATTATGTTATAGGTAGAGAGACATGATCTCATGAGTGCGTATTACAGGCGTCTAACAGGGAATGATGAGGAGAAGAAGCTAGCTTGTGCCAGGGCCTGGAGTACATGGGAAATGGAAACCTCAAGGCTGATGCCAGATCCAAACTATGTCAAAAGAACAGAGAGTGATATTTGGTCATTACAGTTTGCCAGAATTGAATGGTAAGGCATTCACATATCTGTTTCTTAATGTAAGGGGAAAATTAGCCACTATAAAAGTACATGTACTTTACATGTATAATGAGTTATTAGTGTATAGAAGTCGATCGAGTTTTAAGAGAAATCAAACGTTCTTAAAATGTAAGTACATCGTAGCACACTCAAAGATTGTTTGAGAAGGTGCATAATAAAACAAATACTTGATGATCAGGAGTTGGATATGGCAAGAATAGCTATCCTCGAAAAAATATGGCGAGGCGGTATTTGTCGAATAGGTATTCTGCCATATCCAGCTCCTGATCATCCAGTATTTGCTTAATATAGAAAATGAATGCTTTCATCATGAATAACATGCTTTTTCAATTATTTTTTTCAGTCATTATTTTGTTCACGGCGGATTCTTCAAGACTGATGGTCAGATATTGGAAAATGCTGATAAGTTGAAAGATATTCCAGGGACAATAGTGCAAGGTCGTTATGATGTGGTTTGTCCTGCCAGAACTGCATGGGAGCTTCACAAGGTACATAGTACAAACTAATTTCTTCAGATATGATCCATGTGTTTCTCTCTATTCGGTAAATTAACTAACACTCACGCATCTACATGTATATTCCCAATTAAATTGTTTAAAGTAAAATTACTTAGGAGTAATATAGGAGTGCTGTCAGAATAAATCCCAATAAATAATGCAATAAAACTGATAATTATATAATGTCATATTCCCAACTCTCTAATTGGTCTATACCATACACGTGAAAGGCATATCCATCACCATATATGAATGATACAAAAAATGTTAGACGGACGGTTAAAGGAAAATGCCAATGAGCAAAGGATAGAATACTGTGTAAATTACACAGACAATGCAATATTAAACTGTGTTTGAACTGGCACAGCTTAAATTGGATTCAATGTGAATTTTCTATATAAAGTAATGAGTTCTGGTCATAGTGGGTTATTACTGCTTTAAGGACGGCTCAAAGTTCATTTGCAAAGAGTCTCTGCCAATTTTGAAAATAAAACAATTTTCAGCTTGAACTCTTAGGAAACCCCTTCCTTGGGAACTTGTATATATTATAAAAAATGTGTTGTTTTAGAGATGGCCATCGGCTGACTTCCAATTTGTTCATGACGCTGGGCATTCTGCAGTGGAATCAGGGACAACAGCTTTACTAGTTCAGGCAGCAGATAAATACAAGAATTTATAGGACACATCCTTTTTAGCTCAGCAATCGCTCAGTTATTCTTGTTCACTCTAAAATATACACGGATTGCAAACTATATGTACCATGCGAATATTATGGACACTGATAGAGTTGTTTCTCCAACCTCAAAAAATTAACTATCAATTCATATTTTATGATTCAACCATACTGAAAATTCAATTGAGATACTTTGAGAAAGTAAATTATAAATGAATGGCTACTCTACTTATTGAAACTATAATAATGTCAGTATTTTGGCAAATCTGCAATAAATGATATTTTTGGAATAAAACTAACAATGTGTTTTTTCTTTAGTCATCATAAAATAAAAAGATACGTTTGCACGTTCTCATCAGTGATGATCAATAGTAAAACACCTCTGTATTTAATCATGAATGTACTTTTCGTACTTAGCTCATAATTAAAGTTTCGATCAGTTTGATGCAGCAACGTTATGAATTGAATTCAATTGGATATAGAGAACGGCTCCGTCCATACGTCCATCTGCACATGTATGCCCGGGCAAAAACTCAAGTACCGTTGGCGCAATATCGTTCATATTTTATACTCAAAAAGGAATAGAGAGATTTTGTTCATATTTGATATGCGAATACTCATAACCTTGGTACACTGTCTTTTGACACGTTGGCTAGTACGCACGTGTACGTGTGTATGATTTTGTTGAAATTCTATATGTGCCTACTTAAAAGCATATTACACTTTCTGATGATAATTTGGCTAGTGAGCGACCATTTTGAAAATGGTGGCTATTTTTATGTATGCTATTTTACGATTTTTGCTATAACTGATAAAGAAGTAGAGGGAATTTGTAAAAATGGTAGCCATGGCTGTTCGATGGGATTTGCTATGCTGTGGCGTTGCTGTTATCTAGTTCTTATTGCTGTATGCCATATGTCCTTAACTATATTTTATTGCAAGCATTTTGGAAGAAGGACGGAAAGTATCGCAATAGATTTCAGACAGTCAAGTTTTGCAATTTGGCTATTTTCTGAGGATTTAAACAAGTGCACGTGCAAGGCCAATGCATTATAACTCCAGGACAAGTACTCATATAGATGATAAAATATCAATATGTTGCGTTTTGAGACACAGTAATGCATTCCTCTGAGATAAAGTGGAAACATTTTCAATAATAGGGAAAACTTGTACGATCCCTTGTTTTCAGCTTAATGTTGGTCACCCATGTTTGATATCTTTAAAACCCCCGAAGGAATGCATTATCCCTTTAAAGATGATAACTATGTCTCAAAATGCAACATATTGATGCAATATAAATTAAAAAAAACAGGTGTGGAAAGGGTTGAAAATTAGGAAAACATTTCAGACAAAACATATTGGTGGGGTGAATATTGATGAAAAAAGAATTTTGAAAACATTTTGCAAAAATAAATATCATGACAAAACTCTTAAGAGGCACATGATAAATGACACTTCGTTATTGAAAGAATGTTCTTAGCTCAAGCTTATACCATGACGGTTACGTCAAGGCGATTTGCAAACTTAATGCGGTAACAAAAACTGGCGGGTGGGAAAGACACCGTGTCCTCTTTTTCGCCTGTAGGCAAGATTCACAGAAACGATTTCATTTTAAACTATATTCATTCGGTGACGTACATATGAATGGTTATAAAGACTGAGTCAAATCTGCCAGGTGGTCTACAAGAATTAAGCAGAATATAAGCTCTAAACCTACCGGCCGAGATATCTAAGTTCATAATTTTTAGTCCATTCTCGTGTTTTCTCAGTATGTGTGCCTCAGAATATTCAAAATATACTCAAAATATTAAATGTAAGTTAAATGTGTATAAACAACCCATAAAATGACAAATCCAGAACAGGGACTGTTCTGGATATTGTATATAATAAGGTTTCAATCGCAATGTCGTCTTACGACTACGTATGAATTGTATGATTTTTATAGACGGTAACGCATTGTATTAGTTGTACATTATATTAGCGGACGGTTACATGCATGTTCACCTGTCAAGTCAAGGTTGCTCGGATAGCCTTTTTCCATGTTATTGTTATAATGGGTAAGAAATGGAATATTGAATTGCCCATAGGATTCGCAAGAGACGCTCTTGTTTGAGCCTCCATAGGGCTCCATAGGAGACACTCCATAGGAGTAGAACATATTAGGCGGTTTCCAATGCTCAATTGGCTTTGCATGATCGCATGTAGGTTATATCTATATGCCCCAAAGTTATTAAGCAATGTAGACCATGCACTATTACGACAAAAATAAACAAATTACCAAATTTTGTGTAGTTTTTCGCTTTTTTCATTTTATCCCCGGGCATCAATTTGCAAAGACTACGTTCAAAAATACATTACTGAATGCATCACCAAATGCGACGCCTACATAAATCGTTCATCCTTTCACTGATACACAGTAGTAGAAAATAATGCACCAACCTTAGTTTTCTGTCCCAATGTCGCCTTTTATTGGATAAATCAGTGAACATAGCAGTCCAACCTCGTTTTCAGATAGAGGAAATAATGCATGGTGAAATATAAGATTAAAAGATGTAGATGTTTTGAAAAATGGCGGCAAATTCAAATATTTGAAAAATTAAAGGCCAACAACTTTTTTCAAAAATCAATTTTAAGAAAAATGTTTAAAATAACTTTTTAACTCATAAAGAGAGTAAATGAATGATAAAACATATTTTCAAACTTTGCCTGGGGAATTTAGGGTGAACTTGTAGAATCAAAAGAAAGTAGCCTTTTGGTGGTATTTAACATACACATGAATTAAGACGACTGTGCATATTTTCTACGCGCATTACATTCGGATTCACATTTTGAACATAGAACATCAGAAGGTGTTAAGTTTGAACACAGTTGTTGCAGAATTAACAGCATGTTAACACAATGATACAGTAGAAATGCATTAAGAAAACCTGTGTGCTATAATAGACGTTTGCAACTGATAAAGTTGAAACTCTAATAATCAAATGTTTGAGCTGTCTAGTTGCACTTGAATAATTGATATTTCCTACATTATATCATTAGCAATTTTGCAACAGGATCTGTATGCAATAAACAAATTGTGTAATAAAAATTGATACGTCAAGAGTAAAATAAAATGTTCCTGGAAAAATCGCCTATGTAATTTTGTGATAGCGAATAAATACGTGTACAGTTGTTATAGACCACAGACTTTCAATTTGGATTTTAAATTCCAATAATAGTGGTAAGAAAACAGGACAAACACAGACTCAAACCGTGTCCTACGTAGATATATTCCCACTGTGGTGTTTATCACGTGTTTTGTGACACATAACGCTCACCAGAAAATGCGATATTGGATAGTAGCAGAGTGAATAGAAATAACTTCATCATACGGAGAGTGCATGAGTATACTCATGGTCGATATGTCTTCAAATGGAAGCCTACAAAACTGGTAAGTATCATTTTCTCTCATTTGCTTTGCATGATTGTTTTTCCAAGGTGTTCTTTGGCCGTCATTGGTCGTTTACTCTACATTAATTTACGTACGTGAAAAATATTCATCTTATATCCGAGCAAAAATATCGATTTTGAATGATAATGACTTCTTGTAAAACATATTCAAAAATGTGCAGTATAAGTTAGTACGTGCAAAATTATTTCACACTGGAATCAATCATCTGTGACTCATTATTTTTATGGTTTCCTTGACAGAAATTGATTCTTAAAAGTTTTCGCGCAAGACTTCTCTGGAAACACTATATTTTTTATTGTGAACATTTTATTTTGTAGACAGTTTTACGATTCTATGTGGTATATACTAAAATATTTATTATTGGGGACGTAAAATTGAATTGGTAATGATCAGATTGATCTCATAAAGAGCCTGAAATATTAAATGAAAACTGAGCTACGGTGAAATAAGAAAATCAAAGTGTAATCATTTTAACTTATTAATATGAGAACACTATGCGCAGAAAATGTAGAAATGATCTCATATGGTTGCCAACTGTTCTCTTTGACCTGTTTCAATATTTATGATCAGCAATCTTCAACAACAATGATTAATGTGACGCTTACGTTACATTTATTGGATTTTGAATAACTATACATCATGATTGCAAATACAACATATTATCTAACCTTCCTTTATTTGATCAAGATCAAATGAATTCTTAGAATATCTTATTAAACTCCTTTTATATGAACGAATGAAGTGCTAGTATAAAAGTCTTGTATAAATAGAAGCAAATACGTTTGGAACGTTATTATGGCTTTTAAATCAAGCGGTACAGAATAGCAGAACTATGTAAATCGTCCTTAATTGGATACAATGAGAATAAATCGCCAGATTTATTACAGATAATGAATCGTATTTAATTTGAAAATCATTGTTTTCTAGGCGATTTGCGATAGTAATTGTTGATGGACGAGGCTCGAAGAGAATATAGACTGCGATGGAAAACAAGTCGATCAACGGATTCTTCAGGGACGACATGGGCTCAGTTGAGATGGATTACAGTGATATGCTTGTTGGGCTTCAGAATGACACGATATCTTATTCTGAGGATTACTACGACATTAGCTACAGAGCAATTCATCTTCTTGGACAGCCGGATAAAATTGTTGCTCTAGTTGTGGCATGCATCGCCCTGCTTGCTAACATTGCCTCATTACTTGCTATAAAATACACGTATGGGGATTTGTCAGCGCACCAAAGGCTTATGATAAGTCTTGCATTATCAGATATGTTTATTAGCGTCAGTGTCATCTTGCACATCGTTAATCATATTCTCAATCCCTTGTATCATATCAATGATGAAAACAACCTGAGATTACAGTCTCATTGTGCTCGGGTGTTAATCGAGGGATTGAATAGAACTTCACATGTAATCTCCCTTATGAACTTGATGGGTATGGCGGCGGATCACTATATGGCTATCCTTAAGCCGTTGGATTATCACAGACTTATGAACAAGAAGCGCTCGAGATTGATGATCCTTGCCCTGTGGCTTGTATCTGCAGCATTTGGATTCTCAGATGTATTCTCAGGTTTTGCCGGATATGATAAGTCCTATGAACAACAATACAATTATACCAGTAATTACTGCGAAATCATAAGGAATAATAACTTCCACCCTGAGTTTGCTATTTTCGCCCTCGTTATTGTGTGCTTTATTGTTATGAGCGCGATTTACTCTAAAATCTTTCTCATCGTTAGAAGTCATCAACGCAGGGCAAATGAGGTTAAAGAAAACAGAAAAGCTGTTGTAACGACTCTCCTCATTCTTGTGACTTTTGCTGTCTGTTTTCTTCCAAATACGTTGTTTCAGACTATTATGATCGTCCTGGTGTACTACACTAGAGGAACCCCCTCTGCGTCATTGTCACAAGACAAAATCGTATGGAATAATTTGCGATAAGCTTGTTATTAAGCTTGTTATTATGGTCTTACTAGTGGTTATTATTGAGTAATGGTACAGGTATTCGATATGGTATTGCAGCTTACACTTAAGTAATGGTACACGTATCCTTGGATTTTAGGCCCGAATACCGAGGTTTATTTTTTTAATTATCGTGTATTATTATTTTGTGTTAATATTAGTTAACCATATAACTATTGGCATGATATGATAACCTTGTTATATTAATATAGCGCATAGGCGTAGCCAGGGGGATGCGATGTGTGCGATTGCACCCCCCCCTCCATAACCAATAAAATAGAACCATTTGATTGAAGAAAAAAGTCTTAAAATGCTTTTTGTTTGAAGCTTCCAGCTCGATTTTGAACGAAGTTGCACCAATTTTTGTAAAATTCAAAACAAATCTTCAAAAACATTTTTTTATGCCACGATCGCACCCCCCCCCTCCCCCCCGACTGAAAGCTGGCTACGCCACTGTAACGTGTAATCAATACGCTACATTTTGTATGTTCAATTTGTATACTAAAAACTGTTATTAATCCACAAATTTAGATGAAGACAAGATAAAAAATTCGAATCAAGAATGAAAAGGTGTCTAAGTATATGATTCTTAAGGGTAATGCATATTTGAATTAAACAGAGGCGGGTTAATTTATATTGTGCTATGAATTACGCTATTATTCAAAATTGCAGCTAAGATGCCTGTTTTACGATACCCTGCGTGCAGAGTCTAGTTAAACTACACTAAGACGAAGCTCTCTTTTAAGAAGTGAAGTCAAACGAATGCAAAGGGTAGTTTTATGAAAAATATCACGGAAGATGTATTCTAGATATCAGTAGTATTCTCAGAAATTTATTATCCGAAACGGATAACATCTGGCCACTCAGACAAACAATCGCAGACATAGGCTAAGCTTGTTTATTTAACAGTTACATTTGTTGACTTACCGATCCGTATTTCAATCTCCGTGAAGACGTTCTTTTCACTTTGTATTTGCGTGCAGTGTAATATAAGTTGATACTTTTGTTCAAAAGTGTACTTTTAATGGCCATTTTATGCCTTTTATTTTCAAATTATGTTTTGTTTGGATGTCAGTGTGAAAAGTCAAGAAACGTCAACCCCGACTTTTAATTGTTTTAAAATGTTGGTTAATCACTTATGGCAAATCACAAGGTTGATGATGTCAACGGACCATGATCGTGGAAGGCTATCAATATCAAGTGTATATCGCATAGAAAATAAATATAGCTAATTTTTCGCACTGATATGATGATGACTATTCTTGCGAATCGGGTAGATATTTCTCAGTTTTTTCCGGTAATAAAACTATTCATTTCTACCAATTTTACAAACGGGGTCCTTTGAATGCACATTAAAACTATAAAAGTATTTATTGGGCGTACATACTCGTTCTGTCATGTTACTTACATTTCATTTGCAAGTTGTCCACATATTAATCCGGCGTTTTGTTTTATCAAATTTCCCGCCCCTTGAGGTTTCCGACTGTAAAACTTAATATTTAATACTAACCAATGCATCAGTTAATATTTTCAGAATACAAAATTTCCATTTTTATTTCTCTGATAGATAAAGTCTCATTTTGAATCTGTTCGTGTATTAAAGAGTATGCTTTTATAATGCCGTGGTCACATTTGCTCAGATTTTCAGCACCGGCGCCCGGCTGATGAGTATTTTGTTCAAAATTGTATTCAATTCTGAACAAAATACTCAAGCGGCCGGGCGCCGTAATGAAAATCGGAGCAAATGTTACCAAGTCATAACTGATGAAAAATCAAATGAGAACATGAACATGGATAATAGGGGAACTATTACGCTGCGTGCAGAGTCTAATTATAAACTACGAGAAGACGAAACTCTCATTAGAGAAGTGAAGTCGAACGAATGCAAAGGGTAGGGTACTATAGAAGGGGATCATATAAAAGCACGATCTATTTCACAACGCCTTTAACTTTTGTTCTTCAACTGTAGCCCTTTGTGCATTTCAAAAATAAAATATCTTAATCTGATTTGTTCCACCTTTCTTTTCGCTCAGTTCTGCACTATTATTTCCATATGTTGTTTAGGATTATGTCATTTGCGAAATAGCTGTAAGACATTATGAGAATGAAAATGGGAGTTTCCACGATAATGTTGTTCACATGATTTTATACACATACCTGCATAACAATCGGAGACAGAAGTCTTAATATTGTCCAATAAAAAATGAGAATCTAACATTTAATGATAACAAAAGGATTAATTGTTTAGTTCTCTTTGTTTTAGTCTTTGTTTTCTTAAATGCGGAAGTGTACCAACATCACCTAGATTACATAAGAGATAATCTAACAGTCTAAAATTGCTTTTAATTGCAAGTTAATGCATTCCGACCAAAATTTGTATACCTGTAATTTGGGGGGGGGGCGATGTTACATCACTTAAATACAACGTTCATATAGAAATATACAATAAGCATGTCCGTATAAAAGCTAAAATTATAAAAACTCATTTCAAAGTCATTCTGTTCATGGAAGCGTCAATATGAAAAACAATGCTAAACACTCAAACAAATCGACTTGATTACCTTTGAAAACTTCTTGAGAGGAAATGGACAAATGTATTTTTCTAACTCATTAGAACGTCTGTCTGATTGAAATACTATTTTTAAATACAAACATAAATGATTTAATCTTGGTCAGAAGTCTGAACATTGTCCAACAAAATAATAAGAATCTAACATTTAATGATTACAAAAGGATTAATTGCTATATAGTCTTTGTCTTAGTCTTTGTTTTTCTAACGGCGGAAGTGTACCAACATCACCTTGATTACAGAAGAGATCATCTAACAGTCTAAAATTGCTTTTAATTCCCGGGTTTTAATTACATTTTATGTATAGACTTTTTGCCTCTATTCTCATTTTTAAACCTGTTTCTGTTTGCTTATTTAACAATTGTGATAAATTATTCAGTTAGTGTCGAAATCAAAACAATTTTCTACATTATAGTCCCCACCTCTTGCACTGACTAAATATTTAAATAAGCCAGTCTGATTGCGAATTTACAAATCCTGTAAAAGTAGCTTCAAACCGCCTTTTAATCAGAGAAAACAATAAGTTAATTCATCTGATTGCGAAAATACGAATCAATCTGATTATCTGATCTCCATGCTAGGTGTAGCGGTTGCCAGAAGTCGCAAAGCTTGGGAGTCAGGGTATCCTGATCCATGCCTCAACGCCTGACGGGTCTGATATTTAGAGGGGGCGCAAGAATTATTAGGGGGCGGGGTAAACGTGAAAGTTGCCAAAATATCCATAGGCGTAGCCAGGAGGGGGGGGGGGGGCGCGATGGGGCAAGGGTGAAATTATTTCATTTGAAAACAGAAATAAATATCAGAACCCCTCTAGCATAACTATTCGAAAGAAATTCATACAAAAAATAAGGTACACAACTGATGAAGGGTCGCACACAATGCACGCACCCCTCTCCTCCTCCTCCGTGTTTGCCCACACACGACCATATTTGACAATTTTTCTAAAAGCGTTTTCCCCGGGAATATAGGTGTAGCGGTTGCCAGAAGTCGCACAGCTTGGGAGTCAGGGTATCCTGATCCATGCCTCAACGCCTGACGGGTCTGATATTTAGAGGGGGCGCAAGAATTATTAGGGGGCGGGGTAAACGTGAAAGTTGCCAAAATATCCATAGGCGTAGCCAGGAGGGGGGGGGGGGGGGGCGCGATGGGTGCGATAACAATAGGCTTTATATATGCTTTAATGTTTTATTTATCATTATGCTTTTATGTAGGCTATTAATTACAGTTCTTTTTGCAATATAAAACTGGTATGTTTATGGAAATTCCGATTGGACTAATATAAAGGGATATTGTTTCATTATGTGGACTTGAGAAAGTCCGACATACTCATTGCTTTCAACCCAAAACTTAAAATAGGAAGTTATCAAGATCCCAAGAACACGATCGCTACTTAAACAATACGTTTGTAAAATCCCGGCGATGGAAATGCAATCAAACTTTCGCAATCAGGTGCCTAATTAGTCTTTTGATCTCTAAAGTTTTACGACTGAACGTTTCAATGAACTCGTGAGAAGCAAACGCAATCATCATATAAACATTTTTCTAGTAAATCTAAAATAGAGTAAAAACCCAGGGAAAAAGATCGCGTGTTCATAGGAATTAGGCATATTTCAATTTTGAAATAACAAAAGTCAGTCTCGGAAGAATTTTCCAAGCATTCCCTGCTTCGATGCGTTTTTATTGCAAGGGCCGTTTAGCGCCGATATGAATTCATTATAGGGCATTAGGGTTGTGCTTTATTTGTTTTATTTATATAAATGTTATAAAATGTGTACGACACTTTAATGAATTATTTTTAGGGTTACAATGCTTATTTGACTTTTCCCTCTAAACGTTTAAAATTCATCTTTTCTTAGTTTGCTTCAATAAAATTAACATTGGATCCCAGACAGTTATCAAATTCTCAGACATTTGATTAATATAAATATTTGTACTTCCTTTGACCAGTGGTGCTGGTGTGACTGAGATTCGAATCTAATCTGTTTCATTTTTATGTAAATTGAGAGGAATAAAGTTTTATTTTCAGCGTTTTAACAATCTTAACGTTTGGCGTGCAGCTCAACTTAATACACAATCAAAGGTCAGAATACAGAAATAAGAACATGCCTTTTATTTGTTATTCAAGCTCGAGCAATATCCCCGTTATAAAACCAAAATAACTGCGGTTAGGTACCATATCTTGATTACGGTAAAGACAGGCCATCTCATTCTGGTATGCCAGAGCCACTCTTATCTGCCGATTGTGGAAGGATAAAGACAAAGGGGTCGCTGCTATCGCGATGAGGCCATCTTATTTCTAGGAATTATTTCTGCCTCTCATTCCTTAAACCGGCTTCGTTAAACAGTGCCAAAATATATATGTCGGAGCCAAAAACAAGACTATTTTTATATTTAAATCCCCTCACCTTGTCAATGTCTATGCCTGCATCTGGTTTTATACAGATATATACACATAGATTACTTACTGGCCATGGACAGGGGGGCACAGAAACGAACATTCTGGGGTCATAAGGGATACTTGGGGAAGGGGGAGAGGTGGTGGTGAATAGTGAAGTCCGGGAGTGAAGTTAATGGGTACTGAAATCTTTCTTTTGATATTTAGTGCTTGAATGGAGACTTGTTTCCACTCCCCGCATTCTAGTAGAATTTAAATATTTGATCCAAAGGAGTTATTTTAAATCAAACTTGCATTCCGATTAATTAACACTCCAATGATTGTACCGCTTCACTATTGTCTAAGATAATTATAATGAATTCACAGGACACTATAGTCTTCTTTTTAAACTTTAGTAGTTGGATGGAGACTTGTTTCCCCTGTTTGATTTAGGAAGGTATTTGCAATCCAACTCTGATGGTGCAAGACTAGTCAGCCAAGACTAAATTATGAACTTATTATCATTTAGACTATTGAGTTCATTAAATTATAATTCCATAGATATCATATTTAATCCTGTCAACACAATAATGGTATTAATTGGCATGATATGTAGTCAGAGACGGTTTAAAAAGTTGTTTAGTATAGATAGTATTAGGAAAAATCCTAACTCAAAGTTTTTGTTCTCTCGCAATCCAGAGCAAACCACTCGCCGGGCAAGCATTCTTTAAAAACGTGAAGTTTTCACCATGTTGAGCAGTTTTGAAAATTGTCCAATTTGAACCATCGCCTTGTATATTTCTGTAACTGCCCCCCCCCCCCTTGACACTCGAGTGTAAGAATCCTTTCCACACTGTCAATGGTTTTACAAAATAGTTCATGTCAGGAAGGGGGAGGGGTGAGTGTGGAGAACAATCACTGTCTGCGATTTGTATGATTGAACATTATACACTTATCATAGATTCGTAAAGAATAGTTTTAAAATAAACAGCTTGTTTTATGTTATGATTGGAGTGATGTATGCATAGAAGAATGACACTGGTTTTGAAATATCTTAATTATCCCATTGAATGAAGCAATCCGTCCCTCTGTCCATTCTTAACTCATACTAGTGGACTGATTTGATTTAAAGGAGAAGTCTCGGTATAGAACATGTACACACTAATGGGAACGAATTTTACTCATTTCTATTTAGGATTCGTTCATATACTAGCAGGGCTTTAGAGCATTTACAAACGCACGAATTGTATTGTTTTAAGGCAACTTTTATGACATATAATGTATTTAAAGCTGATTAATTTTAGATTATATTCGGTTCAATTTTACAAATAATGAATAGTATTACAGTATATCGAAAAATATACAATGATTTACATTAAATTGCTCAGACTGCAAACAATATACATGGTTGGCGAATTTGCATGCGAGTTCTTGATAATAAGAATTAAAGGTTGAACTTAAAAATCAAACATTTTCTTTTTTAAACATAATAAATCTTTAAATCAAGAAAATAAAAATAAGATTGATGATTGAGCTTTTCATCGTCAACTGCGACTGTGTCGACGCATGTTTATTTACTTAGCTAATTAGATGTGTAAACTTGTTAATGGCCGCAGCGGATAATACGTACATGTAAGCTGTTCGGATAAGACATTTCTATATGATTAATAACAAATCCCAGGCAGAATGATATTCAACAGTAACTGATCTTATTAGTTATTATTCAATTTGGATAATAAATCTTTTATCTCGTCGTATTGATGTTTATTATATAGTGTTTCTCGTTGTGTGTATTATACCAACCAGTACCTATACATCCTCATGTTACTCAACTGCATTCTGGACCCAATCATATACGCCACTCGGATGAGGGAAGTCAGGCTTGGCTACGCAATTCTATTAAAAAAGATCTCGAATAAGTGTCCGAATAAGTGTCGAAGAAAACAGACTCTCCCATTTAGTCATAATTACACACATGTTGAGTCAAGAAACAACTTTTGTGCGACGTCTAGAAGAAATACTCGGTTTTCTCTGTCGTTTAATTTGACAGAAGCGACGCATATGTCCGTGTTCTTAGATCATCACACTGGGAGAAAGAATAGCACGGACCCATCTGGAAGTGGCAAACATTCTGCAGGCAATCGAAAACATTCGCATACTAGCGTGAAAAATATTTCAACTAATAATGAAAAATTGTAAGTTGGATCCCAGCAAAGGTTGTAATACTTGGCTATGACTTTAGGACCTTTTTGCTCCTCAGCCCTGATCTGAGTAATAAAAAACGTTCACGATATTAAACTTTATCCTACAATTTATAAACAGAAAGAACAAGAATCCAGATTTTTGGCTCATATAGTGGGCTTATGGGAATGACTAGACGCCCGTCCGTTGGTCCGTCCGTCAACATTGGCCGCACAAATTAAAACTTGTATTCGTATTAACTTATATCCACATTCATTTTTATGTACAGTTACATCCACAGTGCCCATTTGACTTGCCATCGTCATTTCCCAAGTTTGCTCGGTTTCCAAGAAATGCCGATTTTGATGTGAATTTTCTTAAATCAGACACTTTGTTAAAATAGAATTTTAGAATAATTGTTAGTAGTTGCTCTCCGAAGATTTCAAAACAGTTTTCGGGGTTTACTCCATAACATTTGACAAATTGTAAGTCATTTTCAGGGAACTTTCTCCGGTATTAAAGACAATGGTAGGCTTTTTGACTGAAAACTATTTTCAAAACTTTTTAACATTCTCCTACTTCCAACAAGCTTTTAACTAGCTACTACAGTATATGCTCCTACTAGGGACCTGGGTTGAACTTGGCGGAAAATGGTTTTTTATCTATGTCAAGGTCAAAATCTAGGTCAAGTCTTAGTTTTCTTAAGTTTCTTAAAGTTTGTCTTTATTATTCATTATTTCTTGCGATGGTTTAAATTGTTCCTAGATTTAAGTATTCTCTACAAATTGCTCAATGTATGTCAGCATTAAATGTTACCGTTTTTGAGATATTAGATGTCATAAAGCCGCTAAAAATAGGTCATCTTTTAACTTGCTCCAATTTGGCCACTTTTTCTAAAAATCATCTAAAATCACTCAGGAGTTCAAATCTGACCTTAGATTTGAGATTTAAACTTTGTTTAACATTCAGTAACTTTCAAAGGGTCAAAAAAGTTCAAATTGTTTTTTAACTTAGTTTTTCTCAGAAACATTGATCATACACCTTTTAAGTCAACAAACAGGAGTCTTACATTGAACTATGTTAAGTTTCATCTATCAATATCTAAAATACATAAGCGTATCTATAACATGTATCCCAGCATCCATATGGGAAATCAACTGATTCGAAAGCATCATTTTAAAGTAACTGTGCAGATACATGACATGGTCCGTAGATGATATTCTAACAGGGGCGAATCTTGCTAGTGAAATCAACCTTTCGCCTACTCAATTTAAAACAATTTTGGACCACGATTCTATCGATTTTAGTCATTTAACCATTTTTGGTTTCTTACATATTAATTTCCTTGGCAAAAAATCCTGGATTAAAGTTTAAAATGCAAAAGGACGGGTTGCGATAAGGTACAACTCTATGAGAGTAATGATTTAATCAGACTTTTCCCTGTCATTTAGCACGTGTGATAACTGGATGGTAAATTTTATGTCAGTGTTAAAAGAAGTCCAGTAAAAAGACTATTGACTTTTTACACAGGCAAATTACACCAGGGCACGTACGAGGTTGTACGAGCCCCGTTCCCTCAACGGACTCTATACAACCTTGTACGGGCCTCGTAACGTATCCCGTAATAAATCTAATGATATGATCAAGTTTGCTTCAAGTAAAAACTTCTTTGGGTGGCGTTAAATCGATTTGCTACCCGTCTTCTGTAACACTTTAGTCTGTCATCTGGCCTTTGCTGCCGTCAGCAAGACCACCAGAATGATTGATTGTAGCATATGTACAGTATAACAGGAATAAAAATAAATGAAAAATACGATGTTGAAATTATAACTGCACTTTTTGTAGCTGCTGTAGGTAAAATCTCCAATGGGAGTCCATATGGGGTGTGTACTTGTATTACTTTCTTGATATTGAACTCCTCCTAACTAGAAATCAATTGCTGTTCGATCTGGTTGGTATCTTTCGAATCTTATCATAATTTGTGATTTACGATTTGTATATGATGCGATAGTAACTCCATTTGTTTTTTGCATAGCTACTAAATGAAGCCATTGTGAAGTAAAAGAGTGAACTGTTTCCTATTAGGAGCTGAATATAAATATATTCGGGAACAGGAACAAAAGGATTCATATAAAAATAGCTTGCTTAGATCTGTTTAGATTATAGACATTTATTGATGGATTATGCCAAGATACATAGCCATAACGTTTTTATGTATTTACTAAGCTGGATTTGCAACACATGTTGATGATTACATAAACAGTATAACAGTATAAACATATTTTAGATTTGATAATAAAAAGTTTTGATCACTTTGAGTAAGAGATGAATTGCGCGTTGCTGAATCAACAAAATTGATTAATTTAAGAATTCGTGGCAAAGCTGTCATTAAATATGCAAACGATGGAAACATGTTATAGAATGAATGTTTTGTAAATAGAATCAGTAAACTATCCTGTAAATTGTTTAGAAAAATCAGAGACAACAAACAGTTCAAGAATATGTGAATATTTGAAAACCAGGCAATTACTTAATAGATATTAATAGCTTTATATATGAGATGTCTAATTAGTATAATTACAATGGATCATACAAAACTCATCTGTATTAAGGTGCTGCGAAATTAGAACGATGATGAATTCCTCATAGTAAAAAAACTCCAAATCTCTCAAATATGGATGTAAAGAATACGACAAACATATTTCTAAACATGGTGTCTACGACTGTATTTATTTCTCGTGCATATGATGATTTGATCACAATAAAGGAACCATCGGATTACGTACCATATGAATCTTTCACTGGGACATCAATTACAACAGATCGAGAATCTCACACAGATGAAAACAACAAAAATGACGACAAAAACAGCTCAAATGAGCTCATCATATTGGTCATGAACAACCTCTATACGTGGCTGACCATCACAATGTCCATTCTTAGTATCATTGGTAGTATTCTCATGTTTTACATCTATCTCACTTTTAAGAGTGTCCGTGGAAGCAAGAGCGTCAAGATGTTACAGTTCCTCACATTGGCTGATATGACAACAGCTATCGGCAATTTGATTGGCTTATTGTGGTATCTATGTCGGGGTCACGTGTCAAATGAGGTCAGTGATGTGTGGTGTAAATTCCACAGTGCGTTAACTATAGGATCAAGTATTTGCTCCTTTCTTTGGACTATTGCCATTGCTTTGCATTTGTATATTGCTATTGCAAGAGAGGACGTTCGACACGCGGACAAACTGACTCCGTTGTTTCATGTCGTTTGCTGGATTCTACCAGGTAGGCTTTACTTGCATATGACACACAGCGCACATCTTGACACATATAAGACACATTAATACATTCTAACCTTAAAATGACACATATAAGACACATTGACACATTTCTAACCTTAAATGAACAAACACACACTTTTACAATTGAAAGTTCTGTAATAATTTTGTAGCTTTAAAATAACTTATAGACGTAGCGATCTAAATCATATATTGCATGGATTGATAATAATCGGGAATAAAAAAAACTGAAATAAATTGTTATCTTAGTTTTTTATCTGTTTTCACATTGCCCTTTGATCGTAATTGATATATTTGAATGTGTATGTTTTGCTGTCTGTTTCGTTGATTTATAAAAGTGTGATAAGGTTTAGGGTTGGGTTTATTTCAGCTGTTGTCATGGTCACTGCCCTAGGAATGAATGTCCTTGGATATGACCGCAACTTGAAGCATGCTAGTTGGTGCTGGATCGAACCAACCCTCAAAACTGCTCTCTTTTGGCAGTACATGTCAGGTACATTCTGACGTACTTACTAGAGATGATGTCCATATCTAAGATTGAAAAATGATAAAGTTGTTTATTTCTTTTTTTATTGCTCTTATAATAACGGTAGCTGTGAGATCTTAACATTTCATTTTTCTTTAATTGTGTTTCATTATAGACTCAATTCAAACTTAAAAAATAAAATCAATTTGTTTCTAATGAAACCAATTGATCATGATCCCCAATTAGACCACCTTACATAAAAATGTAACTAGTTAAGCAAATGAGGGTAAAAATGAGAAAATGATTTAAAATGAAATTGCAACTGACAAAGTTGAACAGGCCAGATCTTTTAATTGTCACTCTCACATTTCAAATGGTTTATTGGAACCTCAGGGCAAACTGCATGATTAATTTTTCATTAAAGGCAGAATCAGATCTATATGTGATAAAATTGCAGGCAACATGTACACAATATGATTGGTTCACTAATACACACCCCCACAAATGTAATGTCTTCTCTATGTCTTCTAGTGATACTAGATTAGTAGATCAATTTCCATTGATCATGTAACTACGTATTTCTTCTCAACGGTAAGATACAATGTAGTTTTCTATTACGTATGTCGATCCACTAGAATCCACGAATTATTAGCTCATTTTTCATCTAAACGTTTGGAAATAATATCACTTGTGACTGACAGGATCGCATGACTGGGGAAAATCATATTGGGCCGTATTCCCGGGAACGTATTCACTGGGAAAGAATATAGTTTTGGGATATTGGGTACCTGTGAGTTTTATAACAGGTTATTCTTGGTGGAGGCTAAGTATGGGTTTTATCTTCAGAAAATAGGTCAACTGCAGGTCAGATAAAAAGAAGTGACATAATAAAGAAAAGTGGGATTAAATTAGAATGCCATTCTGCTCTTTTTCTATCCTTTAGACCTTGATCAATCGATCCTACAAATAAGATCCGTGAATGGGATATCAACAGAGTGAATCCAATCAATTTCCAATTATTATCCAATAGATGATTTAATAAAAAATGAACGGGGTTACATAATGGGTCATTAATAGTGCTTTAAATTATCATTAGTATTTTATTATTAGACTTGCCTTGATTCATTAATCATGATTAAAATTGACTGTAAACAAATATCTCAGAGAAGATCTGATCATCCGTGCAAACTCAAATATATTCTGTTTCAGGAAAAGCTTGGGAAGTGTTAGCATGCATAGCGACGGCTCTGCTTTACATAGCAACAAAGATATATTTGAAAAGACAGGCAAGTGACCTCAATGTAGTAATGATAAGATATCATGATCTATGTAACTACTATATACTAATTAATAATGGCATATAAGTATGGTATAAATATTACATACGGTAATTATATATAGTTAAGTTAAGGCTCCTTTGATCTGCCAATATATCAGTGTTCTTAAATGAAACGATCGGCACTTGTGTCGGCTAATTCATTGCTATATTCAGACAGAGATAGATCTCTTGTTCCATACTAAAGTATGAAATAAAGAGAATTAAAATCAGGTTCATATGTTACAGGGTGACCAGAAAAAGGTGGACCGATGTTTTTTCCTTTAACCTCCACATAAATGCCATGACCAGGTTTATTTTTGGCACAAATGTAGGCTATATTAGTCAGTGCATAACATTGTGAAATGTCAATCACTTTCCATTTTTATTTGATGGCTATTTCAGCACATGCTCTATATGTGCTCCCTAGCACTAAAGCCACTGAGGAAGATTGACATTTCACACTTTGACATAATGGCATGCATTGTCTAATGTACATTTGTGCCAAAAATGAACCCGATTGTGGCATTTGTGTGGCAGTTGAAAGAAAAAACAGCAGTCCACTTTTTTCTGGTCACCCTGTTCAAACATATCAAAATTTGTACATATCCCGAATATGTCTATATATCGATACCGCTTCAAATCTATTTGGGTTTGATGTTCCTATTTTACATTCGGTCTCACATTATATCACGAGGTACACTTTTTGAAACCTATATACAATCTCACTGTGAATAATTATGACCTCAAATAATTAATGCTTTTGATTCGACATTACATCACCGAGAAATTGTAATTTTACTGCGGAGAATTTATTTTATTCTTCAATAACGTATATTTCAGATGAAAAATTCTGCCCAACTTTTCGCAGTCGATTCTCAAGCAAACAAATCTCGTCAGCAGAGGTTTCTTATTGCCAACCGTAAGATGACGTTTGTCCCAGTGACGTTTTTCTTACTGCGTATATGGGGGACGGTGAGGTTCCTTATAGGGGCTCATTGGAATGAAGTTGCAAGTAAGACGTGGATGGTGTGGATTGTACCCCTACAGGTATGCCAACCCCTCCTCGAGACCTTTCACTCTGTAAAAATAGTCTAAAAACGATCAGTCAATATTATGCCGAAATAGTGGTGCATAACGTTCCTTAGATATTAGAGAATTTAAATGTTTTACTACAACATACAGTATTGAGCTTTGTCGGATTTTACGCTTCTTCTGTGCTTTAGTTTTGGGTACATTTCCCATTTGCAGCCCATGTCATGTGTGATGATTTTGTCATTTTACAATCCTACATTTTCTTTCAGGGAATCGGAGACAGTGCACAAGGTTTCGCAAACGCCATCCTCTTCATTATTCTTACTGAGAGTATCCGCTTGAAGATGAAGGCAATGATATGTTGTATCAGGGAGCCCCACGTGAATATACCTAGTGTCGATTCTAATCAGAACAACAGGAGACGCCGGTGCTCTAATCAGGATAACCAAGGTGTATTGCCTGTTAAGATCAAGAACAATGATGCAAAGGACAATCCCAACAACAGAAATGTAGATATTGTTCAGTATGGACTAAATGAATCGAATGATAAAATATCAAACGCGCCTCGCGATGATATCTCTGGTGGAATAAAGAACAAGGGGTTTGTTTCTGAAGAGAAAGTTGACGTCTCGTTTGGACACATGTAAATATCATCACTTTAGCTTAGACTAACAGATGAAATTAATCAAAGTATCACTATATGGCTTATTATATCTTCATCAAGTGTGAATAGTTTAAAACAAAACTACGAATGAATGTTAGCAGTGGTGCTAGCAGAGAATTATTGTACAACACATTTTGAAAGAGACCCTGCAATGTCCTGTATCATAGGTGTATTTCATAAAATATTGAATTATTTCTTGTATGCAATATCGATTATCGACATGTGATATTAATCATTGACAAAACTTTGCATATTAGATATACTTACACCGGAATAGTCTGACTACGGCAAAGTCAGTTATCGTTGTCACAAGTGGCGGACATAACCGTCGCTTAAACTGTTTAATCACTTGGTCCTCCTTTCATGGGATTTTATCGTCGCTAATTCTGTGCATGCATTAAGCTCTTGTGATGATGTATCATATGAAATCCCATTTTCGATCAAATTGGGTCGTGAATCACCACAATATAGCATCTTCGATATCGTCAATGACAACGGAATCTGAATTTGAGTAATTTAGAAAGACAACGGCATGTGGTAATTACAGTGTCCGTTGTCCCGTATCTCATTTTGATCGGTCAAATTAAAGACCTTATTTCGATGGTAGAACATTATTAATTGTACAATGAGTATAAAGACACTTTGATTGACAGTTCATGAAAATCTAATTGAAGCGACGGTTATGTCCACCATTTGTGACAACGGTATCTGACTTTACCGTTGTCAGGCTATTCCGGGGTGATACTGGACTCGATTTAATAATGAATTCTGAGAAGTTACACGTTGTTATGATCTTGAATTCCAAATTACGAACCTACTTTCGATGCTTGGCTTATAAATATACTATATTACACGGTTAGCTGCTCAAACCTCATCTCAAACATTGAAAAATTGCAACAAAACATTTCTCCATGTAAATATGTTATGGTGATATCCCTTAACATTTGTCAATGTTAATTTTGTGTTTAAGTTGTAAATAAGAACTTATAAAAAGAGACTTAAAACAGGTAAGTAAATTAATGGCATCATATCTATCATTTTAATCTTATCATTACAGTAATACATTTTAGAGACACCTCAACAATATAATAAAACTCTGTTTCAAAAGTTCAAAAGCCGAGTAAGACATTGTGGGCATATTTGTAATAGTTCATTTTGTATTTCTTTTGTAACTCGGCATATGTCACTTTAATAAATGGTTTATTCCATGTTTATGTTTATGTCCCGAATTTATTTGTGGGCGCGTCATCCAGAGTGTAGTGTCGCTGTCAATTTTTGGCGATATCTGACATTTCAAATTAATACGGCTTGTAGAGTTGTCTTTGGAGTATGCAGTTGTCAATCTTTTTCGGTGCTAAATTATCCGGTTCCTGGTTGTGCATTTATCATTCCACAAATCATGCATATCAATCTGAAACATACTTTCTACAGATGTTTAATGAATAGGATCAAAAATAAATTTTCTGGGCACATTTTGTGTAAAAATCTTCATGATTGTAACAGTGGCTTTTGCCTTTATGTTTTACTTCTACGTGAATTATTTTAGAATGTGAATAGAAACTAACGGTAATGTAGAATAATACTAAAAAGAATAATTGGTAACTATCATATATATATTCAATGCTTTATTGTACTAAAAATCCCTTTCGGGTGAGTGTACAGCGAATAAACATGATAAAATAAAACTAAAACTATACATACAATTACAATAACATACAATGCAAATTTTACATGGCATATAATGACAATATAATGTGATTGACTGATCATTAGATATATACCAACAACTACTATAAGCCTACATGTATATATTTATATTGATAATATAGTTGGTCTCTTTTCAATTATTTCATAAAGGTATTTTGCAAAGGTGATACACATGTTACCCTCAGCATTAAACATATAATAAGCCTTTTCTTCGGTAGTCAATACAGTTAGATTTGGGCAAATCGAGTTAAACGTATCAAAGTATTCATATCTCATTTTTTCCAATTTTTGACACTCAAAAATAAAACATCATATAAGTTGTTATAATTAGGATGACGTCATCGACGACTTCAATGTGTAGCGCCCAAAATTGAAAGGACGTTGATACATTGATCGAAGTTCGAAGATAACAAAACTCTCACTGCAGGTATTCTGACAAAAGATGCAAAGAAATTTTCGGAAAACATGAGCTAGGATGCAGGCAGATTTTATGCACCGATGAAGCTAGAAAGCTAGAACCAAATCACAAGTTAAAAAGCCAGAAATCTACGTTACTGTGTCTTGAAGGAGAGAACTTTAGCAGCAGTGCGAATTCAACTTCATTACTTCATTTATCATATTATTATTACAATTCTTTAAAACATTTTTATACACAAACCATCTTTCCTGTGATAACCATTAGATTCATTCAGTACAAACTTACCTGTTCTTGTTTTGTCATTGGTCCTAAAGGTTGATTGTTCCGTCGTTCTTGCACTGCCACAAACTGGTCGTTGAGTAGTTATCACTGGCTTTGACACCGTTTTTGTATCTATAGTAACAAATCATAAAAATGAATTACATCCAAGAGTAACATTACAGGCAAAAAAGCATGTTTATACATGGTGACCACAAAAATACAACTTCCTAAATCGGGAATAACTTTCTAAATTAAGGTGGAATAATTTCTTGGGTAGGTTGTGTTCAGTGCCTGCTTTACAAGTACACCACAATTCTCCAGGTATTGAATACCAGATAAATAGATTCCACATTAATTAATAGAGAAGTTTCCATATAGCTTTGGAATCTCGCAAATTCTCGTTTTTTCATGGGATTTTAAGAGATTTGCTCTTTTAACCTCTAACGAATAACTTTTCTTTCTTTTTAATAGCATATTTAAATTTAGTTTTCCACAATAAAATTAAGTTTTCCACAATAATAACTTACATTTATAAGTTATGTCACTTAAATCATTTTCCATGACTTTTAAAACAACTTGGGCCAAATCTCCATAGATGCAATGCTAAGATTTTTTAACACCTTGATTGATTCGTTTGATAATAGAACATTTCATAATTAATCACAACAGGTACATTGACAGGGTCATTCCATACTATGCCATTCGAGATTTAGACATATTCACCCATCACTTTTTGATAAATCATAAAAGTAAGCTACTATTGCAAGCTTTTAACATTGACGTGAATGGCAGTCTGGCCCTAGCAAAATGAAGAATGACAAGGGTAACACCTATTATTTCAGCTTTATTCAGCTACTTTGTAGAATATAGAAACTATACTATTAATGCCTTGGTCACATAGGCTCCGATTTTCACTGCGGCGCCCGACCGATGAGTATTTTGTTCAAAATCGGCCGGCGAGCCCGGGCATCGTACGGGCGCCGGGCGATGATCGCCACTCATCGGCCGATTTTTAGACATCGTACGGGCGCCGGCAGAGTTTTATCGCGGAGATAAAAGTTGCCGATGTCTTGGCGATTTTTTCTCAACCAAACTCATTGGTACCTACCCGGCCGTGTCCCGCCCGATCATCGTACGATTATCTTACGGCGCCCGGTGGCATCGCACGGTCATCTTTGGATTTTGCGTGCTGATTTGTTGGATAAATCTTAATAATGATTACTTATAAAGTGATATAAAGCTTTTAAAAATAATGAGGTAAGGAATTATAATTACTACACACTGTCAGAGATTTTTATAAAACATAAATGGAACGATTAAGCTTACTGTATATAAAACAATGGCACACATTTGAATGGCTGGGTGGGTGGGTTGATTACTAGTCGTTCTTATATTGACATTAATCGTGTATGTCTGTCATACACATTGAATAGAGTGTTACATTTTTATGCGTATATTCACTCATGCATATACCATTACAAATCATTTATTTTAAAAACCTTCGGAATGTTTTTGTGAGTACAGTAATTTCAAGGATCACAATTTAACTACGATTAATTACGTCTCAATTACAACGTAATATGCCAAAGGCTAAGGATAGAGGGGATAAGGCCAATGGGCCATATATGAGGAAGGCCTTGGGAAGACAGGTGGAAAAAGACAATAACAATGCTACTGAGCTGGTAAATGATGAAGATTTAGATGTGTCTATAGGGAAGCGGGTACTCCACTTGAAACAGAAGAAATATGCCAATTTCTTTGAAGCCATATTTTTATGACCAAACTAATTCTCTTTACAAGAACAGATGAAAGAAAGATGGAGAAATAGGGAATTTTGCTAATAGCATCGGATGGACAGGTAGACATAGTATTTTTTTATATGAAAGATCTAAAAATGAATTAAGATCAGGGTGCACTTTGATGAAAAGACCACGTCCAGTATGGCAAGTGATTTTAGACGGTCATATCTTTCACCATGAGTACCTTCTGGGCACAAATAGAGTGTTTTTATTAAAACAATATGTTTTCTTTCAATTGAAGTACCCATGATGATAAAAATATCAATCAAACAATTCGAAAAATGATGAATAGGGACCCCATGTCAACATTTTTTCTAAATATTGAACCTATTTACTCAAAAGAGGATCTTCTTTTTCTGATTCTTATTGCATGAAAACATTATTATCCTGGAAGTCCTGTTTATCAAAGTATTTCGTTTTCAAATGTTGCATTCACGCCATGTGGAACAGTCATACTGGGTAATACAGGGATTAAGTATAAATCTAGAGGCCTGTAAATCGACCGATGTCCTGGCGGGTCCCGTACGGCCATCGGTCGATAGCCTTGCGATACCCGTGCGATGTCTTTCAGATTCAATTGATTGCGGGCGCCGTACGATGCCTGTACTAATGTGACCATACTCACGATTAGATCAAGACATCGGTGAAAAGTCACCGGCGCCCGGTCGATTTATAAATCGGCCGATGACTACTCATCGGCCGGCGCCCGGCGGCTATGTGACCCAGGCATTAGGAAATCATTTTAAAATTAGAGGGCTGTATTTGTTGAGTTTACCCTGTAATTGATAAAAAAATGATGCACGAGTCTGTGGATGTAGATGTATGATTTTTACCTTTTAGAAGACATTCAATTTTTACAGATTCGAATTTTTTCTTCAAATTTCCCCGTACGTTCTCCCAGCCGTATCTAACGTTTTGCGGCTCAAATGTAAAGTCATTTCCCACGATGATTGACGAAAATACTGATCTCTTTGGTTTCACAATTTCCCGGACAAATGTCCATTTCAGTGTTAAATTATCGTATTTCAGAGACAACGTGGAGTTGACGTTGTGTACATATGCTGGGCGACTGGCGGATGCGCCTTCTTTGTGCCAGAGTCCATTGAAAACTGTGAAATCGTCTTTCCTATCGAAACCACTGACACTAAGGGCGTCGCATGTATTTTCAACTGGAATATGGAAAATCATAATGTTAAGAACATCAGACGTGTTATACCAATCGATATTGGATTTAAAATCACAGACATGATACTCTGAATTATAGTCCAAAATTGTTATTACATACTATTACCTGAAACACATGAAAATGACAAGCCAGGCCAATCCATGAACGTATTGTCAGTAGCTGTGTACAACTGCACTGGATTTTGGTTGCTTCTTGGAAATATGTCACCATCCGTTGCTATTATGACCCGACCCCTTAATCCAAATATGTCTATTAAAACATCACTTTGCCGTATTTCTGTTGCAATAACCCAAATATTCGGAAGCACATTGTATAAATAGTACGAATAGGCGACTGTTGATGTTTCGCATTTGTAGACAGGTTCGCCATTGAATTCCCGAGTGCGATCTAAAGTCCAAACACCGAACCATTCATTGGATGCCGCTACTGCTTCTAACATTGTTTGTTTTGAGTCCAAATATAGTACAGGACATGGTTGACATTCTGTAAAACATATGAAATAATACGATTTAGGATGAGCAATATGAAAACCTCCAAAACAAAGTATGCAATATAGTATAACTGTATTTTCTTGAATTACCTAGTCATGATAATTCCTCAAAATATATTAATTGCTTATTCGGCAGAACGGACTTCTCGGTATATTTCTAAAGATATTTCCGAATGAACTTCATTCATATTTCCCATATTTATATACTTTACCCGGAGGTATTTGGTCCTTGACAACTGGGGTCCGATGAGTGGAATTTTCTGTTGTTACAGCAGCAACGCCTCTTGGCGTAATATGTACTGTCGTTTTTGAAACACCAAACTCTTGAGTTTGTGTAGTAACTGTCGCCCTTGAGACTGTTGTTTCCTCTGCTACAGCACATTAATAAAAATAACCAAAAGAAATGAATATCGTTCATTTTTGCATTACCTTATCACACATAGAGTAGTACTATTATATCTGTTCGTGCATTCTCATTCATCCTAGATTTTGAAAAAAACTATAAAGCTCGTATTTTAGCATTTGAAACCCATTTTCTGACTTATTGGCTTATCGTTTTAAATATAGAGAAGCACTAGCTTACTTCTAATAATGCACGATATATTCGTATCTTTGAATCTTTTAGGACCTCCCTTGATGACGTTCTTCCAATCGTATCTTGCGTTTTGTGGTTCAAACGTAAAATCATATCCAGCAATGGTTACATCAAATTTCGACCCACTTTTTCTTATAGTTTCCCGAATAAATGTCCAAGTTTGTGTTGAGGTATCATACTTTAGTATTAATGTAAAGTTGTCGTTGTGTGTGTAACTTGGACGATGGCCAGATGAACCGTCTTTGTGCCAGAGTCCATTGAAGACCATAAAGACCTCTTTGCGATCAAAACCACTTACAAAAATGTCTCTGCATGAATTTTCAACTAAAAGTACCACAAATCTGAATGGAGCGATTCAAATAAATTTGATTTTTCACTTTCACATGATCTCAGCATAATAGTGTAAAAGAGTAGGAAGGACAACATTTTAAAACACAAAAGCAAAGCAACATAACAGCATAAACCATCGGAAACATTTGAAACCAATGTGAATCGCTTCATATCAAATGACAATACTGTATGTCTCATGTGTCTAGCAACAAAACAATTGGGGAATAATGTCTAATCACAATCAAAGCACAAAATAAAGTTAACTTACCTGATACGCATGTAGAAAAGAGTCCAGGCCACTTTATAACTTTCTCTTTTTCTTCAGAATATACCTGCATGGCAGTTTGGATATCTTCTGGATACATGTCACTGTTCTTTGCTATTGCAACGCCCTTAAATCCTTCTAATTCTCTGATTGAATCAGTTTGGCGTATTTCACTTGCTATAACCCAAGAATCTGACATCATTTTGTAAAAATAAAGTGTACTGTTCTCTGTTGAGGTTTCGTGTTCGTAAACAGGTGCCCTGTTGAAGGTCTTGTTTTGGTCCAAGACCCAGACCCCAAACCAATTATCACTGGACGTCGCAATTTCTGCAGACATTTTCATTTTCGAGTCCAAGTAGAGTGTAGGACATGGTTGACGTTCTGGAAAAAATAAGAAATTCAATGTTATCAAATCCCGCATGCAGCATTTGCACTGCTATGAAGTTAATGCGTGGTAAAACTGCCATAAAAAATCAACGTCCAAAGAACACAGTCTAGGATAAATTTATCATTATCAGGTTCAGGATATTGCGATCCTTGGTAAATATTATATATATCTGGCCTTGGGGCCTCTTATCCTAGAGCAGATATATCATATTGGGCTCGGGGTTGGAAATCCTATATGAGGTTCAGGATATTGGAATTATCCCGAGGCAAATATAGTATATCTGCCAAAGAGCCGTAGGTAGTGACATATTGTTAGTCTCCGACTTTTTGTGGAAGGTGTTCGGCGTTTGGCGTTCGGAGTATGGAGTTCGGCGTCTGTGACACATAGCAGGTGATGACATTTTGCATTTAAATCCTTAAATTATATATTTGTACACTGAACCTCATGCGTTTTCCTGGGTTGATGCCCTTTGTGTTTTCCCATCCATAGTTTTACATGTCTCTGCCCAATCAAATTAAAAGTATAACATTCAGCGTGACTGTTCGGAAATGTAAAGTACCTACCACGAGCTTCTCTTTTGTCTCTTTGTAGAAACGTTCTTGGTTTTCTTAAATAAAGCCGAGAAAAATATGTGCTCTGTGGTTGCCTCTTTGCAAAATCAAAGTGCAAAGTTCCAGATGTGTTTTTTAAACCTGAGTTGTGTTTTTCATATGGGTTTATCATCCCGTTATAATCGTCCAAATAGTTTGGCACTTCATTGTCATGATGTTTGTCAAAAACTTCTTTTCCGAAGACATCAGCTGTCATTAACATTAAATATTTGACTAGAACTATGCGCAATACTGTTTCTTTCATGTTGCGTTAATTTCTGTTCCTTACATCCTATCTTACGCCAAGTTTTACTTATGATGTTAAATTGCATCGTGCAAAATAAGTGTTATATTTTACACCATCAGACACTTATGAGACCTTTTCCCCACAAATTATGAACCAACATTAACATCTTGCTGTGGGCGTCTTAATATTTTAACAGATGAATATAGACTACTCATTTATATAAATGCACATATTTACTAATCTACTTTATCTAATGTTTGATCTTCCAAAATACATTCATAATTAAGTTATCTCTAAATCTTGTTGGATGTTTTCTAGAAATAAGACAAGCGAAGATGAGATAACCATTTTGATCAATGTGTTTCTTTTTGATCACAACACGAGCGTCCGCAATTTAAGTGATTAATAAAAGTCATAAACACCAAGCCTTTGAATAAACTTAATAATAGAATTTGAAAACATTTGATTCTTCAAATGTACATGTATTTCTAATGTCGCCAATATAGCCTAGGTATGCAAATACTTTAAATGTTTACCCTTTCCAAGCAGAGCCCAATCGATTATGTCAGAATTCCAAATTTTTCCACAAATGATCGTTGACATGGAAGAATTAAAACATGGGAAATCACCAGGACATGACTTAAATACAAATGAAATGTTAAAATCAGAGAGCGACTCCTCGTCATTCCATTATCTAAGCTGTTTAATTCTATTCTCACCAGAAGACTTTTCTCTCAAAAAAGTCCCAATCACTATAATTGGCCAATCAATCCTAGCCCCGATCCTACCTAACTAATAGGAACAATAATGTCCAGATCCAATGCAGTGAAGTCGGTCAAATCAACTCCGGCGTCCCCCAAGGGTCCATCTGGGGACCTATTTTCTTCCGACCTACTATATCTAAATGACATAACATATGGTTTAAACTCAAGATGCGTTTTCTACGCTGACGGTACGTCACATTGTTGAACCAGTTGATCCAAACAGTAGGACGGCACATTGAAAAAACCCATTGTTGTTTACCAAACTTTATATCAAAGTGGTGTAGCGATATATGACGTCATCGCACTACTTGTTTCTGGTCCGTTGGCTACCATCTTTATGAGGTCGATTGAAATGGTAAACATTTAAACATTTGAAAATGAAAGTGACGGATAGAATTCTACTGATCTCTTCTTTCGAACTATCTCATTTTAATGTTAGAAAAATGCACATGAATGAGAGTAAAATGCAATCAAACACGTGAGACTTTCACTCATTTTGTACCCTATATTCCTGCGAAATTAACATTGATTAAACATCATTTTTTTAAATGTCTGAATCGCTTAAAAGTTAAAGTAAATACGATATTTTATAAGAACCAAATATCAATCAGTTCCGATAAAATGCCTTCATTTGTTACATTTTCTGCGAAAACGGTTGGGCATAATTTCGGTAGAAATGTGTATTTTACGACGTTATATGCATGGTTGAATCCAAAAAGTAGCGTCATTCAGTAAAATTATCATGTGTGCGTAAAAGTATGTAGATATTTCATTTTGAGTAACTAAATTATCAAATTGACATATATATTGTCTTTGGAACATCACTTTTACACTGAATTATTTTCATAATGATTGCTCGTTTTGTTCCATGATAAAATGCAATTTTAGACCTGCAGCTGACTCATATCAAAAATTATTTAGCAATGAGTGCAGGCTCACTGATTTTTAAAATAGATGAAATGAACAAAAAGGGAAAGGGTTATGTGTGCGGTAAAGCATGTGGATATTAAACTTTCAATTAATGAATTACAATTTTGATGTTTATATGATCTGAAGAACATCACCTTTTCACATAATTATTTTTATAATAATTGTTCGATTTCTTTCATGATAAACTGCAATTTTAGAACCGACATGTATTAAAGAAGTATCGGACAATGTATTAATCTCACTGATTTTTAGGATAAAAAATGAGCAAAAGGAGAAAAGGTCACGTGTGCGTAAAAGCGTGTCAGTATTTGGATTTGAAGAAATGAATTAAAGTTTTGACATTAATATTATTTGTGAAGCATCACCTTAACATAGAATTATTTTTATAATTTTTGCTTGGTTCCTTCCATGAGAAAATGCAATTATAGACCTGGCACGCGTATCAAAGAAGTATTTGGCAATTGCCAGTCTCTTTGGTTTTCAAGGTAAATGAAATAAGCAAAACTGGAAAAGGTCATGTGTGCGTAAATGCGTGTCAGTATTTAATTTTGAAGAAATGAATTAATTTTTTGACATTAATATTATTTGTGAAGCATCACCCTACGCAGAATTATTTTTATAATTTTTGCTTGGTTCCTTCCATGAGAAAATGCAATTATAGACCTGGTACACGTATCAAGGTTGTATATAGCAAATAAGTTCGGTCTCCTTGGTTTTCAAGGTAAATGAAATGAGCAAAACTGGAAAAGGTCATGTGTGCTTAAAAGCGTGTGAGTATTTAATTTTTGATAAATTTTTTGACATTTTTGACATTTATTATATCTATGGGAATAATCTTTACACAGAATTATTTTTTGATTCAAATTTAGTTCCTTCTATTAGATAGGCATGGCTAAGATTGGTTCATATGTATAACTGTAATGAGATTTTTATGTTTGAATTGAACAAAAAGAGATAATGTCACATGTGCGTGAATGCATGTCAATATCTTATTTTAAAACTGAATTATGATTTTGACATTATCATAAGCTTTAAACCATTGCCTTTCCACATATCTATTTTCTTAACATGAGAACTTTAAACACGTTCTAAATAAGAAAGGTCAATGTGAGTTGAATTAAAATTAAAAAATCTGCGCATTTTCGTTATATTACGTCATACGGGATTTCGTGCTTTAAATGGGCTGAAGGTGAAGAATGGCACGTGTACGAAAACGTTTGTTACCAATTCATCTTTCAAAACACATTTTTATTTTTTACATATCTATGATCTATGATATATAACCTATGTAAAGAATTATTTTCAGATTAATTGCTAGGTTAATTCAATAAGCAATTCTGAGGTATATTTGAACTTTAATTCCATAGCAGATGTAATTCGGACAAAAGTTTTAAAATTCAAGAAGAGATTAAATCAATCAAAATAAATCTTATGATTCAACCCAGTCGACAATACTTGGTTCAGTTCTTTCATTTTCAATCATACCATGGTCATAGATTAACATAAGTGACCGTTCGAAAACATACCATTTTTGTAGAAAATGAAAGAAAATCGCGTTATAACATGTATCGAGTAATTGCCAAGTTTACGTCTTAAGTTTGATGTGGTAAACAGCATTCTTCATTAAGTCACACATATAAGTTGAGGGAAGCAAAAGATCATTTTAAAAATGAAACATATCAATAGATATTTTTAACATTGAAATACTTTAAGAAAGTAAGCTTATACTAGTAGATTTGTTGGAACTAGCTGTTTGGAATTCATCAACTTTTCTCCACAGGATCATTTCGTAGTACAAATGCAGGTCATTCAAAGGAAATATAGGTTTCAACATCCCCGTCTATGAATATTGATCTTTTTCAGACAGCAAAGGTAAGTTTAAAACAGAAATACTTCTTACGAATCCAAATTACATTTTAAACTTAGAATTGTGATCTACGATCTTATGGGTATGTGACAAATTTGATTAGATACATTCACTCAGCACGCCGTTAAACATATAATTAACTTTACAAGCGTAACTATAGGTAACTTCGATTTTAGTATGTTCAAGTTCAAGTTCTGTAGTCTCGAGAGTCAAACGATTATCATAGTTCATTTCGCCTGCTTTTAGAATTGGGAAAACAAAGGCAAGTTTTATGTTTTATGAACATTCTGATTTGATAGCAAACTTTATTTTTGAGTGTATTAAATCAAATAAAGCTTATTGCGTCCGGACCTGTACGTCTCCCAATTAAAGGCAAATGTGCCGTCAATTAAAGAAACATGCACAGTGGTACACCGTTTTTGGAAAACATAACACTGATAATAAAAAATCATCAATTGTTATGAAATTTGCACCATCATTAAAAAGAATCTCGAATTTCATGATGACAAAATATCGGATATATATGACAAGAAATAAAAATTTGTTACATTTTTTCCCAAAAAGTTTTAAAATAAAAATAAACTAAAAAAATAATATTTTCGCGACAAAAAATAAATAGTTCAACTGTTTTGATTCTACATGACGTTTTCAAAGAGTAGAGAGCTAGATTCAAAGCACCGTTCCTGCAAGTTTCAAATGAAAATATTAAAAACTGCGCGAGTAAGAGGACCGCAACTTTTTATGTCTACACTGACAAAAACTTGAAATTCCCGTTGTAAAGATATAGTCCCACGCGGAAGTGCACGTCATAAAGCTGATGGGTTAAGGCAATGTGCCGTCCAACTGAAAAGATCACCAAACAAACAGCCAACTTCTTCAGAAAGACCCAATTCATATCCAAAGATGGCACCGGAAATTGAAATTGGGCCTCACTTTTGCACCTCAAAAAAGTCATGAACTTATCTTTAAAACAAATAGACAAATTGATTAGCATATTCGAATTTTGTCTTAAATGACACTCCTATAGAAAAAGCTAAACATCATAAGCACATCGGTATAATATTGGGAAAAAACCTAACCTTCAAAAGTCATATTGAATATTAAGAATTGATGAAACAATTATAAAATCAACTTATGGCACTTACGCATAGATTTAATTCCAAATACTTGGAAAACTTTATGATTTTTAACACCATTCATTTATCTTGACTACTGTGACGTTATGTATGATGCTGCTCCGGCGGTAACAGGACAACTCATCCCTAAGACAACTCATCCCGAGACTTCTCATCCCAAGACATCTCATCCCAAGACAACTTATTCCAAAGACATCTCATCCCAAGACAACTCATCCCAAGACATCTCATCCGAGACAACTCATCCCTAAGATATCTCATCCCAAGACAACTCATCCCAAGACAACTCATCCCAAAGACATCTCATCCCAAGACAACTTATCCCAAAGACATCTCATCCCAAGACAACTCATCCCAAAGCCATATCTCATCCCAAGACAACTCATCCAAAAGATATCTCATCTCAAGACAACTCATCCCAAGACATCTCATCCCAAGACAACTCATCCCTAAGACAACTCATCCCAAGACATCTCATCCCAAGACAACTCAACCCAAAGACATCTCATCCCAAGACAACTCATTCCAAGACATCTCATCCCAAGACAGCTCATCCCCAAGACAACTCTTCTCAACTTGAAATATAACATAATTTTATAAATTAATTTCAACTTTTGAAAGAAAATTTGAAAAATATTTAGAGATTTTAGCAGTTAGCACATTGTGATTGGCCATGGAATATCTTTGTTTTTATTATATTTTTGTATTTTCTCATGCTGTATTTTCTCATACTCGTATTTTTGTATTTTGTAATGAGTTTAGTCTCGTTTTAGTTAATTCTTGTTGATTGATTGAGATAAATATAAACTTGTTCAAATTAATATATACTTATAATATATTAAATCAGAGATCATCAAGTGTGTCAGATTAGGATTAACTCACAACATGTCATATTTGGCTTAATCCTAAATAAGATTTCAAATTTCAAACTTTGTTGTTTTGGAATGATCTGTCTTAGGGATGAGTTGTCTTGGGATGAGTTGTCTTAGGGATGGTGTGTTGTCTTTGGATGATTTGTCTTGCGACGAGTTGTCTAGAAACCGCTCCAGCCATGAGCCTAGCTCAGTTGGATAAGCTTCATTATAGGCCAGCTTCCATTTGTTCTGGTGTAGTGCAAGGCGCGAGCACCGAAAAAACTCTTGCAATACATGTACTGAACTTTTATTACAATTATTACATTTTATCTCTCAGAGTTCTTTTCATAATTAAGGAACGAGTTTTTACACGTTCCCTCCTCTAAAGTGTAGTAAACGATTATTATAAATCTTAGATTCTTAATATATTTCACATTTGAACATGCTACGTCAAGAGCGGACGTACAAGACATTGTTTTTTGTAAAAAGATTAAAAAGAGCCCGAGATTAATTTACCTTCAAGAGGGGAATAACACCAGGGTTCAAAGAAAAAATATGTCTATACTATAAATCTGTATTGAGAAGACATCGTAGCTGATTGGCCAAATCGACAGTCTGGCGGTTTCAAAAACAAGCCTCGAAAAATATCAATGAAATGGCTAATTGGTCCACTAAATGGAAACTCAAATTTAAGGCATCTAAGAGTAAGGAGGTTATCTTTCAATCTAAACACACACGAAAAGTTAAGAAACAAATTCCAGCAACAATGAATAATGAGCAAATACCTCTTGTAAATAGCCATAAACATTTAGGCATCATTTTAGACAAACACCTTAGCTTTGAAGAACACATTAACTCAGTGATTACTAGGTGTAATAAAATGTTAAATCCATTAAAAGCACTCAAATTTTCAGTAAGATCAAAACACTTACAGACAATTTACATGGCATTCATTCTCCCACATCTCGAATATGGCAATATTATTTTTGACAGTGCAAATCTAAACCTCTTAGCAAGTTTAGATAGAGTCCAATATAGAGCGGGTCTTATTGTAAGTGGTTGCATCCAAGGGTCAAACTCTGAGAAGGTGATGGCATGTCTTGGATGGAGATCCTTATCCAATCGAAGAAAAGAAAAAAAACTAGTTTTTATGTTTGACTCTGTAAATAATTATAAGATGCCTTCATATGTTTCAAATGTTTTTGAACAGTATAAGAATCAGGTAACTCACCAAAGACTTCGTCGTAGCAATGATTTTAAGATCCCATTCAAAGCATCTGCTAAACTTAGAAAGTTTACAGCTTTATCCAGTATTAAATTATGGGATAATTTACCTGATGAACTGAAACAAGCACACTCACGCAACTCATTTAAGTATAAAATTAGAACATTTTTGAATGGGAAAAAGAAAGAATTCACAACCCCAAGATTAAACCTATCCAGAGATAAAGAAATTGTCTTAAATAAAACGAGATGTGATCTCATTTTTAGGCAGCATCTTTTTACACATAACTTCAAAAATATTCCAAATGCCAAATGTAAATGTGGTCACTCTACTGAATCAACCAAACACCTATTGCTCCATTGCCCTCTTCTTAACACTCAAAGACTCAATTTTCACAGAGAACTAGGGGGACTGCCATCCTTTAATTTAAACTCTTTTAATAATAGAAAACAGGAGGACAGGGTAGACTTTTTACTTTTTGCAGATCCTTCTCTTGACACAATTACAAATAAAAAGGCTATTGAATTAACAGCCGAGTTTTTACACTCTATTGTCAAGGAAGTTAAATAGTCCAATATTCATTAATTTATACATATATCTCTGACCTGTCTTCATGTTTTCAAGATTATTTTCATGTTCATAAATATGTTCTATATCTATCATTTTTACATTATGACCTATTTTAACTTATATTGTAACTACTTCAACAGGGCCAATAATGCTTCTGCGTAGGCCCTGTATCTGTTTGTATGATGTATTATGAAATAAAGGAAATATAAAAATTAAAAAAAAAAAAAAAAAAAAAAAAAAAAATTGTTAATTTCATGTTGATATCATCACTGCTACCCACCTAATTACACAGACGTATCGTCGGTGTATCATGGCGGAACTTCCTCCGGGACTAGGTTTCGGTAAGATTTTTTTATTTCCCGTTTCCCGATTTACACCTACTTATAAGTCACGTTGTGGATAATAATTTGGCTCGAAGTTAAGGACGATAGTCTAGTTTGAGAATGTGTCGATGGTTTTAGGTTTTATATGTTAACAAAGACACAATTCACGTATTTAGTCCCTCGCTTTTCTTACACTGACGATCGGATCGGCGAGGGAAAACTTTACACTTTCTTCACTCGATTAACCAACTTCAAAAATGTTCCGAGTGAGTGCAAAGTTTTACAACTTTTGAATTTAGCGCCATTAAATAAGTATGGCCAAGTGTGCGCATGCGTCCTTTTATTTCCGGAGATCTCATTTCCGTCTTATTTCAATCTTTCAAAATTTTATCGAAACTTCAATAATAAGTACTATAATCATGAAGGTTTGGACAATTTAAAACGTATATAATGGAAGAGGAAAAAACCTAGATGAATGAATATGTGCTAGAAGGGCTAGGTTTTATCAGAAATGTTTGAAGCTCATTTTGGAACTTGATGTCAAAAATCGTAAGAAAAATCATGGGCAATTCGGAAAGTACACCAGATCATAGGCATGATATGCGGGCAAACAGCATGCCGATTCGTCTTCCATTGCCAGAATCAGAAGAGTTGGAGCGACGCTTTACAAAAGTTCTCGTAAGTACAGAATGGATTGTTCTAAAACTTGTGTTGTTTGTGCATGAAATGACGATACTGTTCAAATCTCAATTACGCCTGTTCAAATATGTAGAAATAAAATTCACTGTTACTTACCTTACCCTAAGTTATTTTAAGTGAAATAAGTTTCAGCCTGTTGAAATTGCCAAAAAGCCTGTTGAAAAAATATTTATTGAAACCCCTGACATGACAAGTCATTATATTTTGTAAACTTGACCATCATACTTGAGATTGTCAATTACATTTATTACATTATGTGAAATTACATATGTTTAGATTAGTTTGTAAACTGGATTATCACATTTGAATCTGTTTATTTATAATTTTGGATATTTATCACCGCTTCAAAAATTAAACTATAGTTCATTCATGGAATTCTGGAAGTATCTTGGAACTCTGACGTCACTTGAACAGAGGAAGAAATTTTCTCAAGAAAATGGCCAAGTTTCTTACTGTATTTGGATCCAATTTCGAGAATCTGCCTACTGACTAGGCGAATATGCACACATTTGACTTCAAAAAATAAGTGATGTTAATATGAGTAAGTAGACCAAATTGATTTTTTGACTGTCGGACAGCATGTGAAAAATATTTTATGTCTCTGTGCATTCATGTGAACAAAATGAGGCTTTTCCTTAGATTAGCAATTAGAGTCAAAGTTACATATCAAAATAACCCCAAAATTAAAAAATAGCACCAAAGTTTTACCTTTTCACTTAACTTCTGAATCTGTCTCTATTATTCTCTGAGGGGGTCACAGCATTTGCGCTAGACATTTTCAAATCTGAGTCTCATCAGAATAGAATTTTAAGAAATGCAAAATGAGGTATGAACGATCTTCAGTGATCATCACAGCAGAGAAAATACCATGAATTAGGATCCACGTTAAAAGGGGAATAGCGGTAGATTAGGAATAATTCCATAGAAAAATCCAAAATAAATCATTGGTACCTTAAACCTGTCCTGGAGATCGGCTATGACCAGTGTAGTCATTAACGGCCTTCCCGGCGGACATTGTCCATTAGATTGAGCCCCGGTCCGGCAATGTTTGCAAAAGTGCTGGTCATTTAGATCAGCATGATATTGAATCGCCTACCTAGCAGTAGAATTCATGTCCGTGCTGTTAGTGTCCTAATAATTCGAGTTTTCGATGATTAAATCGCCAGATTTAAGTTATTAACAAGAATTCATGAGAACATTTTTTTGTTTTTAATTTTTTTTCTAAGAACAACCGATTATAAACCGGTATAGCGAAATGATACATTAAATTACCGAACATACAATATAAAATGTTTAGAAAGTCGATATAGCGAATCAATTTCTAGCTAGTTTCTGGCTGACCAGCAGACAAAGAAGAAATAGGAAACAGACTAAAAGTGCTTCTGTGACCTGAGTGGAATCCTTGGAATCCATGGAGGATATCCAAGATATTGAAACAAATGTCACAGTGAATGTAACCATGCCAGAAGCAGATACAAACACAGAGGCTACATGTTCTTTAGATCATTCTGATTATGACAGTTGTGATGAGTTTGATGACACTGACAATGATTATGACTCGGAGAATGAACTTAATATGGCCATTGGGGACCTTTTGGGACCTTTGATTTAATGATACTGATTTCATTTTAGACATGACTCATAAAACAATCCGTTGATTTATTGTTCTTTATTGTTTAACAAGATTTTGATTGACCAGTAACATTTCATACGGACCAGGGACTTTTTTTGAGGTGCTGGTCATTTTGTCCAGCCTATTTTGATACGGACCACTTAACTTTGTTGATCAACAGGTCCGTATGACCAGTCTCTTTTTCCCCCTTAATGACTACACTGGCTATGACCTGCCATCACTATATCTTTATTTTGTTGATACATATCGGAATTTATGCTTCATATCCATTTAACCAATCCACAAAAAGTAAATAGATAATATATGCTTCATATGCATTTAACCAATCCACAAAAAGTAAATAGATATCATACTAGTAGTTGTTTAATCGTATAAATATTATGAGCATTCTTCCTTTAATCTGAATATACTGCCAAGCTTGCTCATATAGCATTAGCCATGCATGGATTCACATGAGATTTTTGAAGAGGCTTGTACCCCCCTGAAAATCCAGTTGCACCCTACTTGAAAATCAGGGAAAATAAGTCTATTTTACCAGTTCTAGACATTGTCGAAGACCTCAATTGCTACGTCTTTTAACAAGGAACAGAATGAAATCTTCAGTTACATATTTTGCCATATCACTCTTTTTTCCTAGTAGTATCAGATCGAGTGAGCAATATGGTTACGGTTTCAATTTTAGAATATATTTTTTTTTATCACATTTCATGTCATTTTTATTTTCTAAAAATACCTAAAGTGCATACTTTATCTGAGGAAAACTACAGATTTTTTACAATAATGTTTTTTTCTCTAAATCGCAGTGTTTTGGAAGATTTATATTTGACATTGTAAGGAATATATTGGTTGGTGGTCAATTGTATATGTTGCTTTTAATTTTGTCATCCCATATAGATCTTATTTTGCCATTGACTTTGTAGTTTGAGTAAACCAACAAACAGTATTTTTTGATTAACATTTATTATTTCTAGGTCTAGGTCAAATATTTATTCAGACATTTCAGTGAAATTAATTAAAAATACTAAAACTAGTCTATTGCATTGTGCTATATTACAACTCCATTAGAATTTATGGCATAGTGTAATGTAGACTATATTGATACATACATGAGGCATGTAAGGTCATCCTATACTTGATGTAAATACTGGAGTAAACATTTATCAAACCAGATAGCTTGTTCTGAAGGACTGTACTGTTTGCGTTTGGTTCTCTGTTTCTAGGATAATGAGATCAAATCCATTCTCTCACAGATGAATGGAAAATAGAGAAATAATAGAGAAGAGTTTGGATACATATGATCAAAGTTGATGAGTTGCTTGTTTCTCCTTTAAGTGAACAATTAGTTAATAAATCAAAGTATCTGTTGTTATCATATTTGTTGGAATGTTCCATGTTATTCAGTTCATTGTTTTAGGCATGATTTCCACTGAATCAGCAGGTCCATTAATCAAATTATACATTGATCACTGCATATATAGGTTCTGTCAGGCTCCCAACCTCCCACACATAGACTCTGTAGTAAACAGTAGTGGAAAGAGAGTACATTGTGCTTCATAGATCAAAACTCTTATACAGCCAAATCAGCCTCCCTTTCTGTGTATCATTATGTATCATTACCCAGAGGTCATTTTGAGTATTCCCTGAGGATGTATTTTTGCAGTTGAATTGATTTGTATGTGATTTGTGGAGAATTCTTCAAAAATGTTGCATAAGGGTTTTCTCATAGTTTTAACCTTTGGATTAGGTTTCCCGTTAATATAGTGATTTTCCTCAGAAGGGTTTATGCATTTATTCCTAGTTACTCCTAAATGTGTAGGGTTTATGTTGTATTTGGAAAGACGTTGTAACTGTGTTATTTCACAGCCTGTAAGACTTAGAAGCCACTACTAATCTAGCTCCTATGAAGATATCCTGGTCTCACATCATGTAAATAGTTGAACTGTGTTGCTAAACTAATCTCTTCCTTATTATTTGGAGGAATAGAGAGTATGGGTGGAGGGGATGAGACTTTAAGTATTGCCATTATATTCACTCTTTTTGTTATTGTTATTTTTTGTTATGTCCCATTGTTTGATGACATTTTTCAGTGGTTGGTGTTTGGCATTCGGCATGTGGTAGTTGGTGTTTGGCATTTGGCATCTGTATCAAATGGCGGGTGGTGACATTTTGCATGTTATTGCCTTGTCTAAAAGTGCAGAGGTCTCCAAAAAGAAGAGTAACATTGCTATACATATTCAAATCAAATATTTGTCTTTGACCTTCATTGACTTGTTGTTCTTCATGTACTGCAAACTGCAGTCTATCATTATTTAGAATGTCATCTGAAATTATTCATGCTCATGTCAGTCTTTATTTTCTATAGAAATTCAACATGAATCAGTTTATTCTGATTTGTTATTGTTATTTGCGCAAAATGATTGATACATACAAGTACATTTGTATTGATTAATTGGTCTTCATAGACTTCATTTGTGATCAGATACAAATCACAGATAGATTGTATGCTGTGTAATGTTAATGAACTTGTGAATCAGTCAATATTACTTTGGCTTTTACAAATCCACTGTGTTACATGAGAGGCCCCCAATAGCAAATGGTGTGAATTATGTCATGTTAAATGATTTCAATTTTTGTGTCTCATCACATGACAATGACAGGAAATAGTTTTCTTTTTGAAAGTCTTGTTAAAAGGAAAAACTGTCATTTTTCTTATTGAAAGTCTTGTTAAAAGGAAAAATTCTGTCATTTTAGAACCACAGGTTGACTTTTTATTATATTGGGAAAACATCTATTCACCTAGTTGGTGATCACATTGGGTGCACCTTTGGCCCCCTGTAATGAATTAAATTAAAATGTTATGTTTCATGATTCATCATTTTGTCCTGCAGGTTATAATGGACCACACCATGATTAATGGATGTAATACTGTTTATATCTGTGTGAATTCACCGTCATAGTACCATAATGTAAGACACCCATGGGAATTGTCTTTTGTATTCAAATTTGTCCAATCTATCAGGTCTGTTATAACTTTCACTAAATGTAGTTTAATTCTAATTTCTGTTTTTATGGTGTTTTTGTAACATTTTGTGATTTTGAGTACACATTTATTTGTTAAATATGACATTTTGTTATATGTATATAGAATTATATATTTTTGAATTTCTGTTTTATCATAATACTCATTTAAAAATATCACTCAGATTTATTTAAGAATTTATGTGTCTGGTCTGAATTTCAATTCTTCATGTTCTTGTAATCTTCACATATTTCATTTTGAATAGAATCATCATCCTGTTCTTAGTGAAAGTCTCCTCCCATCCCCCTGTCCCTAAACACCATATGGATACTTACAAGATTAGAAAAGTCAGACATTTGTTTTCATTCATCAGTTAATTGACCATTCAACTAGAGCATTAAGCAGATAATAGAATTAGATATTTGTAGCCATTTGATTTCTAGGAAATATCTTATTTGAACTTTTACTTGAATTAAGCAATTGACTGCTGTATAAAACACGATCCTTATAACCCCTATGTTGTGAATGTTTTTTCTCATCCTCACATCATTATTGTTTTTAGTGATTAGTTGTACTTAAGTCACACCCTGACAGTTAGTGCTTAGAGTTCTGATCCTAAACATTCTTTACTTCTGACTACTGCTTTCTGACTAGAGATATCATACTGTTTATAACATGCGAGGTGTAAATGTTATCATTGGGATAAGATAAGTACAAGTGTTATGGTCAAGACAAGCCCAGTAGACACTACAACAAAACCAAACAATAAATTGTGTAATCTCTTCCAAAAGTATTTCTATATGATCATCCTGCACCCTGAGACACATCCTACTATTAATTACTATGTAGATGAAGCTCTCTCTTAAAGAAGCTCAAATTATTGAAAAGGGTAGACATCCTTTGGAACAAACACCAATTTTTTCCAGACTTATTTTTTCCTGTTGTGATTACATTGATGTTGATGAAGCTCTTTTGAATGACACAAAATCAAACCCTTCGAAAGGGTTGGTTATGATATGCCAAAACAGTCCTTTGAGTAAGAACTGGTACTTTCTAAGAATGCATGCTAAATAAAGAATACAAACCTAAGTCACTTATCTCTATAAAACAGCCTTGTAAACATGACAGATCTGCTTTTATGAGGACAATTAGCCTAACCAGAGTAAGGAATATTGTTAAAGCAATAAACATGGTCCTGATATAGTCAATACAGCCTACCAGGTATACAACACTGCAGTTCTATCTATCTGCACTCAAATATCAGGAGGTCTTACTTTTGACATTTCTCCTGGCAGATAAGCAGAAACATGGGATGCTTTCCATCTTCCTTCAGCAACCCTTCTCATATTGACAACTCTTGTTAGGCGTTACTGAACTAGTGAACACTCATCTAGGAAATTTGGCATACATATGTGTTTTATTGTGGTTTATGCATTGTACAGTATTATTAATACATCACTCAGGGGTTGGTTCAAGACATCATTCTGTCGAATAGTGTAACTGTTATTACTCTCATTTACTTTGGGAGGGGTAGGGGGCTATTTTACTTGATAATACATGATAACTTGTATTTTTGTATTTTACATTTGATGATGTAATTAGTATTGTATTTTATAACAACTTTATTTTTGTATTCAGTAGTTAGTTTAGCCTTAGGTCCGTTTTGTAGATTGTAGGCTTAGTTTTTTAGTGACTAATATGTCATTGTAATGACATCAGAGAGTCAATAAAAGATATATATATAACAATATATTTTATGATTTTGTTTTTAAAACAAAAATTGGAGTATTTTCATTAAAATGTCAATTTATCACTTTATTATTCATGACAGTGGTTATAATGGTTATTTGACTATTGCACATATTTCCAGTGTGATTTTCAACAATATTTTACACGAACCTTAAAAAACAGGTTAGGAACCAGGTCAATATCGATGTTCTCTCAAAACATTGATAACTTTTCAATATGGCCTCTCCATTAAGATGTAACTTGACTGGTACTCCCGCAAATGTGATTTTTTGGAAGAACATCGTAAACCTTGTCTTTTATTTGACTGACATTCATATATTGACCCTACACCTTATTCTAGTGAAATAGCTTTTGGCACAACATTTTGCCGTCAAGGTTAATTCTCACTTCCTCAACCACACATAACCAGAAACCACCTTCTTCCTGGTCTGATGTGGTCTATGTAGGTTTATGACTTTTTCATGTTTTTCACTTCACACTGATTTATAAGATAAGACATTGTGGTTTTTAATAAAAAATGTGGTTCTTGGATATGATATTGTATAGCTGCAGTCAGTACTTTAGTTTTATTTGTTTCTAACATGTTTCTATTGAAATTACCTTATATTTTAACACATGTAATTCTTGTATGTTATGAAATGTTCTGTACTACATTCCTATACTGGAAAGGCAAAGTGGTCCATTCACTTTCATCAATTAAAAAATACCTAAAGAAACTGTTCTCTTTGTTATTTAAAAAAAGGTTTTCTTAATTATAAGGTCAATGAAACCTTTTAAGTGGAACACCTAGATGTAAGTAGAACTCCTGTGTTAGTGGAACACTTCCAGAGTCCCAAGACCAGACCAAATTACTTAATGTTCAATGAACTTCTATAAGTGGAACACCTACTTAGTGGATCACCTTTTAGAGGTTCAGAAGATGTTCCACTTAGACAGGTTTTGCGGTATTCAGATTGACAAGATGACATGACAAAGCATATTCTGGTATGACTTTCAAAATAAGTATTCATGTTCTTTTGAATCATACAGTTGTATATGTTGTCTCCAAAATCTACATACAAAACACACTATTCTTATCACCTCAGATTGCCAGATAGAATAAATAAAATACAGCATCTCAAAGCCATTTTTATCACTTTCTATGTTTATTCTTCCCTGGTCAAGTCAATATGGACCATTAGATTTAATGTTGGATGTTGGTTTATGTTAAAACAATCCAATCTAAAGTGTCATTTTCTAAATCTTACAATGTTAGAAGTAAATAGTTGAAAAACAGAATAATGTGATGAAGATATTGATTCATTTTAGCTCTTATACAACTCTCATTACCTTTTTGGTTGTATTTTCTCTGAGATATATATAGAATAATAGGATATATATTATACCATATAGAAATAATGTCATTGTTAAAGGCTATTTAAAGGGGCTGTATCAAAATATCTTTTCTTTCACCATCAGGCATAATTTCATTAATTACATCACTCCATTTGTATTTGATCTGTATCTGATACATTTATATATTTTGATTTCAGCATTCCATGGATCTCCCTCCTGACAAAGCTAAAGTCTTGAAGAACTATGATGATGAGAAAAAGTGGGACTTGATATGTGACCAGGTTTGTGTCTATTATTATTAGTCCGTTAACCCCTACCTTATATTTCTTTATCCACTCTATCCATGGACTAAAATAAATGTAACATTTCCATGACTGAGATTTTTGCATTATTATAGTGCTAAGTCTCAACCATGTCTGGAATTTTCTTAATTAGGAAATTTTAGTTGCATATTTTTGAGTATACCTGTGCTTAATGGGCTACTATGAAATATACAACGAATGCAAGAAGATGAGCTGCATTTTGCAAGGCACTCTATTACCCTTATCACATCAGTTTTGTGAGTTTTCAATAAAATAGTGAGGGCTTGACTGGAGATTGTGTTTGCAGCTGATATTCTATGTAAGTTCTCCCAGGCTCAAGTGGCCACTTTTAGAATACCAGGATCAGATTGAGCATTTACGCCACCACAGGTTACTGGTCAGTTTAGCAGACTTTTTGAAAAAAATCACTGGATGATCAAACTTTTTCATTTTTATGACTCTTAAATGGCAAAAAGTCACAAGAAAATGTAAATAATCTCTAAATGGTATTTTGATTGCATCCAGAAAAAGGTTTGACCTGGGATATTTTGGGATTATCCTGTATACACCACTAAACAGATATTAGGTTTGTAAGGGCCTTAGGAACAAGCTATGATGTTGTGGTCAACCTTGCAGAAAACCACAGTTATTTTGTCCACTTGGGAATTCAGGAACTGGAAATGTGTTATTTTTATGCTCAGTGTCATGTTACCTCAATATGAACTTCACTTCACATGTACATATCTCTTTCCTCATCTGTTTAATTGTTATTTTTGGAGTTTGTTATTCTATATTTCATCTTGATGTAAGAGTTCATGAGTTCTTGCTGTTGTTTACTCATGCTTGCATTGAGATGTACAACATCAACATAGGCTGTGGTTGATGCAGAATAGTCCTTTAACCATGGGCACAGTGAAGTGTCCCTCTCCAAAGGAAAGTCCTTATGTCAGAGTCAATGCCTTCAATTTGGCTCCACAGTATTATAAATGACCCAGCCACGCAGAAATAATTTGTTGTTATAGATTTGTAGTACAGTGACGTAGCCTGCTGCAAAGCCTAGGTGTACCCTGTCAGATTGTTTATACAGACATAATTGCAGCCACTTGATTGCCACAGTAAAATATATTGCAATTTCCGTTTACTGAATAGTACTTAAATTCTTCACTAACTAATTTAGAAATATCCCACTTTGTGGAAAGTTTTGTTTTTGCCATGTTTTCTTTGCATTTTCGTGTGACTATAGAGTTATTAAAACTCCCTTATTAATCTTTTGTCCAGTTTAGGTAGGCAGTGTAGATATATTATTATAGAACCTGCACAAACCACTTAGCAGTATCAACCCATGCAGACAGATCACTTAAAATTACATTCATATGATGCGAGACTCGACATTCACCAGGAAACAAGAAACATTTTGTCACCCATGAAGCAAATTAATTTTTTACTGCTTGATAAATGGTGAATGACAGTCAACTCAAGTTCTATAAGTATGAGGATAGCATGACGTCTTGATATTTCAAGATTACTCGTTTGAAAAATGATGGCGGTGATTACCATTAACATTAGTCTCATATGTCATACAATTAATATTTGAAACACACCTATAATTCAAACTTATGATTGGACATTAGTATGATATTACTTTATTACCTAGAAGTGCACATCATACTTATGTCTGATCATAAGTTCACATAATAGCTGTTTTTCAAATATTTATTGTATGACATATACGAAAACAATGTTAATGTTACCAGGTCGAATCGGACCTGCAGGCCTTACTATTTGTACAAATGTTTCTGTTTTGAAAAATTCGATATGTAATGCATATTTCTTAGTTTTTCAAAGAAATCAACAACTTTTTCGTTGCGGTTTTATCTTTACCTCATTATTTCAATCACCGTCATCATTTTTCCTTGAGATATCAAAACGTCATGCTATTCTCATACTTGGAGAACTTCATGTGACTGTCATTCACCATTTATTAAACAGTAAATTGGTACATTGGTGACAAAATGTGACAAAATGTCTGTAGTTTCCTGTTGAATGTCCAGTCTCGCATCATACAAATGTAATTTTAGGCGATCTGTCTGCATGGGGTGAGTATCTAGAAAACCTATGTATAAACAGTCTGATTTATCAGCTAGATTACTTAAATTATTCTACTCTTCCTGCCTTAATGTTTTCATATCAGTTCTTCATTTTAACAAAATGTTTCTGATTTTAGGAGCGAGTTTCCGCAAAAGAGCCTCCTAGTTTTTACCTGAACAAACTCAGGGTTTACTTTGACCCTAAATCCAGTAAAACATCTACGGTAAGTCACAGTATACATCCAAAGTATACATGTAGTATACATTCAGTCAAATTTCTCTATAAGATAATAACGCATTGACTTTTCAACTTTTCTTTTATTAATATTTGTAACAAATCTCAGATTTCAAGTTCTGTTTTGATTTAAAACATAGATTGGTGTCTTCGATTTGGTTATATTAATTAATAACTGAACTTTATTCCACATCTTGTTAAATGTAACATATTTTTGTATAAAAACACATTCATATAGCTATATAATTAAAACTGTTTTTGCCTAATTCTTAAGTTTCTATAATTTCTCTGTTGTTTTAGTCAACATAATTTGAATTTTAGAGTATATGTTATGCACTTTCATCATAGTATTTATTTCTACAATAATATAGCATTTAGCTTAATACTCTTCAATTATATTTCAATAAACCTCTTTTACTTTTTTATATTTTTCATTTTTTTTCTCTATATTCTTTCTGAGAAAGCTTTTTTAAGTTGCACATGTGTTTAACTGATATGGCGTGTGTTTTAGTATGGTTGTAATTTTTACTACAGTAACTTTTACAACCTAACTGTAGGCTTATAGTACCAAAAACAAATCACTATATCTTTTTACACATTCAACATTATGTTCTCTCTTATATCTGTCCTGGTATATACTTTTAGTATGGTCATAATTATTAAGCCAAGCAATAGCTTGCACCAAATTGTAGGCTGTCTGTGACATATCAAAAGTGAACCTCTGTTCCTTTACACACATTTAACACATGTGTTAGATCCTAATTCTATGTAGTAACAGTGTTACTATAACACACATTTGACTTTTCTCATGTGTCTGTCTTGTAGATATTCTCTATGGGAGAGGTATGAGAGCATGTACTATAGCAATCTATTTCTAACCAAGTCTGAAAACTAACAGAGCTCTTCAAAATAGACCATGGTCTTATAAATGGAAAATGGGAGTCTCATGGTGTAATTTCAGTGCTCTTATTTTACAAATTATGTTATCCTAATTGAATGCCATTTATAGGACCATGGTCTTTTTGAGGAATTATCCATCCTTATATCTAAATGGTCCGAAAGTTGGATACCTCTGCTACTAAGTATACTTAAATACACTCTGGTTCACTTCAGCAATTACATTTACAATCATAGTCAGAAATAAATTTTCGAGAGAGGGGATGTTGATTTACTATACCTACCTCTTGAAGACCATGTTTAAGCTACCTCATTGATGAGGGAACATTTAAACCAAATGACCAGGAAGGATTTTTCAACTCCCCTCCCTCCCTCATTGCAGATTAACCAGGGTGACACTAACCGCTGATTAACTATATCATATTAAAACAACTTATCAGCTGACATTAATGCATAGAAGCTATGAGCTTTAATATGCTACATCTAGTTTGAAGGTTTTTCAAGGTTTACAACAAAACGTCAGATTATGTGAAAAGGACCCCATGTGTACACAAATCAGTTTTGTGTTTGGTATCACTTTCAAAATTTTCTAATAATAAATTCCATTCAATGCTTTTTCATTATTGAGTTGGAAAAATAAAGTAGAAAACTAAACTAGAGATACAGTGAAACCTTCCTAATGTAATGGGAACATCTAAATGGACTATGGGTTCACAATGATCTACTTACATAGTGCTTACACTTTGAACCACTTTTTGTGAGTTAATCAAACCTGAAAATAAGCAATGAAGTGCAATTATTTGGAAAATACATAATTTTTTCGGTTTGATGCTCTTACATTTTCACTGCTCCAAACTTAAGTGGCAAATGGGGAGAAACGGATTATCAATTAGGACATATTTCACATCAAGCAAACAACCTCACAGTGTAATCTAGGCACAGAATATAGTAGTATCTTTCACTCATATGACTATTTTTAATGCCTTGATTATACAGTGAGCTCAAACAAAGTGTGCATAGTGCTTATGTATTTAATCACAATGGGAAGTGTTCACATTAATGGTTTTGCTGTAGTATGGTATATATGGTAGTTGAGTATTGTAGTTGAACAATTAATATGGTATTTGATATGGTATTTTGACTTTAGATTAACTGTGGTGTAACATTAGGGTGTATGATCTCATTGTCTTGTGTACCAAAACTGCACCTTAATATGTCTTAATATTAGTGCATGTTGTTTGTTAATTTTCAGTATTTCCATGTACTTATGACTAAGGGATCAGACATTTAACAAAAAGCACAGAGCTCCCACCATCATTTGACTTCATAGTTTGTTTGGTTTGTAAAAATTGTTCGATTCATTTTTTAAATTAAAAACCTAACTTGGGAGTCAAAACCCAAACCGGACCGAAAATTGAAACCATCTGACTCTTACCTATGACCTACATGGCGATGTGAAAACTGGTGGTGCACATATGCTATTTATTATGTTTTTCCTAATTACATTATAAATTGTTTGTTTAGAAGTCATAAGTTTACATGTTACACCTTTGTGGAATTTGGATTATTATTATAATTTTTAACATTTTTATTAACATTTACATCAAACAAAGGATGAGTCTGGGAATTAGTCTGGGTATCGACTTAGAAAATATTGAAAATTGTAATGTCTGAAAAACCAACTCAATCACACATATTATTAAACTTCAATATCTTATCCTTCTTCTGAGATTACAAAAATATCAATTTGTATCACAATTGATGAAGAATACTGGCATCAAAGACAGTGCATATCACTTTGTCAGAATTGAAAAAAATCAATGGCAAATATTAAATAAATTATTCATGCAAAAAGTTTGAAACATATCCTTCAAAACATTGCTTACTTTCTTTGTATAGACATTGAATGGTATTTCTGGATAAGTGAATTGGTGTTTATCTGGGTAATCAAGGGATTATAGTCACTCAAAGTTACTGAGCATCCAGTTTTGAGACTTCAATTGTGTTGGTGAAGTTACACATATTTCAGTCAAATTCATGCTGAGCACAACATTTTGGTTTCAATTTTATAATCTCTATACATGACCCTGGTGATGAAGAGTCAGAATCAGTCAAAAAACCTAAACCGGAAAACTGTGCTCATTGTGAAAACTAAAAGTGAAGCAACTTTTTTCTGATATTTCTTACATCAAATGGCAGCCATCTTGTTTTTCCCACTTCAAATTAAACTGGCGGGAAATTTAAAAATTTGAAAAAAATATTATATTTCAAAAATATGATTTTCTTTTTAATTCTTCATGTGTCTTAGTTATTTCTTCTTTGTATGTCATACATGTTGCCATTGGTGTTTTTTTCTGTGATAATGACTATTTTTTGTTTGTTAAGATACTTATTCTGACTCTCAGCAGGGGGTTAATCATGCATCAAAACTCGTGAAAAAGTAAATATACTTATCAAATATAACTAGCACAGTAATAAAAACCATATTTCACATACATTTGACTGAGGGACCAAAAGGGCATATACCCAGACACATCCTTTATAGCACAACACTCTAACAGGAGGCAAACACACTAACAGGAGGGAAACACATTAACAGGAGGCAAACATACTAACGTAGGAGGCAAACACACTAACTAACAAAAGGCAAATCACTATCACACACCATGTATTAAACAGAAGGAAGGACCTTATCATCTTTTAACGAATATGCCATGTTTTATATTTGCTTTAGGGGGTACATCGGAGTGGTTGGTCACCCAAGCCATCTTTTACACGCAGCACCAGCTTCCGCCAAAGTTTAAGGGGCAATTTTCAGGTGGTCCATTGGTTTATGTATACCCTTTTTACCTTAATCAATTAGATATGTAACTTTTGGTGCCACCTATATGAGAGATATTGAGTTATGTTATATTGATGTATAACAAAACTCATTTCAATATTAATGGCAATGCATAGATATTTAATCATGGAACATGTATGTGGTACTTTAGTTAAGTAGGAAATGGTTAGTTTGGGGTCATTTTTAGTATGAAAATAGATTCTAATGTAAGGAAAGTCTTAAAAGGCTTATACTAATATGGCCTTTCTAGATGTAAAGAAAGACCATTATGCCAACATACATCAGATATTGAAAGCTTAACTGTTCTAAATATAGAAATGCCCCCTATTCATGATAGTATTAATGGCCAGATGGGCCTGGTTGGTTGACCTTATTCATTCCCACATCTTTCACTCATCAACATCTATATTTGCTGCTTGGATAGGTGGAACAAATGTCTAGGGCAACATATAAATTGTTATGTGCCCAGGTAACCATAGCAACCTGATCTATGTCATTTTGTAACCATAGTAACAAGCTAGATGTAAACACTGCTTGGAATGACAGGGCTTGGGTGTAATGGCTAACATAATTCTGAATTTATTGTAAAGAAGCTTCAATGTCTTTAGTCTTGGTACTTGGTTGCTAATAAAATACCTTGGATTGCACATTTTTGGGCTCAACTTTGATTTGGTTGTTGTAGATAGATTTGTGGACATTTTGCTTGGTTTAATTACCATACTCTATAAAACAGGCATACATATACATGTAATCAAAAAATATTATAAGGATTAATAACTGAACCTAAATAAAACATGCATGATGAATTATTATTACATTTTGCATGTTTGCATGGATTGCTAGAGTTTATTGTGAGGTAGCATGTTTTGTTGTATTGTGTGCCATAAATATGAGTGAATCTAAAAACTAAAAACATAAATAACAAAAAATGATTGTATCTGTGTTTGTAATTTCTCTCAAAAACATGGACACATAATTTGTCAAATTCAAATCTTTTCATAGTTTGTGTGCATATTATTGAAAAATGTAAAAAGACAAATCATGTGTTAATGTTGATGAGTGGTCCCCATTTGACAGCATGTGTCTACCATCATACATAAAAGTGGATTAAGACCTAATAGATAGATTATACCAGTTGTTTCATTTCACAATTATTTTATAAAACCAGAATTATTTTAAGATCAGGTATCATAAGAATGTAGATTTGAATAAAGGATGCATGATTTTTGTTGAGAATCATGACAATAGTGCATTACTGAGTAAATAAAGATAAATCCCCCAAAAATTGAGAACAGATTAAATAATGAGTTTCCAAAGTATTTAATATGGGGACACCAATAAAGTAAAGTACCCAGTAATGGCAACTCTTGGGAGTTTGTCCAGTTTTAATTTGCAATACTAAACACTGACTTCGAAGATGCCGTTCACAAGTTGCCAACTATAATCAATATTCAAGCTGTACAAGATAAAGTATTCTTCATGATTGGCACTAGATTAAATAATCTTACCATGGAAAATGTTAATGGGATAAATATTGTATAATACATGCATACATAGCTCTGCATGGAGAATGAAATCATATAGTGTTTTGTAGAGGAGGAAGCAGATGGGAGATGCAACCTCCACGCAGGTGCTACGAGATCTTGAGATCTCGCTCAGGACTAATCATATTGAGTAAGTATGATGTTGAGTCATCTTATCATCACATTGAGTAGGTGCATCATATTGAGTAATAGAATAGTGTCTTGACATATCAGTCATATAGAGCACCCTTTTCAGAACCCCCAAAAATTGTGCCTTTCTATAAATGTCATTGTTCTCCGTTCGCTTAATGTTGAAACATTGTGACATTACTAAGATTATTACATTTAACAAGTCTGCTTTGTTTCATATGAATCAAGATGATGATTTTATGTTTCAGATGGGTACGGGAGTTTCTAAATGAAGAGAACCAAGGCCTGGATGTCTTAGTAGAGTACTTGTCTTATACACAAGTCTTAATGAGGTACTTGTCTTAGTAGAGAATGTGTCTTATATACAAGTCTCTGTTAGGTATTTGTTTTGATAGAGGGTTTGTCTAATACACAATTTTACATGAGGTACAATAAGTCAGCTACAAGTCAAAACCCACCTCAATCCAAGACTCTATGCCTCAAATCTTCATTTGTTCTAAGCATTTTCTTAGCATTCTTTGTGAAGAATGCCTTTTTTGTCAAGTTCAACTTTTGTCCTATTTATTCACCATATTGTTCTTTATATCTAAGCTGCCATTTAACATGTGTACATACCAATTATTTCTAAATGTAAACCAAGAGGGAAGAATCAACTACTATTTGCTATCATAGTCATGTTTTGCTGTTATTATAAATCAGCAATTATATGTTGAATTATGACTTATGTTATTTGATACTGACACTCTTGTTATGAGCTTTGCCAATGATAGATGGATAAGAATGCTTTATTATAGGATTTGTCAATGTTTTATGTTTTCTAATTTTATTTAATGTAGTTTTAATAATTTTATTTGCTTTTGGAGGAAGACCATGTAATGAATGAGCATGACACATAGTGTTTTTTATATTAGTTCATTACAGCTTTTATTGTCTAATTTTATCTAATTTGATCAATTAATGTGCATTTTATCATTTTTAGTTTGCTAACGATGCCATATTTTTTTAGTTAATTTATCATGCATTCGTGCTATAAATTTTGGATTTTTTACATTGCAAATGCTTCCATTGGTGTAGTGTATTTAATACAAATGTTTGTCATGATACATGTAGATATTATTTCAATATTTGGGTTCATTTCTTTTACAAGTAGCTATTATTTAAATATTGTGGTTAGGTGTTAGGTAGGCTGCATGAGTGATTATTTGCTTCTAGACGTGCAATGTTGTTAGAGGAGCGTAGTGGTAGTGCCGACCATGCTGCAGGGAATGGTGCAAAATATAACACTTTCCCCAACTCAGACTCCAGTATCATATCTCATTCTGGTTCTCTGAGGAAATCGCCCTCTAAATCTAACACTCTACAATCCAGAGGTGCCAGCCGGAGCGTCAAGTACAGCGTTAATGAGGCTAGAAATGACGTCCATCTTTGTATTATGTGCCTTAGAGCAATCATGAACCACCAGGTAAGGCTCGTGGCACACCATAAGACCTAATGATTTTTAATGACCATCAACATAAGTACAATTGAAAATGCTTTAGAAATTGCAATATGAATAATTTACAGTTTGATAACAACAATATAGTGTCTGTTTACCCTTTGTATTTGTTCGACTTCACTTCTTAAAAGAGAGATTCATCTTTGGTTGTTTATAACTAGACTCTGCGTGCAGAGTAGTGTCTGTTAAGTCTGTAGGCATTTTCAATCAAATAGAGCTGATAAAATCGTTGTCAAATAAATCATTCACTAGTTTACTATTTACTATTTTTATTTGTAATTCTTACACGTCTTAATGATATTTCCAGTATGGGTTCAACTTAATTATAGAAAACAAGAGAACAATTAACTGTATAGCACTTAGTTTAAACCACAAAAATATGAGGTAAGACTTGCTTTTAATATTGAACACTGTATTGAATATAATTTCCCAAAGACTTCGTGAAATTATTCTGCTATTCCCATTCCAAAGTTGATAGAAAAGATCAAAAACACTTGATATAGATAGATCAATGAATACCAATCCAAAGGAAGTTTAATTTTATTCCTTCAAGTAATTTTGATGATTTTGACACATGTTTTTAGAAATTTAGTAATAATTAATATTTTTTTCCATTCATTCATATTCTAAATATAACTATATTTTAAATTTATAATTTCAGGACCAAAGCATTAGTATTAGAACTTTTAGCAGCAGTTTGCCTTGTGAGTGGGGGACATGAGATTATCCTTGGAGCCTTTGACAACTTTAAGGATGTCTGTCAGGAAACACACAGATTCGAGACCATGATGGAATATTTTAAACACTATGAGGAATTCCACATAGATTTTATGGTAAGCGCGACTCTATACAGTCAATTTTGACATTATCATTCATTGGTCATTTCCTGGGTACTTTTGATTCCAAGCCACTGCTGTTCTTTTCTAGATGAAGATAACATTTCAACCAGCTCTGCTTTTACATTGAGTGTTGAAAAATGCAGCTTAAGGGACATAACACAATGGTTCATCTGTTTATTATTCATCTGTCTATTATTGCAACTATGTGTAATTTTAAGTTCTCTCGTTCCCAAGTAGATCGATAAGCTCACAAATTTTGACATAGAAAGGTCACTGAATATACAATAACAGTGCATCTTTCAATTGCCAATGTCTGTAAAGCTGAGTTTCTAGTTGTTTGTGCTCTCAAGTTGACAGAAACATTCACAAATTTTGACATAGGAAGGTTACTGAATGTGAAATAACAGTGCCTCTTTCTATTGCCAATGTCTGTAAAGCTGAGTTTCTTGTTGTTTGTGCTCTAAGTTGATAGAAAAGTTCACAACATTTGACATAGGAAGGTTACTGAATATAAGATAACAGTGCCTCTTTCTATTGCCAATGTCTGTAAACCTGAGTTTATAATTGTTTGTGCTCTCAAGTTGATAGAAAGATAGGTATCAATATGGTGAACTGATTTCAACAATGTTTTTCTCTTAAACCAATTATTGAAAACATTCTGAAAAAAACCCACATTCCTTTATGTAATGTTGACTGATTGGCAACAATTTAATGCAAAAATTATTTATATACGTTTTATATAACTGTTTTTGTTAACTTGTTTTTTAGTGCAATTGTTTTTTGTTCCTTTCTACCAATTCTTGAGAATGAAATAAAATGTCTTTCCAAACCTTGTTGGAACAAAATAGCATAAACAACATTTTCTTAGACCTCTCAATATGATAGTTATACAAAGGAAATTTTGGTTGATTTAATCAAAAGTATGCAAAAACTTAAAACAAAATCCCCCAAAATAGATAAAAATTAAGATAAACCTTTTATTTCATGAAGAAGATACTTTTTTAAAATCAACCAAACTTTCCTTTGTACAATTACAATATTGAGAGACCTAAACACGTTGTGTTTATGTCGTTTTGTTCCAATGAGGTTCGGAGAGATGTTTCATATCAATCCAAACATATGATACCAAGAACAAAAGAAGTGTCTGATGTGTTATCTAAAACAATATAGAGAAAAATATATATGTATATTTCAAATGATATGTCACCATCCAGAAAATGACCATTAAATTGACGATGTGTTAAATTTTCAGAATGTTCTGATGACTGGTTTAAGAGAAACGTGTGTTCAAAAAGTTTACCATATCTATACCACTCCTTTTGACAGACAATGGTCGCTGAATATAACACAATTGCCCTTTTCTATTGCCAATGTTTGTAAAACTTAGATATTGGATGTTGTTCCCATATTGATCACAAAGTTTGACATAAAAAGGTAACTGAATATTAAATAATAGCAGCCCTTTCTATTGCCAATGTCTGTAAAACTTAGATATTGGATGTTGTTCCCAAGTTGATATGTAAGTTCACAAAGTTTGACAAAGAAAGGTCACTGAGTATAAAATAACAGTGCCCCTTTCTTTTGCCAATGTCTGTAAAACTAAGATACTGGATGTTGTTCCAAAGTTGATATATAAGTTCACAAAGTTTGACAAAGAAAGATCACTGAATATAAAATAACAGTGCCTCTTTCTTTTGCCAATGTCTGTAAAACTAAGATACTGGATGTTGTTCCAAAGTTGATATATAAGTTCACAAAGTTTGACAAAGAAAGATCACTGAATATGAAATAACAGTGCCTCTTTCTATTGCCAATGTCTGTAAAACTTAGATATTGGATGTTGTTCCAAAGTTGATATATAAGTTCACAAAGTTTGACATAGAAAGATCACTGAATACAAAATAACAGTGTATCTTTCTATTGCCAATGTCTGTAAAACTTAGATACTGGATGTTATTGCCATGTTGATCAAAAAGTTCACAAAGTTTGACAAAGAAAGATCACTGAATATGAAATAACAGTGCCTCTTTCTATTGCCAATGTCTGTAAAACTAAGATACTGGATGTTGTTCTCAAGTTGATTTATAAGTTCACAAAGTTTGACATAGAAAGGTCACTGATTATAAAATACAGTGTGTCTCTTTCTATTGCCAATGTCTGTAAAACTTAGTTATTGGATGTTGTTGCCAAGTTGATTGTTAAGTTCACAAAGTTTGACAAAGAAGGATCACTGAATATAAAATAACAGTGCCTCTTTCTATTGCCAATATCTGTAAACTTAGATATTGGATGTTGTTCCCAAGGTAATTCATGAGTTCACAAAGTTTGACATAGAAAGGTCGCTGAGTATAAAAAACAGTGCCTCTTTCTATTGCCAATGTCTGTAAAACTTAGATATTGTATGTTGTACCTAAGTTGATTGTTAAATTCACAAAGTTTGACAAAGAAAGATCACTGAATATAAAATAACAGTGCCTCTTTTTATTGCCAATGTCTGTAAAACTTAGATATTGGATGTTGTTCCCAAGTTGATTGTTAAGTTCACAAAGTTTGACAAAGAAAGATCACTGAATATAAAATAACAGTGCCTCTTTCTATTGCCAATGTCTGTAAAACTTAGATATTGCATGTTGTTCCCAAGTTGATTTATAAGTTCACAAAGTTTGACAAAGAAAGATCACTGAATATAAAATAACAGTGCCTCTTTCTATTGCCAATGTCTGTAAAACTTAGATATCGGATGTTGTTCCCTAGTTGATTCATAAGTTCACAAAGTTTGACATAGAAAGGTCACTGAGTATAAAATACAGTGTCTCTTTCTATTGCCAATGTCTGTAAAACTAAGGTATTGGATGTTGTTCCAAAGTTGATTCATAAGTTCACAAAGTTTGACATAGAAAGATCACTGGATATAAACTAACAGTGCCTCTTTCTATTGCCAATGTCTGTAAAACTCAGATATTGGATGTTGTTCCTAAGTTGATTGTTAAGTTTACAAAGTTTGACAAAGAAAGATCACTGAATACAAAATAACAGTGCCTCTTTCTATTGCCAATGTCTGTAAAACCTAGATATTGGACGTTGTTCCAAAGTTGATTTATAAGTTCACAAAGTTTGACAAAGAAAGATCACTGAATATAAAATAACAGTGCCTCTTTCTATTGCGAATGTCTGGAAAACTAAGGTATTGCATGTTGTTCCAAAGTTGATTGTTAAGTTCACAAAGTTTGACAAAGAAAGATCACTGAATATAAAATAACAGTGCCTCTTTTTATTGCCAATGTCTGTAAATCTTAGATATTGGATGTTGTTCCCTAGTTGATTCATAAGTTCACAAAGTTTGACATAGAAAGGTCACTGAGTATAAAAACAGTGTCTCTTTCTATTGCCAATGTCTGTAAAACTTAGATATAGGATGTTGTTCCAAAGTTGAATGTTAAGTTCACAAAGTTTGACAAAGAAAGATCACTGAATATAAAATAACAGTGCCTCGTTCTATTGCCAATATCTGTAAAACTTAGATATTGGATGTTGTTCCCAAGTTGATTCATAAGTTCACAAAGTTTGACATAGAAAGGTCGCTGAGTATAAAAAACAGTGCCTCTTTCTATTGCCAATGTCTGTAAAACTTAGATATTGGATGTTGTACCTAAGTTGATTGTTAAATTCACAAAGTTTGACAAAGAAAGATCACTGAATATAAAATAACAATGCCTCTTTCTATTGCCAATGTCTGTAAAACTTAGATATTGGATGTTGTTCCCAAGTTGATTCATAAGTTCACAAAGTTTGACATAGAAAAGTCACTGAGTATAAAAACACTGTATCTTTCTATTGCCAATGTCTGTAAAACTGAGATATAGGATGTTGTTCCAAAGTTGAATGTTAAGTTCACAAAGTTTGACAAAGAAAGATCACTGAATATAAAATAACAGTGCCTCTTTCTATTGCCAATGTCTGTAAAACTAAGATATTGGATGTTGTTCCAAAGTTGATTTTTAAGTTCACAAAGGTTGACAAAGAAAGATCACTGAATATAAAATAACAGTGCCTCTTTCTTTTGCCAATGTCTGTAAAACTAAGATACTGGATGTTGTACCAAAGTTGATATATAAGTTCACAAAGTTTGACAAAGAAAGATCACTGAATATAAAATAACAGTGCCTCTTTCTATTGCCAATGTCTGTAAAACTTAGATATTGCATGTTGTTCCCAAGTTGATTTATAAGTTCACAAAGTTTGACATGGAAAAGTCACTGAGTATAAAAAACAGTGCCTCTTTCTATTGCCAATGTCTGTAAAACTAAGATATTGGATGTTGTTCCAAAGTTGATATATAAGTTCACAAAGTTTGACAAAGAAAGATCACTGAATATAAAATAACAGTGCCTCTTTCTATTGCCAATGTCTGTAAAACTTAGATATTGGATGTTGTTCCTAAGTTGATTGTTAAGTTTACAAAGTTTGACAAAGAAAGATCACTGAATACAAAATAACAGTGCCTCTTTCTATTGCCAATGTCTGTAAAACTGAGATATAGGATGTTGTTCCAAAGTTGAATGTTAAGTTCACAAAGTTTGACAAAGAAAGATCACTGAATATAAAATAACAGTGCCTCTTTCTATTGCCAATGTCTGTAAAACTTAGATATTGAATGTTGTTCCCAAGTTGATTTTTAAGTTCACAAAGTTTGACAAAGAAAGATCACTGAATACAAAATAACAGTGCCTCTTTCTATTGCCAATGTCTGTAAAACTTAGATATTGCATGTTGTTCCCAAGTTGATTTATAAGTTCACAAAGTTTGACAAAGAAAGATCACTGAATATAAAATAACAGTGCCTCTTTCTATTGCCAATGTCTGTAAAACTTAGATATCGGATGTTGTTCCCTAGTTGATTCATAAGTTCACAAAGTTTGACATAGAAAGGTCACTGAGTATAAAATACAGTGTCTCTTTCTCTTGCCAATGTCTGTAAAACTAAGGTATTGGAT